CGCCCTTGTATTGACTACAGAGGTCTTAATGACATTACTGTTAAGAACAGGTATCCTCTGCCTTTAATGTCTTCTGCCTTTGAGTTATTGCAGGGAGCCAAGGTCTTTACTAAACTAGACCTCCGTAATGCCTATCACCTGATCCGGATACGTGAGGGGGATGAGTGGAAGACTGCGTTCAACACACCAACGGGGCATTTTGAATACCGAGTTCTACCCTTCGGGCTCACCAATGCCCCTGCAGTCTTCCAGGCCCTGGTGAATGATGTGCTGAGAGACATGGTAAACAGATTTGTCTTTGTGTACCTTGACGATATTCTTATCTTTTCTGAGTCAGAACAGGTACACACTCAGCATGTCCGCCAGGTGCTACAGCGGCTGCTGGAAAACCAGCTGTATGTCAAAGCGGAGAAGTGCGTGTTCCACAGCAAGTCTGTTTCGTTCCTGGGGCATATTGTCTCGACGGAGGGTATTAAGGCTGATCCCGCTAAGGTAAGGGCCGTTGCCAAGTGGCCAGTCCCTGACTCTCGTAAGGCTCTGCAGCGGTTCCTTGGATTTGCCAACTTTTATAGACGGTTCATCCGGAACTTTAGCTCGGTCGCTGCACCCTTAACGGCTCTCACCTCACCTAAGGTACCGTTTATATGGCACAGTCAGGCACAGGAGGCCTTTGATGTTCTCAAGTCCCGTTTCATCACTGCTCCTGTCCTTTGTCTTCCAGATCCTAAACGGCAGTTTATCGTTGAGGTGGATGCCTCGGAGGTCGGGATAGGCGCGGTCTTATCTCAGCGATCCTCTAGGGATGGGAAGGTGCATCCGTGTGCCTTCTTCTCTCACCGTCTGAGCCCAGCCGAACGAAACTACGACATTGGTAACAGAGAGCTGCTGGCGGTCAGGCTGGCCCTGGGTGAGTGGCGCCACTGGTTGGAGGGGGCGGCACAACCGTTCTTGGTCTGGACGGACCACAAAAATCTAGAATATATCCGTTCAGCCAAGAGATTGAGTTCCCGTCAGGCCCGATGGGCACTTTTCTTCGGACGCTTTAATTTTTCCCTCTCGTACCGGCCTGGGTCCAAGAATATAAAACCTGATGCACTCTCCCGCCTGTTTGATGTGCCAGGAGGAGAGGCTACCCCCGAAGCCATCCTTCCTAGAGAGGTGGTGGTGGGAACTCTCTCCTGGGACATCGAACGGCGGGTAGAGGAGGCCGTGCGAGGAGGGGGAGCTCCAGAAGGGTGTCCAGAGGGAAGGCTATTTGTGCCAGCCAGTTTAAGATCCGAAGTACTCCAGTGGGGTCATGAGTCCAGAGTAGCCTGTCACCCAGGAGTCCGGAGATCGCTGGTCAATATCCAACAGCGATTTTGGTGGCCTTCAATGGCCCAAGACGTCAGACAGTTTGTATTGGCTTGTTTTGTATGTGCCCAGAATAAGACATCTAATCGGCCACCCATTGGTCTGTTACGTCCCCTTCCTATTCCCTCTCGACCCTGGTCACATGTGGCTCTTGATTTTATCACTGGCCTACCCCCATCGAGAGGTAACACTGTAATCTTAACAGTGGTGGACCGTTTCTCTAAAGCGGCCCATTTTATCCCTTTACCCAAACTCCCATCAGCCAAGGAGACTGCTCAGGCGGTAGTTGACCACGTCTTCCGGATTCATGGCCTTCCGATGGATGTGGTCTCTGACAGAGGACCCCAATTTGTCTCCCGGTTTTGGAAAGAGTTCTGTAGACAGATCGGGGCCTCTACGAGTCTGTCCTCAGGTTTTCACCCCCAGACCAATGGGCAAACTGAACGAGCCAATCAGGATCTTGAGAGAAGTCTCCGCTGTCTGGTGTCTCAAAATCCGGGCTCTTGGAGCCAGCAGTTGTCTTGGATTGAATATGCCCACAACTCCCTGCCGGTAGCTTCTACAGGTATGTCCCCTTTCCAATGTTCTGTTGGTTATCAACCCCCTTTGTTCCCCGCTCAGGAACCCGATGCCGCTGTTCCGTCTGCCTTGGCCTTTGTCCGAAGGTGTCGCCACACATGGAGGAGGGCTAAGGAGGCCTTGGCCCAGGCTTCCAGACGGACTAAGAGGGCGGCTGACCGCCACCGGACTCCTGCTCCCCTTTTTGTTTGTGGTCAAAAGGTTTGGCTGTCTACAAGGGACCTGCCTCTCCGGGTGCCTTCTCGCAAGCTGGCACCCAGGTTCATTGGGCCATACCGAATCACTAAAGTCTTGAGTCCAGTGACGGTTCGGCTCAAGCTTCCTTGCACTCTTGGTCGGGTTCACCCTGTTTTTCATGTATCCAGGGTAAAGCCTGTTATCCAATCCCAACTCAACCCTGTTACTTCCCCGGCTCCACCTCCCCCTCGTCTAGTGGACGGCACTCCGGTCTATACTGTGAAGAGACTCCTTGACCGGAGACGTCGTGGTCGGGGTTTCCAATACCTCGTGGACTGGGAGGGCTATGGTGCGGAGGAGAGGTGTTGGATTCCGGCACGGGACATCTTGGACCGGTCGTTGATCGTGGACTTCCATCGGCGGCGAGGTGAGCCCCTTCTGGGGGCGCCAGGTGGCGCCCCTGGGAGGGGGGGGTACTGTTAAGAGTATGGAATCACTTACCTGTTTGCGTTGTCTTTGTGTGTTTGGAGCACGTGGGTTTGTTTGACAGCTGGCCACGTGCTTGTCCGCGTGCTTTTTGTTTCCCCGCCTTAGAGACCTGGTAATCAATTTGCGATCCTCTCCTTCACCTGTTGCTGCTTGATTTCTCCCCTATTTAGTCTCCTCTCGTCTCTTGTCTTTCGTCAGTCCGTTTTGCATGCTCGTGAGGCTTTTAAGCTAATATCCATTGTGAGTAATCTGTCTTGTCGTGTCCTGTTTCCCCAGACTCCAAGCTCCTGCTTGTTTTGGTTTCGTTTTTTCTCTCCCTCCTTTATTTTGATACTTTGTCCTGTCATCCGGCTCGCTGTGATTTGGTCTGGCTGTCCCATTGTCACTACTGAATCTCCACCAAGGGAGAACGCCCAGCAGTACACCGTAAGGCTCTTCTTCTCCGGTGCTGGCCGAGCGTCTGGTATTGCTCTATCGCCCCCTGGCGGTATTATCCGGAACTCCCCTGATTCCTTTCATCTCTCCTTCTGCTGCCCAGTGAAGCCTTGGGAGCGCTCTCCTGCCATCTGGTGGTAGCGCCCGGAACTGCGCCGATTTCTGAGTCCAGTTTTTTGAGTTTTGAACTGCCTTTTTGAGGATATTTTGTGTTTTTTTGAGAAGAATAAATTTGTTTCACCTGCATTTGAATCTGTTCCCTTTCTACCCTGACAGTCGACTCTTTTATAGATGAATCAACCGTTTTAAACACTGTACTCTTACAGATTTAAGCCTTAGCTGGATACTTCACTTCACTTAGAGCTGTGTTACACACTACATGGAGGGGAATTTTCAAAAACCCATAATATGGGCTCTTTAAATAATAAAAGCTTTTAGTTACGTAAATTTTAGTTTTATAGATATAAAGGTGTCATGAAGTGGCTTTTTAAAAGTAATTTATTCTGTCCACTTATGATACACTTGTGGGTACTTTCTTTTTTTAATGTTTCATACATTTTTCAAATAAATTGTTAAATCAGTTTTATTAATTAATAGATTTAGTTAACTATAAATAAGTGTTAATAGTGAACAATAATAAATAATAATGTAATAAAGCAACAAAAAAATGATTTTTAAGCATTAGTTATACCTGTAAGACCTTTTTTCACCATTGTAAAAATTAGAATCATTAAAACATTCATTTTTAAAATATATTCTTTAATCTTAACTTGCACTTTTACTCTTAAATTCTTGTCATTAACTCCGTAACATAACATGCAAACTAATCAGCCAATTCGAATGTTATTACTCAATTGAATGTACATTATCAGTGATTATCAACTGATAGATATGGGCCAAGGGCCTTCAGCGCTTACTGGTAAGTTTAGAATGGCTGTTATCATCCATCCACATGGTTAATCAGCCATAGATCACATATGGCTGTGGCTTTAAGTAAACGAGAATTATTTATATTATTTATAAAATTTCCCATTAATTGTATTTTATTAACATATAGGGCTGAACAATATATTGTTTGAGCATCAATATCGCGATGTGTGTATCCGCAATGGTAAATATTATTTAATAAAGAGAAAAAGATGAAGAGATTATTATTTTTAAATTTTTTTTTACAATGATGACCATGCGATTTTACATTTGATTGTTTAACTTCTTTACTTAAATACTGTTAGACTCCCCAGAAAACCATAAAGCAGTGTTTGTCTATTTATTTTTGCTTGTAATTTATTAGAATTTATGCAGATGCACTGCATAGAAAGAGATTTTATCAAATCAGACAATCTAAATGAATGAATTTTCCAAAAACGAGTTGTTCAAATTATATTCATATCGCAATGTATTTTGTGACAAAACAAAATACAGCAATGTCAGATTCCAATATCGTGCAGCTGTAACGTTAACCCGTACCCTAACCATCACAGTAATGTAAAAACAGATCTGTTTATGGAGTCTTCTCTACTAGTATAGCTGTTTAACCATGTGGATGGATGATAACAGCCTTCTGAGCCAACCAGTAAACGCAGATGGCCCCTACTGGCCCATATCTATAAGCTAATAACTACTGATAATACCCATTCAATCGAATGATAACATTCGAAGTAGGTGAACCAATGCTGAGCAGTCATTAGCAAAAATATTGTTCACTGTTAACGAATGCAGGATAATGCATTATAGGAATAGTTCATCCAAAAACTAAAATATTCGCATCATTTACTCACCCTCAAGTGCTTCCAATCCTTTATGAGTTAATTTATTCTGTCAAACACAAAAGAAGATATTTTGAAATATGTTAGAAAGCAAATACTCTGGAAGTCAGTGCTTTCATGTGAATGTTGGTCATTTTAAGTAACAGTGGAATTAGTCCTGTATCCAGCATTGCTCCACTGATGCTGTTTTGTCTCCTGAAGGATTCCGATCTTCATAAAGTGACCGATGCTTTAAAGCAGCTCATTACATCAGTTTGCCAACCAGAAGCTTCATCCCTTAAAGATACCTCTGATGTGTGGAGAAACATTTATAACACAGCAAACATGCTTCAGGTGAGTATCAGTAGAGAAATAGATGCTTTAAAATTATATTCTCAAGATCAACATAAAAGCACACTCAGTTTTTAAATACACGGTCCTATTGTGTTTTGTTTTTGGTTTAACGGTTCATTTAAAGCAGAGATGCCCAAAGGTGGCCCATGTTAACCTTTCATTTGGCATGCCATCCAATTGTCTTGTCAATTTTAATGTAATTTTTTTAATAAATGCTGAGCTACAAAAAATAGCCACTCTGTCACTTGACTGAAAGATGCAGAAGAAATGCAAAAGAAATTCGTGAGCAAATTAAGCCACAGATCAACTAGTAGTGTATTCCACTTTGGGATTATTTCTGTTTTTAGTGCAGTAATTTCATTATAAAATGATACCGCATTATTACTTAATATGATTTAAAGCAACGTTTTCTAGTTATTTTTAAATATTTGCAAATAAATTAGGAAATTACGAATGGTAAATTTAATGTAATACAGTTTGTTATATTTACTTCAGGCCTTCAATTAAGTTTGGTTTTTGGCCTTTTTTAAGAAAATGTTTGGGCACCCCTTAGTTTAAAGCAAGACATATTTACATTAGGATTTATATATATATATATATATATATATATATATATATATATATATATATATATATATATATATATATATATATATATATATATATATATATATATATATATATATATATATATATATATATATATATATATATATATATATATATTATTTCATTAAATTTGCATTAATTTCTTGCACACAAATCTGAACTTTGGATGAAGGTGGGTTCAAATATTTTTGTTAAATTTTGCTTATTTGAGTCAAAGGTTTTTACTAATCTCTTTTTTTAATCACTCAATAATTCAGAAAATTGTGCAATCAAAAATATGATAGCAAGACATTTACATATTTACATATAAAATTTCTAAGATAGCTTTTTGTATTATGATTTTTCTGAAATGTTAAGTTTAAACATGCAAATAATGTATTTTTTCATTAAATATTTAGTCATTTGAAGCACAAAAAAATCTAAACTTTGGATGAAGGTGGGTTCAAAACATCTTGTTGAATTTTTTTTGCCATTTTTGAGTCATGTTTCCAATCTCTTTTTTATCAGTCCATAATTCAGACAATATTGAAATCAAGAAAATATGATAGCAATACATTTACATATTTACATGCACAATTCATAAGATTGCTTTTTGTATTAAGAGTTTTGAAATGTTAAGTTTAAACATTAAATATGCAGTCAAGTGTAGCACAAAAAAATCTGAATTTTGGATGAAGGTGGGTTCAAATATTCATGTTGAATTTTTTGCAATATTTGAGTCAAATGTTTTCACTAATTTTTTTTATCTCTCCATAATTCTGCAATGTAGAAAATGCTAAAGCAAGACATTCACATATTTACATATATAATTGCTAAGATTGATTTATTTTGTATTATGAGTTTTCTAAAATATTATGTTTAAACATGCAAATAATGCATTATTTCAGTAAATATGCTGTAACTTCTAACACAAAAAAATCTAAACTTTGGATCAAGGCGTGTTCAAAAGTTCTTGCAGAATTGTTTTGCCATACATGAGTTAAATGTTTTCACTAATCTCTTTTTTTTAATCACTTCATAATTCAGAAAATAGTGCAAACAGGAAAGTAAATGTAATTTCAACATTTCATTGTGAAATAAAATGTTGTATAATCAGACAAATAACATACTGTATGAACATATCACTGTGTAAAAACCCTCAGAAAAGATAGATCTGAATAAAATAGTGAAGCCTGGTGTTTGTAAGTGTGGCTGAAATAAAAATTTAGAGAAAATACGCATTTTGTAAAAATAAATTTAAAATCTTCAGCCACAAACTGATCAACTCTGAATAAATATACACTTAAAAGTTTATTCTAAGTGCATTTTTTCTTTCCATCACACTGGAAAATCACTTTATGAAGGGCCAAAATCTCAAAACTGACACATGCATGAAAACAGTATTTCTCAACTTTTTAAATTCAATTTTTTTAATGGTTGTGTGCATTTTTTTTTCAGGTGACTACTGGACAAATGATTCGTTTACCCAAATATGCAGATCAGAGGCCCTCTGAGAGAAAGAGTGAAGGGTAATTTTAGGCCCAAAAAGGCTTTTCTTACTTAGAGTTTTTGTCTTGTTTCTAGTTCAAATATCTAAAAATTATTAAATTAATAAGTATTATCTCAACAAGCAAAGCATATTGTCTGGTTTAAAGAAGCAATGTGCCAAAATAAGTGAGTTTTTCCATTAAGCAAGCAAAATAAAGGAAAGTAATCAACATAGGTTCATTCTGAAAACGTAGCCCTATGTACATTTTTGGAGATCGCGAATTATGTAGCCACAAGTATGTGTGGCTGCATTTTGTCTATAAAATGCACTCTATGAGGCGGTATGATGCTGTTTCTTTTCGCACTCACCGGCTGACCGCTTACCTAAGTATGGATGGCTTTTCCGCTGTTACCAGTTTGTCCAGTGGCTCGCCGCGTACGTTGGCGAACTTGAGACGCAGAGAGGAGTTGACCGTATTGACGGGGTTCGAGTCTGGTTAAGAACAGTTCCAGAAAGCAGGAAAGACGAAAACAAATCCAAAAAATAAAATAAACATGTATATAACAGGGTGAGAATGTGCTAAAATCTGACATTGTGGTAAACTTTTTCTGGATTGCTGTAGAAAACACTGTCGGTGGGGTTTAGGGAAGGAGGAGGGTGGGTCAGTCAGTCAGTCGACAGCAGCGTCTGATGGATTTATGTGAGAACAACATTCGTGAATGGCACTCGCAAGAGAAATTTGAGGTCTCAAAAAACGTACACAGCAGCCTCTGGTGGATTTGTCAAAAAAAAAAAAAACTGCAAAAAAGTAGCTTCTGGGATGTATTTGGTGCTCTCCTGAAATGTTTATAGGGGGGTATGTTTTCAGAATGAGCCTGGGTTCAAAATAATCTCATGTCAAAATAATAAATACGATTATCCCTTTTGTCCCATTGACAGATTATTTTGCTTGTTTAAGAAAAAACTCACTTAATTTTGGCATATTTTTTTTCTTTTAAAAAAAAGACATTATTTTTTATTTGTCTAGAAAAGTATGCCTGATTTAAGAATCTGTTGATATTTGGACTAGAAATGAGACAAAATATCTAAGTAAGAAAAGCATTTCTTGTAGTGTGCAAACAAATTGTCATGCAAAAAATCATGTTGCTGCACTATTTACAGTTTACAATTAATTGTTACATTTTTAATAAAGCTAAAAAAATATGTTTGATTCCAATGTTTTTTTGTGTGTGTGACATGTTTATTCAAACTGATCAAGATGAATTCGGAAAACACTGCAAATCACTACAGAAATGTGTCGAGCGACCCCAAAAACTGACAAACCCAGCAGCTTCCTGCTTATTTTACCTGTTTTTCGATGTGTTGTCAGAGTTTGCATGTGTGGGTGTGTGTGTTGTCAAGCTGATGAAGGTGTTTTCTTGCACGAGTTTTCATAATTTGCACTGCATTTGAGCACTCTCAGCCACCGTAAGTAAGAGTTTCCTTCAAGTTTTCTTTCTGTCTTTTTTTACAGCTGTGGTCAAACCCAGAGTGCTTGTGTTTTTGAGAAGGATGAAGATGCTGTAGATGATTCTGTAATGGTCAGAGGAGCGTTTGAGTCTTTAATCTTTCTCAGACACCTCAGGATCAGAGAACTCAAGGTAAAAACAGGCCAAATCTGCATATAAATAGCAGATGATTTGAGAGGTTTTGGTCTTTGCAACTACTAAAACACCAGAATATAATATTACTTTGCATATTAAAATGCTTTTTTGGGGGAAATTTGCGTAACGCTGTATTTTGAGGTGTCCATTGTTAGGTTGTAATGTTCACCCTTTAAATTAGGCAATTTACATAAAAACAAAGTAGAGTGTATTCATTAAAGCACTGATCTAATTGTATTACAGACAACAAGCAGGCTCTACTAATGTAGTTACAAATAATAATGCTGAATTGTGTGCAACTAACACTAAACATAATCTTCATTTTAAATCTAACCACTTACACAAATTATTTTAATATTACTCAGTAAACCAATACATACAAGGACACAATGAAATAAAGTGTAGTCGAAATGTATAATGGTGATACCATGCTTTTCTGGACATCTGTCATGCAATTACATAACGTGTTTTGGTCACATTATCTTACTGATGTTATATTTATTAAATAATCATTGTAATGAGTCATTTTATTGTCATAATTAATAAAAAAGTTACAGGTATAAAAAGAGTTATAGGAAATGCTAATAATAAAAATGTCATGAAATGTTATTGCACTTAAAATAACAGTTCAAAAGCAGTTTATAATTTAATTGAATCATTTATTTCAGTGATTTTAAAGATGAATTTTCTGCTTTATTACTCCTGTCACATGATCCTTCTGAAATCACTCTAATATTAATTAATAATCTTATTATTATTATTATTTTAAATGGTAATAAAAGCAATAATGACTGGAGTAATAATTTCATTTGAAACTACATACAATATTTCCTAGAGATGGGTTGCAGCTGGAAAGGCATCCGCTGCGTAAAACATGTGCTGAATAAGTTGACGGTTCATTTCACTGCATGTGGCGACCCTGGATTAATAAAGAGACTAAGCTGAAAATAAAATAAATGAATGACTACACACAGTAAGTAAGGTCCCACTTTATATTAAGTGGCCTTAACTAATATGTACTTACACAGGAATTAATAGTTTGCTACAATGTACTTATTGTGCAAATACATGTATTTACTGTGTACTTATGCTTGATTAAATACATGTATGTAATTACATCTGTAATTAACTTTAGTAACTACATTTGTAAATACACTGTTGACCATCCCTTACACCTTAAACCTACCCATGCCACCAAACCTGTCCATAACCCAACCTCTATCCCTTTTTCAAAGGAACCACAAGTGTTCTCAAATACATTTTAAACACAGTAAGTACATTGTATTTATTTTTTGATGTAAGTACATAGTAGTTAAGGACACTTAATATAAAGTGGGACCGTAAGTAATAAATACTTATATTAAAATACCAAATTTACATTTGATAAATGGCGCCTTGATGAACAGAATAGTTTTATTTTAGTGAAGTTTCACAGCTTTAAGAGGAGCACGTGATATGATTGACCGCAGCTGGTCTCTCATCTACAATCATTAGTTAGCCAATCAGATTAATCCAAACTCACTATAAGTAGTCTGGCAAAAATAACTCCCTTATCATCATTTTCCGATGAAGTGACCTGATCTCGTACTCCCCTTACACACTCTATCGACCAGGCGGGAGCCCTGGGCTAAATTATCTCCTAGCTCTGGGTTGTCTCCTGGGACAGCATGCCAAAACATTTAAACAATATCTAATTGTGAACTCTTGAAAGTATTAAATAAAATTAATAATTATAATAAAAACTGATTCCAGACTATATTTGTGCATTTAAAAAGTTGTCTTTTTAATATATGTAATGAGACTGCAAGTCATTATATATACTGAAAATATACAAACAGCTCATAATTTATTTGTGTTATTTTACTTCAGGTTTCAGAGTCATTTGGTCATTGTAATATATTTATTTGATGCTCAAAATAAGACACTAATTATTATTTTGAGCTATCAGTCACAAAAGCATTTGCCTTTTTAATATTTTAAACATTTCATCAAATTCCTTGCTGAATAAAAGCTTTAATGTCTTGTATACAGTTGAAGTCAGATTTATTTGCCCCCCTGTTTATGTTTCCCTCCAATTTCTGTTTAACAGAGAGCAGATTTTTTTAACACATTCCTAAACATAATAGTTTTAATAACTCTTCTACTTTAATTAGGTTAACTAGGCAGGATAGAGTATTTAGGCAAGTTATTGTATAATAATGGTTTGTTCTGTAGACTATAAAAAACAAATATAGCTTAAAGGGGCTAATAATTTTGTCCTTAAAGTGTTTTTTTTTAAATAAAAACTTTTATTTTAGCTGAAATAAAACAAATAAGACTTTCTCCAGAAGAAATCATATTATCAGACATACTGTGAAAAGTTCCTTGCTCTGTTAAACATCATTTGGGAAATATTTAAAAAAGATAAGAAATTCATAGGGGGCTAATAATTTTGACTTCAACTGTGTATAATTGACTTAAAAAACTCAAAATGACTATAAATCAGACGTTTGTTTCCACCTGCATCTACAAAATTGTGCTTTTATGTTTAAATAATATGCGTTTGTGTACTTTTTGCATGCAACATTTCTCCTGGTATCTTATATAAAGGGTTTTTTGGTTTTCTAAATAAATGCCGGCACTTGCTTGCTCGTTTATAGCGTGTCTGTCTGAGCCTGCTGAATTACCTGCGCTCAGTGGAGAGGACTTTAGTGATGGACGGAGCTGGTCTGGAGTCAGTCGGTGGAGATCTGGTCAGAAATATGGAGGAGACGGGTTGGATATATGCTGTGAGGAAAGATGATGGAGCTCTCAATTCACATCACTTCATCTACAACACTCCAGTTGACTATAAGGTACCACCCAGTGTTTTAAAAAATATTAAATGCATAGAAGTTGAGTGGTGAGCAGTGTTGCTGGGGACATCACAAAAGAAATGAATTACTAATCATTAAAATTAGATTAAAATGACTTTTCTAGTTTCTTTGTCTAAAAAAGTAATTTAGTTACTCCAAGTATGTTAATTACTTGACACAATACTGCTTACATTTCTTTTAATCTTAATGCATGAGCAATATAACTCTTAATTCTTTACATTTAACCGGATCATTTGGCATCTATAACCTATGTCACAATGTTTTTGTGCTTTTGAAAGCACATTGTACTTTCATCCTGATCATTATGAATAAACGTGTCACCGAGGAAAAAAAAATTGTTAACACTTTATTTTGATGGTCCACTTGAGTATTACTGTCTGCTTAATATCTGTTGATACTGCTCCTTCAACAGACACTTAACTGACTATAGGAAACTTTGCAAGTACTAACCCTAACACTAACCCTAACTCCAACCTAACAGTCTACTTATAATTTAATGAGAATTAGTTGGCATGTAGATGCAATGTGATTTAAATTTATCAAATTAAAGTGTGACCCAAAAATTGGTTTAAACACATTTTTTTTAGCTTTATTAAAATGTAACAATTAAGAAGTTTTTAACTTAAGAGACCTCAAAAAACCCTATGTATAAAACTATAAGTATGCATAGATTATTTTTTAAAGTCTAGATTAATCTCACTGTAACCTTGAAATTAATGTAAATTAATCTCACTGTAAAATTTAAGTTAATCTAGATTAATCTCACAGTAATCTTGAAATTAATCTTGACTAATCTCACTGTAATCTTGAATTATATCTAGATTAATCCTACTGTTATCTTGAAATTAATCTAGATTAATCTAACTGTTATCTTGAAATTAATCTAGATTAATCCTACTGTTATCTTGAAATTAATCTAGATTAATCTCACTGTTATCTTAAAATTAATCTAGATTAATCTCACTGTTATCTTAAAATTAATCTAGATTAATATCACTGTAATCTTAAAATTAATATAGATTAATCTCACTGTAATCTTGAAATTAATCTAGATTAATATCACTGTAATCTTAAAATTAATATAGATTAATCTCACTGTAATCTTGAAATTAATCTAGATTAATCTTACTGTAATCTTGAAATTAATCTAGATTAATCTCACTGTAATCTTAAAATTAATCTTGACTAATCTCACTGTAACCTTGAAATAAATCTAGATTAATCTCACTGTTATCTTGAAATTAATCTAGATTAATCTCACTGTAATCTTAAAATTAATCTAGATTAATCTCACTGTAATCTTGAAATTAATCTAGATTAATCTCACTGTTATCTTAAAATAATCTAGATTAATCTCACTGTTATCTTAAAATTAATCTAGATTAATCTCACTGTTATCTTAAAATTAATCTAGATTAATCTCACTATAATCTTAAAATTAATCTAGATTAATCTCACTGTTATCTTAAAATTAATCTAGATTAATCTCACTGTAATCTTGAAATTAATCTATATTAATCTCACTGTTATCTTAAAATTAATCTAGATTAATCTCACTGTAATCTTGAAATTAATCTAGATTAATCTCACTGTTATCTTAAAATTAATCTAGATTAATATCACTGTAATCTTAAAATTAATATAGATTAATCTCACTGTAATCTTGAAATTAATCTAGATTAATCTCACTGGAATCTTGAAATTAATCTAGATTAATCTTACTGTAATCTTGAAATTAATCTAGATTAATCTCACTGTAATCTTAAAATTAATCTTGACTAATCTCACTGTAACCTTGAAATAAATCTAGATTAATCTCACTGTAATCTTGAATTTAATCTAGATTAATTTCACTGTTATCTTGAAATTAATCTAGATTAATCCTACTGTTATCTTGAAATTAATCTAGATTAATCTCACTGTTATCTTAAAATTAATCTAGATTAATCTCACTGTTATCTTAAAATTAATCTAGATTAATCTCACTGTTATCTTAAAATTAATCTAGATTAATCTCACTGTTATCTTAAAATTAATCTAGATTAATCTCACTGTTATCTTAAAATTAATCTAGATTAATCTCACTGTTATCTTAAAATTAATCTAGATTAATCTCACTGTAATCTTGAAATTAATCTAGATTAATCTCACTGTTATCTTAAAATTAATCTAGATTAATCTCACTGGAATCTTGAAATTAATCTATATTAATCTCACTGTTATCTTAAAATTAATCTAGATTAATCTCACTGTAATCTTGAAATTAATCTAGATTAATCTCACTGGAATCTTGAAATTAATCTAGATTAATTTTACTGTAATCTTGAAATTCATCTAGAATAATCCTACTGCTGTCTTGAAATTAATCTAGATTAATCTCACTGTAATCTTGAAATTAATCTAGATTAATCTCACTGGAATCTTGAAATTAATCTAGATTAATTTTACTGTAATCTTGAAATTCATCTAGAATAATCCTACTGCTGTCTTGAAATTAATCTAGATTAATCTCACTGTAAAATTGAAATTAATCTAGATTAATCTCACTGTAATCTTAAAATTAATCTTGACTAATCTCACTGTAACCTTGAAATAAATCTAGATTACCAGCGAAAACCATCTAGAAAACCAGCGACCTTCTTGCTGTGAAGCAACAGCATTACCCACTGCATATACCTCTAGATGTGTATAAGAAAAAATGATTATTGCTCTTCTTTCTATAATTGATTTATCTGGAACTGTACAAAATTATGAACAGTACATTAAGGCAAGTACTTTATAAGTAACTGTTACTAAATGACACAAAAATAAAAAGTAATCCCTTACATTACCTTTTCATCTGAAAAGTAATTAATTTCTGAAACTAGTAACTATCTAACTCATGATTTATTTAAACAAATCATTCAAATATCGATGATCTGATGATCTGGTGCATGTCCATTCTATCTGCTACTAAATAAAACAAAGTGGCATGGTGGCTCAATGGTTAGCACTGTTGCCTCACAGCATAAAACATAAACTGGAATAGTTGGTAATTCATTCCACAAATTGAAAACAAAGATGTACTGTGAATATGATTGTGATGTAGTATATTACATATAGTAATTCCATACAGTACATTTTTATTACATCTCACTGGAGGTCAATCTGTATTGTAGGTGCGCTGTGCTGAGTTTATGGAGTTTCCTGAGGTGGAAAACCTTCATGATTATTACAGCACAGACGGCAGATTCATTCACACACAGGACCAGCGGGGTCTTTATATTGTCTATGATGTGGCTCTAAAGGACCTGGAGGAGCTGGAGCAAAATCTGCTGCTGACCGCGTCTCATTTCATATTGAAGAGCACAGGTCAGATGATTTGGTGTCTCTCTTTTTTTAGAAGGCCTGATTGTGCATTTTTCAACAATATAACTTTTATAAGAATGGGAAGTTTCAGCTCAAAACCAGTGCTTCACATTTGTGAGTGGGCCTGAAAAACCACCCTTACTCCCTTACAGGCCGTACTCACACTAAAGTTGCCTTGAACCGGGCCAAGGCACGCTTGTCCACCCTCCCGTCTCACCCTCCCTGGGCACACTTATGTCATCGATGCTGTGCTGTTCAGTAAGCTCTTGCTCAGCACAGTGGACATTTCTTTAGTTATATGCAGTGACACGCTTTCAAATATTTTGCCAAACAAATCAGCCACTTTTGACGCTCATAAGCAATCATTTCAGGCTTAGGCGCGTTTTGCAATCACACACAAGCATACCGCGCCAACGCCCAAGTGAACCGCGCTCAGGCACACTTCTTCCAACTGGGCCAGGGCCGGCCAAGTGAACCTTGCCTGAGCGCGATTCAGAGCACTCACACTTTCTTAAATGATCCGGGAAACGGGCCTGGGCACGGTACGGATGGCATAGTGCAAGTACGCCCTTAGAAATACGTTTCTCTCTATTTACTCTGGACACTTTGCCTAAACTCCATCTTGCAAGGAGTCAAAAAGAAAACAATGTTTACCTGTGAATATACCACAAATAATCTTGTTTTCTTTAACCTTAAATACCTCTTTTGCACAATATTGTTCTGTCTTATGGAAAAGTGCTTGTATAGTCTGTCTTAGGCTATGTGTAGTCAGTGTTGGGGAAAGTTATGCATTTCAATATTAAGTTACAAAAATCAACTGATGCATCACTTTTTATGATGAGTAATCCCTTACATTATATATGAGTTACTTTTGCTTTTCCTTACCTGGATGAGGCTTCAATTCAATTCATTTTTTTTTCTCTAGCACTTTTATTGACCTTATTCTAAAATGCGGAAGTGCGTCTGTTTTCGCGATTGTCTTAGAACTTCCGTTTCAGTCGCCTATGGGAGAAATGACAAGGAATAATAAACGGCAAAAAACGGTCAAACTACTTGCTCTACAAACAAATGTTTGCATGACTATACAGACCAAGTAGAATAATACAACAAGGAAATATCAGTTTGCAACATCAAACAATGAAACGAGCAGTTTTTAATGTCTAAAAATGAATGGAAGTGAATGAGACCGGAAGTCTCGTGCCAAAAAGATTCAAATGGCAACGCCCGCTCGTCTGCGGAGAATAATGTCAATAATGTATATTGTGTTTAAACAGCTTAACATTGAAGTTGTAGTAAATTTAAAACAGTGTCATTTCAGTTTTCAGAGTTGAAGTTTAGTTTAGTTCAGTTCAGTGTGGTTTAATTTTCACTGCTGAAAGTCCAAACACTGAGGAGCGAATCCATCCATGAGAGCTGCACAAGTCTCAAATCATGCAAGCCAGTGGCCACAGCAGCGAAAAACAAAACTTCACCAATTGACGAAAGTGAAAGAAAAAAAAAAAAAACCTAGAGAGAAACCAGGCTCAGCTGGGCACGACCATTTCTTCTCTGGCCAAACTTCCTGTGCAGAGCTGCACTCTTTCAGATCTCTTTCAGAACCTACAGGGTCGTCTTCTTCTTCTTCTTTTTCTTTTCTTCTTCTTCTTGTTTTTTTAAATAGAGGAATTTAACATTACATTAGGAATTATTGCATTAGGAGGAAATTAACAACACACTGGATAACCTTGGCCTATACAGGATAATGTTATCTTTTAAGAACGTCTTTACCCCAGAGCTTTACATGCCATATAAATATACAGATTTTTGAAAGTTAAAAGCAATGTGAGGTTACTTCTTTTTATCGTTTTGTCCTTTTCTTCCATGCGTTTAAAAAAATACATAAACACACTCTCTCATTGAGTGCATGACTCAACATGACTGGGTTTATTTTTTATCAGCAATTTATAAAAAAAAAAAGCTGAATAATTCAAATAAAAAGTAACTTGCATTGCATTTCTTAAAAAGTAACTTAAATATTATTTCCTATTTTCCTTTTATGTACTGCGTTAGACTGTATCCATGTGTTTCTCAAATAGGTATAAGGTTGGAAATGTTCTAGAATTTTTAATAAATGGGCAAAGTATTAAAAATGTTACTGAATTTAAATATTTAGGCATCACGTTGGACTCAAACCTTAATTTTAAAACTCATATTTAAAAACTTGCTACGACACTGAGATTTAATCTAAGAAATTTTAAACATATCAGAGATTGTCTGACTTATGAGGCCTCTGGTATGTATTTAAATACTATAATTGATCCACATTTGTTGTACTGTAACGAGCTGGTTTCAGGCATGTAAATCATCTTTAACACCGTTGGAATCATTATACAAGAGAGCACTTAAATTAAAATTATTCACAATCTTTCTGCTCCATCGTTAAAAACATTTTTAAATTCCAAATCAGAGAAAACACCGCAAGTGACGCGTTCTATGGTAAGAGGGGAATGTATTATTCCTAGACGTAAGACCTCTTTTGGTAAATCCTCTTTTAACTATAAAGCCTCAAATCTATGGAATTCTCTCTCAACAGAAATAATCACATGTACACATTATAAGATGTTTTCACGCCTGACTTGGTGGTGTTTTTTGTCAAATCAAATTCGTACACACTGAGTGACAGGGCCGGAGTGGGACTCTTTTTCAGCCCTGGAGTTTCAAGCCTCAGACCGTCCCACCTCAGTTCACCACTGACTATATTAAAATAAGGTTATTTCCAATTCAGTTTCTAATTACACTATCACGTCTTTTTTTTTTGAGAAAACAGCTATTTTAGAACTTCAAATGTTCAACAACCATTACAGTATTATGTCTTAACAATAAAAATGAAAAAAGAAAAATATTGTTACTCATACAAGGACCGAACCCAGGTTGGCCGCGTCATTATCCAATCGTACTAACCACTGTACCACAACAGCTGTACGGTGAAAGGTGACTTATCTAGTTATATCATCATTAACCTGCAGGCTGCAACCAGCTCACGAGGCTACGAGAAAATAGATAAAAAGAGCAGAGCTGCGGTAATTAGTGATTAGTTTAGTTAGATCTATGTTAGTTATGTATAGGTTTAAAGTAGCTCTTATGTCTTGTTTTGCATATTTATGTTTATTTATGTAGCACCATGGTCCTGCAAGGTAATTCGTTTCATGTAAATGAGCTGCTGATTGTCATCTCTTTTCCAGTAGGGAGTGGAGTTTTTACAGCTTGTGCATTGCTTACTGTGATTTAAAGTCTTCTCAGTTTATACAGATTTTAAAGTCTAATCTTAAGTTTAATTTAATTTTTTTATCAATCTAATACACATACACTGTAAAACTGTAAAAATAAATGCTGGGTTCCACTTAATCGATTTGTGTTGAGACAATATGAAGGATTTTTGTTAACTTAATTGTCTTAAAATATTTAAAAATAAAATAATTAAGTTGTCCCAAAAACCCTCAAATTTTTTTTTTGTTTTGTCTCATTTTAAATAAGTACTTTGAACAAACAGCCATATATATTTTTGAGTATATGGTTATGTGTAAAACACACTAAAAAATCTGAGGTTCACTTTAAATCATGTCATTATTTTCTTACTAATATATCAAGAAATGATCAAATCAAGATACATTTGCATTAAATGTAAAAACTAGACGTACAATATATTGTATAAACCACATACACACGCATGTTTAGAAACGGTTTATGGAAAAACAGTTCACTTAAATAGATTGAAAGGCGAAGCAAGCAAAACATAAAGAAAAACATAGCTTTAACTCACAAAAACTGTTCAAAACACATTCACCGTCATAAAGAATTTTTTTTTTAAAGTAATAAAGTGTATTTTAACAGGCAGAGTACTCACCTGGTTGACCTTTTGTCCGTAGGTTATCGCTAAAAATAAGTAAATAAATAAAAAATTGCTGTGGTGTCAAAAACAGTTTAACCAAAGAAATTGGCTTAGCAAGAAAACAGTTTTGCTAGTATTTTACATGCTATTGCCAAAATTCAGCAGTGAAAAAACATCTTCAGCTTGCAGTCTTTCACATTTATGTCATTTCTCTTTTTTTGGTCAGACTTGCATACTTCTTGTGGATCTGAAGAAGAGCTTCAGCGTCTGGCAAGGACGGATGTGGATCGGATAGCTGTGCTTTTAGACCTATGGACATGCGAAGCAGATTTTCTGGAGCACAAAATACAGGTACATGATGCAATTTTACACTTCAGTTTAGAGATTGTTTATTGCTTATTTAAAAAGAAGCTCACCAAAAGCTGCTTTATTTTATCAAAAATGGAGATTTGTTTAATGGTCCATTTACAGTAAGCATTAGTAGACTGTTTGCATAATATCTGTTGATATGCTCCTTCAACAGACATTTAACTGACAATAAGAAACTTTGCTCATTTCTTTACTGATAAGATCAATAATATCAGAAAGGCAATCAGCTCATCCAATCAGCCAAGTTGTGTCGACGTCAGACAAGCTCAACCACAACTTAAGAAATCAGACATTATGTCTGATTTCATGGCAATTAACGGTAAAATCTTAGAAGAGACTGTGCAAGCTATGAGAGCATCAACCTGCAGTCTTGACACGCTCCCCACATCATTCTTCGAAACGGTGTTTACCTGTTTAGAAATGGATCTTCTAAAAGTGGTAAATGCTTCACTTCTATCAGGGATTTTTCCAACCTCACTTAAAACTGCAGTTGTTAAACCCCTCTTGAAGAAGAGCAACCTGGATAACACCCTATTGAGCAATTACAGACCAATCTTAAATCTCCCTTTCATTGACAAAATCACTGTAAAAGTTGTTTTTAACCAGATTAACAAGTTTTTAAAGTTCAAGGGGTGTTTAGACAATTTTCAATCTGGTTTCAGAGCACATCACAGTACAGAGAGCGCTCTTATAAAGATAATCAATGATATACGCCTAAATACAGATTCAGGTAAAATAACAGTACTAGTACTGCTCGATCTCAGTGCCGCATTTGACACTGTCGATCACAGCATACTTCCGGATAGGCTGGAAAACTGGCTTGGCCTGTCTGGGACGGTCCTCAAATGGTTCAGATCTTACCTTAAAAGGAGTGGTAACTATGTCAGTATAGGTAACCGTAGGTCGAGGTGGACACCCATGACATGTGGAGTCCCACAAGGCTCGATTCTGGCACCTCTCCTGTTCAACCTTCATATGCTCCGTGTGAGCCAAATAATGAGAAAGAACCAAATCTCCTAACACAGCTAATGACACTTGGATCTATTTAGCCTAACTGACTACAGCCCCATTGACACCCTCTGCCAGTGCATGATGAAAATTAACAGCTGGATGTGCCAAAACTTTCCTCAGTTAAACAAAGAGTCTGAACTGAAGTCATTGCGTTTGAGAACAGAGATGAGGTTTTCAAGGTAAATGTGTACCTTGGCTCTAAAGGTCAAACAACAAAAAATAAGGTCAAGAATCTTGGTGTGACTCTGGAGTCAGATCTGAGTTTCAACAGTCATGTCAAAGCAGTCTGTAAATCAGCATACTACCATCTCAAAAACATTACAAGAATCAGATGCTTTGTGTCCAGTGAAGACTTAGAGAAACTTGTTTATGCTTTTATCAGCAGCAGGGTGGATTACTGTAACGCCCTCCTCACGGGCCTTCCCAAAAAGACAGTCAGACAGTTGCAGCTCATCCAGAACGCTGCGGCCAGGATTCTGACCAGAACCAGGAAATCAGAGCACATCACACCTGTCCTCAGGTCTCTACACTGGCTGCCAGTTACATTCAGAATAGAGTTTTAAGTATTATTACTGGTCTATAAATCACTAAATGGCCTAGGACCTAAATACATTACAGATAAGCTCACTGAATACAAACCTAACAGATCACTCAGATCTTTAGGATCAAATAAACTAGAAATTCCAAGAGTTCAGTCAAAGCAGGTCGAATCAGCTTTCAGCTATTAATCGTTTATTGTTTTCATATCAAAGACATTTGTGTATGGCTGTACATCCTGTGTGTATTAATCAATGTGTAAAGGTTTACGTACATAACTAACACGCTCTGCGCTGGACTTCAGTGCAGCTTTTAGATGGTCAATGGCGCAGTCTATTTTAGTTCCTCAAAATAGCAATGTGCCAACGATGTGCCTTATTTCACCTGTATTTTAGACCAGCATGCCCATGAGTCCACCAATGCGCACAAATGCCACTTTAAACAACGTAAAGCAAAACTGTTGCGCTGGTTTGAAAATAGCAACAAATTGCACCAAACACGTCTTGCGCATTATTGCGCCTAGAGCACTGTATTTGTGAAGCAGGCTATGATTATTAGTATTATTATCATCATCATCATCATCATCATCATCATCAATGATTAATAGCAAATCAGCAGCTAAATACTTTTGTTTTAACTGTTTTTTTTCAGGTTTCATTGATAAAAAGAACAACTTACATTAGAAAATAGAAAATATAAGCGAGGTGTGGTGGCTCAGTGGCTAGCACTGTTGCCTCACAGCAAGAAGGTCGCTGGTTTGAGCCACGGCTGGGTCAATTGGCGTTTCTGTGTGGAGTTTGCATGTTCTCCCTGCGTTTGCGTGGGATTCTTCTGGGTGCTCCGGTTTCCCCAACAGTCCAAAGACATGTGGTGCAGGTGGATTGGGTAGGTTAAATTGTCCATAGTGTATTAGTGTGAATGAGTCTGTATGGATGTTTCCCAGAGATGGGTTGCAGCTGGAAGGGCATCCGCTGCGTAAAAGATATCCTAGATAAGTTGGCGGTTCATTCCGCTGTGGCGACCCCGGATTAATAAAGGGACTAAGCTGAAAAGAAAATGAATAATTGAATGAATAATTTGTTACGAATTAAAACAAAGCGGCATGGCGGCTCAGTGGTTAGCACTGTCGCCTCACAGCAAGAAGGTCGCTGGTTCGAGTCCCAGCTGGGCCAGTTGGCATTTTTCTTTGTGGAGTTTGTATGTTCTCGACCGTGTTGGAGTGGGTTTCCTCCGGGTGCTCCGGTTTCCCCCTCTATACAAAGACATGTGGTACAGGTGAATTGGGTAGGCTAAATTGTCTGTAGTGTATGAGTGTGTGTGGATGTTTCCCAGAGATGGGTTGCGACTGGAAGGGCATCTGCTGCGTAAAAACGTGCTGGATAAGTTGGTGGTTTATTCCGCTGTGGCGACCCTAGATTAATCAAGGGACTAAGCCGACAAGAAAATGAATGAAAGATTATTGTTGCTTGTGTTTGCAGCTCTTGAACTGTTATCTAGAGGCATATCAGCACGTCACAGACCCAGAAGAGCAGTTCAGACTGGCTCAGGTCATCACAGACATCATGCACAGACGACCACAGATGGATTTTACCGCTGGATATTTTGTTCAATCATACAGAGACTCAATTGTCTGTCTCCAAAGCCACCAGCAGCTCATCAAACTAGTGCTGAACAATCAGGTAACTCTTAAATCATGTTCAACCCCAACCCAAAATGGGCTGCCACATTATATTATTCTCTGATGTTTTGTGAATGTTAGATTGACGAGCAGAGGCAGTATCTGCAGAGAATATGGAGAGATGGACAGAAAGGTTCTCCCAGTGAATATGGCCTGCCTCCAAACTACATCCCTAAACACTTGGTGTCAATCGGAGGAAGCAGGTAAGCCTAAGGGTGTGCAGAAATCACACCAGAAAAGACCGTTCACTTGCTTTGCTCCCGACCAAATATAAGGTTGATTTGTTTGGTGTTATTGGTGGTATTTAAATATTTGGTATTATTTGCTTTCACACGGCCCCTTTTACATGCGAACCAGAAATTCATTGCTCCCTCTGAAAGAATTTGTGCCCTCTTAGTTTTCATAAAGGATTAGCCTATGAGGTTCACCCAAAACTGAATATAAAATATATAGTATATAAAATAATATGAGAATATAAAGAATAGAAAAAATATAGTAGTTACCCAGATACAGTACAGGCGTTAACAAGTCACTAAACATAATTAAATGCATAATTTGCAAGCTAGAGAGCACAAGGAGGCGACAATTTTAATCGCACTTACACTTGTGAAATAGAGTAAGAAACTGATCCATGAACTGTGTACTGATGAAGTTCCCGTCGAGCTCTGACAAAGTCCCATACATCAATAGTCTTTTCTCGTAGACCCTTTTAGAGTTTACAATGGAATTTTACCTTCGGACTTTATGTTACATATGTTAATATGCACCTGTCAATTAATTCGGTGGATGGGGAAACCACACTCCCACATCATGTTGCAGTCAGCCTCAAATTTGATTTGACTATTTAGGATTTGGATTTGAATCCTATTTTAACGTGTGGAAACTTTAAAAAGAGACTTGTTGTGTTTATATCACTCCAAGGGCCGGGAGTGACATGTCACCCGTATAGTTTTGAATGGGGAAAAGTGTAACTGTCAATATGGCGAATGAAGCCCTGCCTTTTAGTACAGGAGCCAATCAGTGATCGCTGTATGGTGAATAAATACCGCCTTCTAGTACAGGAGCCAATTAGTGATCGCTATGCAATTACAATTCTCTGGGAGAGGGGCTCCTACCAGACGTGAGTTTTCGGCAGATTTTGTGTGATAGGAATATTTAGGAATGAAACTAAATAGACAGTTGTTGCTTAATTTCATTGGTTATTCATAATATGAAATGTAATCATAAGCTTGGCAAGTAGTTTAGAGGAATTTGATGTGTCCCCATTCAAAAAGACTGCCCAAGCACATGCGAAAGTGTTTCTCTATATGTGTATTCATCGAAGTTGTTCGCCACCTAGGGCGGCAAAATAGAGAGGGCGACGTCCCCGAAACTACCCTCGCCACCCGCGCCCTCAGTTATATCCGCGTCTGGGGCGGCAGAATAGAGAGAGCGGCGTCCCCAAAACTACCCTCACCACCCGCGCCCTCAGTTATATCCGCATCTGGGGCGGCAGAATAGAGAGAGCGGCGTCCCCAAAACTACCCTCACCACCCGCGCCCTCAGTTATATCCGCATCTGGGGCGGCAGAATAGAGAGAGCGGCGTCCCCAAAACTACCCTCACCACCCGCGCCCCCAGTTATATCCGCGTCTGGGGCGGCAGAATAGAGAGAGCGGCGTCCGCGACACTACCCTCACCACCCGCGCACTCGGTTATATCCACGTCTGGGGCGGCAGAATAGACAGCGGTGTCCGCGACACTACCCTCACCACCCGCGCCCTCAGTTATATCCACGTCTGGGGCGGCAGAATAGAGAGAGCGGTGTCCGCGACACTACCCTCACCGCCCGCGCCCTCAGTTATATCCACGTCTGGGGCTGCAGAATAGAGAGAGCGGTGTCCGCGACACTACCCTCACCGCCCGCGCCCTCAGTTATATCCACGTCTGGGGCAGCAGAATAGAGAGAGCGGCGTCCCTGAACTACTCTCACCACCCGCACCCTCGGTTATATCCGTGTCTGGGGCGGCAGAATAGAGAGAGTGGCATCCCCGAAACTACCCTCACCGCCTGCGCCCTCAGTTATATCCACGTTTCACTTTAGGGTTAAGGGCCGCGGGACCGTTCTTTGCCTAGAGCGGCAATTCAGCTTGCTTCGGCCCTGATCACTCCAATATGACTGTGGACACACTATACCAACACACAGTTCAGTCCAAACAGCATCCAAAAGTGGATTTTGCATCATAGTCGCCCTTTAGTTTGACATACAATTTCACAATATTCCTGTTTTTGCTGTATTTAAATAATAAATGCAATATTGACATGAAACACAAAATGAAAAACAAATTTAACAGGGTCTCTTTGTACTATCATTGCAGGCCTGCCTTGAAGAGTGTGTATTTTTTGGAGATTCATCCTTCATTAGGTTTGGCCTGTCAGCTGTATGAGGGTCTGGAACGAGCCTGTACTGAACTATTTGAGCTGCACAGAGCGAAAGCACCATCTCAGAGAGTCAAACTTGAGCAAAAGCTCCTGAAAACAGCACTGCATCACTGGCACACACTCACTTCTCCGGGTGTAACCTACAGTCCTCAGATCCAAAGAGACGTATGTGCCTTTTTTTTTTTTTTATTAGTTGTTAGTTGTTATGAATATGATATTAATTAGTTGTTATGAATTAATTAGTAGTTAAGCTAGTAATTTTAGTCAGAATATAAAACTAAAACTCATTTTTTCTTTAAATGTAATAGGGGTACAACTGTGTATTATTACAAATTCAGTTTCTCTTTGTGCATACGTTACTTGTTTGTATTTGACAGTAGATGTCAACAAAAACATAATTTAATACTTACTCAATTAGTATGTCTTTCTGTGCTCATGCTTCACGTCTGTGCATTCAGAGAAATGTATGTAAGTCTTTAAAACCCATGCACACTTTTTGTTTGCTTTTATTATAGTATCTGAAGCACAAGCTGTAAAGCAGCAGCAGCTCATTTGCATTTAAAGGGCCAAGAAACCCCCCTGTCTTAGCAGTGTTTTCACACCTCTAGTTTGAAAAAGTCGGGAAAGTGGGTGTGTCCATCTCTGTTTAGGTGGGAGTGTCGGAGCACTTTTAAAACTACACTCTTCCAGCAGTTCCTCTCATCCAAAATCTCATTTGTCACAGGGGGCATGCATGAAATGTTCCTAAATGAAAGTGAAAGTGCCAAACTGCAGTTAAAGTCGACAAATAATAATTTGTCAAATAATTTGATTACTGATGTCCATACAAACACAGTCACTGTCTTTCTCCCCTGCGTCTGTGTTTGTTTTGCCTCTGTGAAAATCAGCGTGTGCCCAAACACTAACAGTTAATAAATGAAAAACAGCTGCAACTAGAATAACGCTCCAATAACATATATACACTATTAACTGATACTTAACAAGTCTTTATTAAGTTATTTACTAACTGCTTGTTCATGATCTATTACTAATTTATTAGGTATAGTTATAAATCATTAAAATACAGTTAAGAAGTCTTTTACAACTTGTTAACTAAAAGCTTGTAAGTTATCTATTAGCCATCTATAAGGCACAGTAGTAAATAATTAACAAACTATTAACTTTTATTTAACAAGTCATTTATAACTTGTTACCTAAGTTTGTTAATGGTCTATTAACTCATTATAACGGATAGTTATTCTAAAGTGTTACCCTTTAAACTATTAAAAATGTTCATAAAAGTACTTCTTCGATCTTTTCAAGGCTAAAAGTTGTTGAAAGAAAGAGATCAAGATACCATAATGCAATTCAAAACCATAAATAAACAGGGAGAAATAAAAACATGAATCACACAATACGGAAAACTGCTAGTTTATGGATATTTTCAACACTGTAGTGTGGTAAAATAAGCTTAATAAGGTAATAAGTTATTTTTTGACGTTGTGTGTTGCTTCAGTTGTTCTTAGATGTGTTCATCGAGGATCCTGCTCTGGTCAGAGATCTGGGACTGTACATTGTGAGATGTGCAGATGAACAGGAGAGAAAACAAGGCAAAGACAGACAGATGTTCATGTTGGAGACGTTCTGCACATTATTAGAGCTCGTCACGCTCCGGCATCGCATCTTTGAATCAGCGGCAGAGACTGAACATCTGTCCCAGTTGAGTATCTGACTGCTGAGCAATGTAGAATTTAGAATATAAAATATAGAGGTGGCTCAGTGGTTAGCACTGTCACCGCACAGTAAGAAGGTTGCTGGTTCGAGTCCCAGCTACACAGGGACCAACACAGGGAGAACATGCAAACTTCACACAGAAATGCCAACTGACCCACTCAGGACTCAAACCAGCGACCTTCTTGCTGTAAGGCAACCGTGCCAACCACTGAGCCACCGTGCCACCCAAGAATCAGTTCATCATATTTAAATGCACTGTTTCATGAAATCGCTCAATTGTTGTTTCTTGAGCATGTTGGTAGCTAAACAGCATGTAAATAATGTGACTATAGCTAGACTGGATGTCTTGTTCCTTCTGTTATTCTAGATTATATAAATCACTGTCCAGAGTGATAGGTTTTGATGAAGTTCATCTATACATGCGTCTGGTTCAGTTTGAGTTTGCAGTGAGGAAAGAGACTCCAAAACAGCTTCCAGTGTTCCTCACGGCCCTCCAGGACAACAGACAGGAGGCTGACAGGTGAAACACTGGGTTTCAGACTCTACTTGCATGCTTTAAAACCCACAAACTAGGTATATTTTGCAGCCACAATGCTGTAATCAATGCTTGATTTGAAGTCCAAGATGAGTATGTACGGCCCCGTGATGTTTTTTGAAATGTGCATTTTATATTTGATGTTTGATGTTATCGATAGTATGGTATAGTAGCTCCTCCCCTTTTAAAAAAAAACAGCCAGTTGCGTTTTGTTGTTATCACAGCTCTGCTAGTGAGAGTGGTTGAGCTCAAGCACGTGAAATAACAGGCAAATAAGAAGCATCTTGAAGGGGGCGGAGCATGTCAGATACTAGAGAGCATTTGATTGGTCAAGATTTATTGAGAAATGTTATGTTCATACAAAGACTATATAATACACAAGACATGTCACTCGTATAGTTTTGAATGGGGAAAAGTGTAACTGTCAATATGGCGAATGAAGCCTCGCCTTTTAGTACAGGAGCCAATCAGTGGTCGCTATATGGTGAATAAACCCCGCCTTCTACAGGAGCCAATCAGTGATCGCTATGGAATGACAATTCTCTGGGAGAGGAGCTCCTACCAGAAGTGAGTTTCTGCAGATTTTGTGTGATAGGAATATTTAGGAATGAAACTAAAAAGACAGTTGTTTAATTTCATTAGTTATTCACAATATGAAATGTAATCATAAGCTTGGCAAGTAGTTTTGGAGAATTTGATGAATCCCCATTTAAACAGACTGCCCAAGCACACTTTGGCGTTTCAAAGATGGCCGCCAAGTGAAATGACTTCGCTTGAAGATGCCTTGGTTTATATCAGTTTATGTCTTCTAAATGCGAATTTTGTCACTGCTTTAGGAGCACACTAGCTTATAGAGATCCTTAAAACTAACATACTGATACTAATGTCTACAAAAAAACTTTATCTTAATTTCATGGAACCTTTAAAACCAACCAACTACAGTAGGTGTTTTGCAGCCTCAATGCTGTAATCAGTAGTTGTTTTCAAGTCCAGGATGAGTATTTAACAAGATTTAGGAGCCGTTCACTTTTACACTTTTCACGCTTTTACTGTTAACATACCTAATTCTTTAAAAACTTTGTGTAAATGTGCTCTAGGAAATATTTTTTAATTATTCGTACTAATTTATTTTGTGCCTTTTGCTATTTTTCCTTCATATTCTGTGAGCAGCTACTATACCAAAATGAGGTAGCATAATCAAAAGCTGTTCATTTGAGGTACTTGAGCTCAATCACTCAAACATCGAATACAATTTTTTTCAAAGCACTTCACAGGACCTTTAAGTTTTCTTGAACAGTTGGAAAATACATTCTTGTTGATTTTGGCTTCTTTCTTTTTTTCTAGGTTTATCCCAAACAGTCTTCCTCTTGCTGTTCAGGAACTTGATGAAAATCATATCTGCAAATTCAGCTTTCGATCGAAAGAAGCAGTTTTACAGGTAATTACACAATGATTGACAACACAGGTCTGTGTCTGGGAAGAAAATCTGATGATGTTTCAAACAAAACAAAGCAAAATTTTGTTTCTAAACTTGCATGAGTTTCTTTTTTCTGCTAAAACCAAAAGAAAATATTCTGAAGAATGTTGGAAACCAAAAAAATGCATGGTCCTCACTGACTTTCATAGTAAGTGACTAAAAATACCATTTCAGTCAAAAGGGGACCAACAACTGTGTGCTTTCCAACATTCTTCGAAATAACTTCTTTTGTGTTTTTTTATTTTTATTTTTAATTGTAGCATCCCTACAAGTGATTAATATTTCTCCATCTTTTTAAAAAGGCCACAAAATGCCATATATTGTGAGGAATTTCATGAAGAACAAAGCAGTTATGATTATTGGAATTTATATAGATTAGAAGTGTAATTATAAAAATAATTAGGTTTCTGTAAGTATGGATCAGGGTGGTGTTTTCGTTATGCACATGCTTTCTTTTATTACCTGCTTGTGTCTCTTCAGCTGATGAATGAGGCCAGTGTGGAGAACCTGCGGGTGGTTCTGATGTGTCAGGTGGTTCAGAGAAACGCTCTGATTGGAGCACTGAAACAGGCCTCAGTGTGCTTTAGGACAGAGAAACTGGATCAGTCTTCAGATTCAGACCTAAAACTGCAACATGAAGAATCTGCTTCATCTACAACCAGGAGACGAGCTGTAGATGATAAAAACAGGTCTGCATAAAACCGATCCCAATCCTATTTCACCTCAAGTGTATTGGGCATTAAGAAAATGAATGATACGAAAGACAAAATATAAATGGATTTGTGTAATTTTACTTGAAAGCTGTTTTATATGCTCAAAACAAAGACACCACTGAGAGGGATGTATTATTAATTAATTTATATTGAACAATTATTGAATTTAAGGTATATTAATCAATAATTGTATCTCTAATATCATTATAAACTTGTTTTGATTAAACAAAACAAATTACTGTCCCTTTAAATGATAATACAGGATTTCTTTATCCTTATCAAAAGTTGTTTTAAAAAATGGCACAAATGCATATATTTATGTTGTAGGAAATTGTAACTATTAATAGTTTTAACTATATTTAATTCATAAAAAATTATTATTTACATTTAAATAGAGTAAGAATAATCTTAATTATTTGTTCCAAACATTTGTCCCATTATCTGTTTCTAAAGGCTCCTACACACCGGGATGCTTTTCATTTGTGTTTATCGTCAACATTTTACAAGACGTGTTTCCGCATTCAAACCCAAGCGATATTCACTGGCGTCAAGCAGAAGACTACGCAAAATCCCTCTTTGACGTTAGATGGCGCTACACAACTTTAAGCTACCGACACCCGCTTGTAACACAAAAGAAGAGGAGGAGAGGAAGTTCACATGCTTGTTGTTAAAGTTACTGGTGACTCGAACAAGGATAGATGGTTCAAGTAGCAGCTCCAGCTCTAGCGATGAAGAAATGATTATTGTTCACAAGAGCAATAAGCAGCTCCACGTTTATATCGCCTCTGAGCATCTTCTTTAATGTGCGCTCACATTGACAGTTTTGCACTTGATCGCCTCCAAATGCTGTTAACTGTGACTTCAGCAGCTCTGTGCATGTGAACAAAAGTGCCAACCTGATTGGCGGAGAAGGTTTTAACGCGGCACGTCAAATAAAAAAATAAAAAACAAGCATGAAGACCTGCGCACATCGTAACGTTTTTTGCTTGCGTTTTTCGTCGACATTTAACGCCTCGTGACTAAATAAAGGGCGTCAATGTGTTACAGTAAACAGCACTTGGAAGCGCTCAAGCGCAAAACTGTCAATGTGAGCGCACATCGAAGAAGATGCACAGAGGCGATATGAACGTGTAGCTGCTTATTGCACTGGTAAACAATAATCATTTCTTCATCGCTAGAGCTGGAGCTGCTGCTTGAACCATCCATGCTTGTTCGAGTCACCAGTAACTTTAACAAGCGTGTGAACTTCCCCTCCTCTTCTTCTGTGTTATAAGCGGGTGTCAGAAGCTTAATTGTTTAGCGCCATCTAACATCGCTTAGGTTTGAATACAGAAAAACGTCTCGTAAAACGCTGACGATAAACGCAAACAAATAGTGTCTCGGTGTGTAGGAGCCTTGAGGCTTTTTTTTTTTTTAAATGATGCTTTTGCGCTTGCCATTTTGCGCATTGTTGTGCACAATCACATTGACATCCTTTATATAGTCACGAGGCGTTAAACATTGACGGAAAACACGAGCAAAAAACATCTCTGTGTGCACGGGCCTTAAGGCTGCGTTTACTGTTGAAGTGACTCAATTCCTATTATTTTCTTCCATGTGGCAGAGATTGGATGTGGCCCATGTACGTTTAAGCAGGAACAAATCACATGGATTCTGATTTACCCAAATCAGATTTAGGCCTCGTTCATACTGTTTGTGGAAATTTATCTGAAATGAATCAGATCTGTGTTCTCCTGTCTGCAGTGTAAGCAAGTAGATCGGATTTTCACCTGTCAATGCGAGTCGCGCGTCATTTAAAAACCGTAGCGAATGACGTCAAGTCTGACACTTTACTTTCAGAACAGACTTCAGGAGAGTCCCAAATGTTAAATCTCATACACGAGGACTTAAACAGCTTTTATATTGTTATGTAGCACAAGTATTTAAGCATGTTAATGAGAGCGAGAGAACGCAAGGTCCGCCACGTAACCAATATAAAACTAGTGCATACATCACGTGCATAAATCACGCCATGGACATTACATTAAGATGCCTAAAGGTTTAAAAAAGCCTATTTATCAAAAGAAGATAAAAAAAATAAGAGCCTTTCTGTCATAAACTATAGTGAAACAGCTTGTCAAAAGCTGCGAAGAAAAGACATACAGGAATAGAGAAAAGAGCGCTCTTTAATTATCAGCTGTTAGTCAGCGCCCGCTCTTTTTTTTTTCCTGGTCATTGCGCCTTTGCCGTGTGCTGCGTAAATGTAGACGATAGGATACAAGTCACCTTTAAAAAATGATGTAAGCAGGTCATCAAATAAATCGGATGCAGTCACAAAATCGGAATTGACCATCAAGATCTGCAGTGTAAATGCAGCCTAATAGACATTAAGACATGTTTTAAAGGGGACCTATTATGCCTCTTTTTACAAGATGTAAATTAATCTCTGATGTGCCTAGAGGGATGTATATGAAGTTTCAGCTCAAAATACCAAACGGAAAATGTTATATAACTTATTGAAACTGACCCTTTTAGGCTTCGGTCCTAATTGTGTCATTTTGGTGACTGTCGCTTTAAATTTAAATGAGATTGTGCTCTTTTCAAAAGAGGGAGGAGCTACAAATACCTTTGTGTCAGCATTGTGGCTGATTCAAAAACAAGACTGACATCCTATGCTAATGAGGGAGAGATGGTCACTAATGGGCTTACGCTCTCTGATGATACGTACAAAGAGAGAATGTCAATCAAATTGTCTCTGTTTTTATTAAGTCTTATTATAAAAATTAAAATAATCAGTTTTTACCATTATTAGCTGGTTATATTTACAGACTGCTTTTTAAACCTCTTATAAAAGTGATTCTAGCATAATACTTCCCTTTTAACTGAGAAAAGTGTGTTGTAATTCAGGTTTGCGGGAGCTTTTGTGTCCATTCAGCTGGAGAAAGTGTCTCTCCGAGATGAAATGCTGAATACGTTTATAAAGAAGAAAGAGCAGATGGGCTCGCTGAAGATGAACTCTGTATGTACGGACTTAATTTACTCAATATGCAGACATATCTACCTCAGTATTAAGTCAATTTTTCTTTTTTATAGGAAGACGTGTGCAGAATCAAGAGGAAGCTGATCGTGGATTTCTGTCACAGGTGCGCTGCAGGGCTATAGACCTTTTTCATGGCTGCTGCATGGAGGGCGCCATAGCGACCAGCGTCTTCCGGTAGAATGCTAAAAACTTCCGTTTACAGCGTGTACAACTGGTAATTTGCGCTCCAAAAAATGGGTTTCAATGACGTTTTTAATGGATAACAGAGTGTTTTTGTGACACACAACTTAGAAATGTGTCTGTTAAAGCCGTTATAATCTGTCACATGTGGTTCAAGCGCGTCAGAAATACGAGAAAAACGTTCTCCTAGTTCACGTGTCTGCCGTCAGAAATACAGTGGGTGTACCCGGCCTGTTAGCTGTTAGCTCAGCGGCTCTTTAACACACACACACACACACACACACACACACACACACACACACACACACACACACACACACACACACACACACACACACACACACACACACACACACACACAGAGAGCGAGAGAGAGAGAGCAAACCAGCATGAAATTTAACAGGTATGAAAGTCGTGCAATTTACAAAAATGAGCAATAAAAGTCTGTTATTGATCCTCTGCTGGCTGATTTGCTGTTCATTCTAATCGCGAGCCGTTTGTGTTTTATTTCGTGTGTTGTTTTTACCACGGTTTGTGTTTTTCTGTCATTTCGAAATGACACTAGCCTATATTTTCACTTTGTCACAGTTATTAAATCAGTGTGTCAGTGGCACAGTACAGGCCATGTGTGTGTGTCAAACATTTTGGTGAACTACATTTGTTTGGGCTGGTTATATATTTGAAATAAAGAGAAAATGTTGACTTTAGCGATGACGAGGCTTCATTTAAACTGCAGAAGATGCCGTCTGACAACGAGGGGAAAACGCCTCACAGCAGCTGTTTTCCATCATATTGAATCGCATTTCTTTAAATGATCAGTCCAGGAGATGCTGCTGATGGACAACAGAATTAGTTCAAAGAGGATAAAAGCAGGTAAAATAGATTAAAACTATCGTTTAAAAGCTGTCCAAATGTGACTGTTTACACGCATCAGCTGCCGACCGGAAGTTCTTCGCATTCTCCTTGCGCATACACGCAAAGCATAATGGGTAATTTTGCGTTCCAAGAAAAAGGTCTATACAGGCCCGGTCCTAACCAGTTTTGCGCCCTAGGCAAGATTTCTGGTGACGCCCTGTCACATCGCAATAAATTCCACTGCTAGTGTACAAATAGTCATAAGAAACCAAATAGCTTTTTGATCGACTACTATAAGCTAGGAAAACGTCAGATAAATATGCCAATGCAATTAACGTTTTTGCTGAATAGATCTAATCTTTACACATTTGCTTGTTATTTTCCATAACTATCTATGCTCTTCCATAACATTAGCTGATGTTAAAACTAACAAATAGCACTATAGCTATTTATTGATTAGCAACCATGTTATTATGCCATACCCATCTACGTTGGGATGTAAAAGAAATGGGAAAGCAAATAGCTTCAAATGATACAATACATAACAAACATTAGAAAATATTGACAATAAAATAAAATAGGTTTAGCCCATTAAAATCAATGGCCTGTACAGAAAATAAAGCTATAAAATCTACCTCACTTTATTGTATTTGCTATCCGCTTGTTAAGTGTGACGTCACGCGGAGCGGCTTCCGGGTCCAAGCGCTCTATTCAACTGAATGGGGAGATTCATAAAATGGTAATAATAAACGTTTACAAAGCGATTTAATACTTTCGAAAGTCATGATCGCAATATATATGTCCATGCCTAATATCCGATGGCCAGAAAGTGATTCATTGTTTTATAAATTGTGAAATTTTTGGTATTTGTTATGCAGCAAGCCCAGAGATTGTTGTGTACACTATGACTTTATGTAAAATTAACTTTAATGTGTGATAGGAATAAAAGTGATCATAAACGAATGATTTCTCTACTCAAGTGAATGGCGGCTTGGACACGGAAACAGTATTACAAACGTCACAAACACGTCACCACTTAACAAGCGGATAGTTATTTAGTGAAAGCAGCAAATGAATCTCTCATTGTGTTTTGTTTGATAACAGAGGTGTCACTTTAAGACTGCACAGATCTATAATGAAGCATTCGACTACTTTAGTAACTGTTTGTGCTCGTTTAAGAGAAAATTATCCACAAAGTGGCACAAATGGATTTGCCATTTAAACAATGTGGTGCAAAACTTGAAAATTTACAGTTGTGCTGGTCTGAAAATAGCAACAAATCACGCCAAACACATCTTGCTCCTTTTTGTGACGGGTATATGATAGGGCCCCAAGCCCAAAAGGTAAGGAAAGTAACACGAAAGTAACTCAAAGTAACGTAACGCATTACTTATCATAAAAGTAACTATGTACTAGTTTAGGGAGTAACTCAACATTGTATTGCATTACTTTATGTACTGCATTACTTTGTGTCTTGCAGGTTTAATGAGCGTGTATGTGAGTGTTTTGTTCGAGGGCAGCTGATCTCTCTAACCTTCAGTCTCTTGTCACTGCTGCGTGAGGTGCCACACATCAGAGACCAGCACTTCATAATGGGCAAACCTGAAGACCCCCGAGCAGACCTGCAGGCCGAGGGCAGACCAAGTCCTGATCCCAGGTGAACATGTGGAGGGAAATTAGGTGATATTGAAGAAAAATTTGATATGCCAAGAGCATGTTAAATAATTTGATTCTTAAATAATGCAATATTTGTAAAAAAATAAATAAAAAAATAAGCAAAAACAATGATGTAACATATAGTTAAAGTCTTTCAATTATTACTAATGATACACACACACACTGGCCACTTTATTAGGTACACTTGTCCAACTGCTCGTTATCCCAAATTTCTAATCAGCCAATCGCATGGCAGTAACCCACAGCATTTAGGCATGTAGACATGGTCAGGATGATCTGCTGCAGGTCAAACCGAGCATCAGAATGCGGAAGAAAGGTGATTTAAGTGACTTTGAACGGGGCATGGTTGTTGGTGCAAACAGGCTGGTTTGAGTATTTCAGAAACTGCTGATCTACTCGGATTTTCACGCTCACCCATCTCTAGGGTTAACAGAGAATGGTCCGTAAAAGAGGAAATATCCAGCGAGTGGCAGTTTTGTGGACGTAAATGCCTTATTGGTACCAGAGTTCAGAGGAGAATGGCCAGACTGGTTCCAGTTGATAGAAAGGCAACAGTAACTCAAATAACCACTCGTTACAACCGAGGCCTACAGAAGAGCATCTCTGAACGCACAACACATCCAACCTTGAGGCAGATGGGCTACAGCAGCAGCAGACCTCACCAGGTGCCACTCCTGTCAACTAAGAACAGGAAACTGAGGCTACAATTTACACAGGCTCACCAAAATTGGACAATAGAAAATTGGAGAAACATTGCCTGGTCTGATGAGTCTCGATTTCTGCCGTGACATTCGGATGGTAGGGTCAGAATTTGGCGTCAACAACATAAAAACATGGATCCATCCTGCCTTGTATTAGCAGTTCAGGCTGGTGGTGGTGGTGTAATGGTTTGGGGGATATTTTCTTGGCACACTTTGGCACAAAGCCTACCTGAGTATTGTTGCTGTTGATGTTGACCATGTCTATCCTTTTATGACCACAGTGTATCCATCTTCTGAGAGCTACTTCCAGCAAAATAACCAACCCAAGCTCATTCTGAAAACGTCGTCCCGTGGACGTTTCTGGAGACAGCGGAATACGTCCCGGGAGGTACGTACGGCTGCATTTATTTTTTTCAAGCGAACGCTGCGGGGCGGTGTGACGCTGTTCCCTTTCGCGCTTGCCGGCTGACCGCTTACCTCCTTGTGGAGGGCTTTCCCGCTGCAACCCGTTTGTCCACTCAGCTCACCGTGTAACGTCGGCAGGCTCGAGATGCAGAGAGGAGTCGACCACGTCAATCGGTTTGGAGTCCGGGGAAGATTGGTTCCAGCAAACAGGTAAGACAAAAACAGAATCCCAAAAATTAAGTGAACGAGTTTCATAACAGGGTGAGAACGCGGTGAAATCCGAAAACGCGGTAGAAAAAAAAAATCAGGGCTTTTCTTTTTTTGAACGGCTTTTGTAAACTGTTGCTCGGGTTTAGGGAAGCGAGCGGGCGGGCGGGTCAATCGGTAAAATTGGTTGGCGTCGTGCAGTCAATCATCCGGTCAGTCGGACAGCGGCCTCTGGCGGGTTGACGCGAGAACAGTGCGGGCGCGAACCGCACTCGCGAGAGACGTTCAAGATGAGAAAAATCACACAACAGCGGCCTCTCGCGGATTCGCAAAAACAAAAACTGCAGCCGTACGTACCCGCCGGGACGTATTCCGCGGTCTCCAGAAACGTCCGCGGGACTACGTTTCCACAATGAGCCTGGGTTGAAAATAACGCACCATGTCATGAAGCACCAAATATCTCAGACTGGTTTCTTGAACATGACAATGAGTTCACTGTACTCAAATGGCCTCCACAGCCACCAGATCCCAATCTAATAGAGCACCTTTGGGATGTGGTGGAACGGGAGATTCACATCATGGATGTGCAGCAACTGTGTGATGTTATCATGTCATCCTGAACCAAATTCTCTAAGGAATATTTCCAGTACCTTGTTGAATCAACGCCACCAAGGATTAAGACACTTCTGAAGGCAAAATGATTTATAGAGATAGGCAGGTTACGTTTTGTAGTTATGTTAAATTGAAAGGCTATTACTGTACAAAGTAAACCTATGGATCAACTTAAAACATTTCTTTTGTTACACTCGAAAAAGTCAACTTATTGTAATGTACTTATAACCAAATTCAGTTGATCCAATGGTTCACATTGTTTAATGCTAAAACTATTTAAAAAAATGTTATCTGTGATAAACAAAATGCATAAATGTATAATATCAAATTAGAGGCATTACAAAAATGACATTTCTGCATAAATACTGTATATGCATTCATTCATACATAAAAAACACACTTTCCAGAATGTAACTGCCTTTTTAAATCAACTCTTATCAACTTTTGGTCATTCAGGACTTTTCAGCCTTGTCCCAGAAGACTGTTATCAGCCGATGGAAAGAGTCTGCTGAATCTGTGGTTCATCCCTCATTATACAGAAGTACTGCTCATGTTCAGGACTCTAAAGGAGAAGGTCAGAAACTCATCTTTGGCTAAAATGAACACTTTTTTTCCCCCCAGGCCCTTTTAAAAATACTCCTAAGCATTCGGTTTAGCAAAGCAGCATTTCAAATGTTACCGATACATGCACAGGTACAATACCTTGCATAAAATATGCAAATATTCATCAAATGTTATAAACTTCCTCACAATTTACTCACTCAAATGGTTATACATTTTTATTAATTTTTATCTCCTGTTGAACACAAAGCAAAATATCCTGAAGAAAATTAAATACAGAACATTTAAACTGCTTTTGCATTGTGATTTCATGTCTCAAATGCTGCATGATGCATTTCTCCTCCCTTACTTTACTTTTCTTTATTTACTTAGCTTTGCTTTAATTTACTTTATATAGCACAATGCAACATCAGTCATTGACTATTGTGCTGTGCACAAACTGCTAACTACCTGACAAAAGTCTTGTTGTCAATCCAGTTTTAAGAGCAATAAATAATAACTTGACTTCTAGATGATCATTTGGAAAAGTGGCAGAAGGTTTCCCATGAATTATTTGCTAAAGTGCATCCCAATCATCACAAATACTGCAGACCTACTGGAACCTGCATGGACCTAAGATTTTCATAGAAATAAGTCAAGTTTGGTGAAGCAATCAGTATAGGGGCGAGAGAAATCTGCAGAGTGGATGGCAACATCAACAGCCTGAGATATCAAGACATTTGCGCTGCCCATTACATTATAAACCACAGGAGAGGGCAAATTCTCCAGCAGGATAGTGCTCCTTCTCATACTTCAGCCTCCACATTAAAGTTCCTGAAAGCAAAGAAGGTCAAGGTGCTCCAGGATTGGCCAGCCCATTCAGTAGACATGAACATTATTGAGCATGTCTGGGGTAAGATGAAGATAGGGGCATTAAAGATGAATCCAAAGAATCTTGATGAACTCTGGGAGTCCTGCAAGAACACTTTCTTTGCCATTTCAGATGACTTTATTAATGAGTGATTTGAGTCATTGCAGAGACGTATGGATGCAGTCCTCCAAGCTCATGATGGAGTCAGACACAATATTCATTCTGTTTCCACTGCAGCATGACTTTATATTCTATACTGGACATTATTTCTGTTAAGTGACTAGACATTTGTCTCAGGGAAGTCAGAGCTTACTTTCCTAATTAAATAATTAAAAATCAAGGCATGATCATGTTTTATTTTGGTCAAATAAGCGTAATCTAGAGGCCTTTGCCTTTCATATAAGAACTAGAAGTTAAGTTATTATTTGTTGTTCCTAAAACTTGGATAGGCAACACGACTTTTGTCAGGTAGTGTATTTGTCAAATAAGACCAAAGAAATAAAACTACATAAAATACATAAAAACCTGAAACATATAAAGGATAAAGCAAGTTTAAATGACTCGGATATCCTAATAGAAAGGCATGTCTTGAATCAAAACAAACATTTATTTTGGATGTAATTAATCTCAAATAAATCTTTGCCATTTATAAATACTTAATTAGCATTTTCAGAACTTGCATCTTATAAAACTTAAAATGCAAAAATGTTTGCAATTCCTAATATAATCAATCAGCTGTGGAAATATGCTGATAAACATGAGTAAAATTGTTTTATTATTTGCTGTCAAACGATTAATTGCGTTTAATCACATTCAAAATAAAAGTTTGTATTTACATAATAAGTGTGTGTACAGTCTGTATAAATATTGCGTATACATACTGTAAACAAAACATAATACAAATAAATACAAAACAAAAAAGATATAAATGTGCTTTTATTTATATATCATTTGTATTATATAAAAATATTTAATTTATAAATATGAATCTGGATTTTCTTGTGTATGTGTGTATTTATTTATATTTATACAACAGTTCTGTCTGGTTCTTAAATCTGATTGGCTGATAGTTGTGCAATATTCTGCTAGTAACAGCACTCGTCCAGCCTCTTCACCCTTCACCCTTCACCCTTGTGTATCAATCCTCCCACATACAGCAACAAACAGAGGACACTCTACAGTATGACTTATATTGCTGCTGTTGGACAACATAATGTACTTTTGAAGCTTTTTTTAGTCAAGAATGTCGTTGTTTAGATTGCAAATTTGCAGTTTATTTAAAAAGATAAAGCCTATTTTAAGATATTTATCATTTCTGAGAGACAGCGCATCGACGGCCATTAGCCTGTCTTTGAGCAAAGCCGGTTGACGATGTTCATTCACAAGATGACGATTGTCATTCACAAGATAAACCCTTAGAGGAGAAAAGACTCAGCATAATTTTAAACTACAGCTGAACAAATCATTATTAAACAGGTAAATGACTTGCTGATCTCTTTTTTTTTTTGTAGTGCTGTATTCATACCATAGTAATATTGTGATCTCCAGGGCCCGGTTTTTCAAAAGTAATCCACTAGGATTTTGGATAAGGGATTGGATCAAATCTTGAAAATGGGTTTTCAAAAGAAAAAAATGGATTACATAATCGGATTAGATCACGTATTCCAATCTTGATTTTGATCAGGATCAAACATTTAGTTTGGGTTTTTCCGACCTTTTTTGTATGATCTGGATCACTTTGACCCAAAAAATCTGGATTAAACTGATCCCATCAGAAGGGTGGATTCAGCGTGGATTTCATGCCCAAAATGTAATGAAAACTTTAAAAAAGTATCAAATAATACTATATTTGGATTATGCAGTAACTTAGAAGATATTTATTCATAAGGTTTTTAATTTTATTTGTCCATCCGTCAGGCTATAGTGATTAGGTAGGCTTTAACGTTTTCAGCCTTTCAGTATAGGCCTACAGCAAAGTAAAAAGAGTTTGGCCTCATAAAATAATCCCTCAAACAGCTGTCAAAATTGACCAAAAACAATACATTTTAATCTGTCATTAATTGATATATATATATATATATATATATATATATATATATATATATATATATATATATATATATATTCATCACAATAGAAATATTTTTCTTTTTAGAATATTTATTAGTGATGCATGCAATGATTACAGAATAAACAATCACTGATTTTTGAAATCACTTTCATTAATTGCAAAAAGAGACTGAAAGGGCAGAAGCACAGCTTCGTCTGGCAGAGAAACAACTGACTCTGACCAAACTGCAGCAAACCAAGGCCAGACTTGAGATCCGCCTCCTAAAGGCTATGCTCAGACAAGCTGGTCTCTCCACATCAGATGAGGAAGTCTGAAATTATTGTGGAGGTTTTGACATTGTCTTTTTTTTATTCAATACATCTATATTTGAAACTTGTACAATTCAATTCAGCTTTATTTGTATAGCGCTTTTACAATGTAGATTGTGTCAAAGCAGCTTCACATAAATGGTCATAGTAACTGGAACAGTGTGGTTCAGTAACTGGAACAGTGTGGTTCAGGTTTTAGTGTTTAAGTTCAGTTCAGTTCAGTTTAGCTCAGTTCAGTGTGATTTAATCATTACTGAGAGTTCAAACACTGAAGAGCCAGTTCATCGATGCGTAGCTCTACCAATCCTGAACCATGCGAGGCAGTGGCGACAGCGGAGAGGGAAAAAAAACTTCACCTGATGGGAGTGAAGAAAAAAAACCTTGAGAGAACCAGACTCAGTTGGGCACGACCATTTGAATTTCTCCGCTGGCCAAAAGTCTTGTGCAGAACTTCATTCGTCGTGGTTTAGGCTGGAAGATGGCCTCAGCGAAGACTCGTCAGTCCCTGGAGCGTCGCTGGAATCAGACTCATGTTCTCCACTCCCCACGACCATCAGCGCAGCTGTACAGTGTTTGTGTACAGTGCAGTGTTTTGCACAGTACAGTGTTTGTGCTGTAGTTCTCAGAAGAGCGGACAGCTGGAAGAGGATGGGGTGGGTTTTTTTTTTTTTTTTTTTTAAATGTGTGTGTTTTCATTTCAAATAAAAATAAAGTTATACTGACCCCACACTGGCTATTCTACTTGTTGCTCTTTACATATCTATAGTTCTATATTGGGATTTCCTATTCTGTTTGAGCACTGGTTTGCTAGATTTAGTGATACAGAAAAATTCCTATCCAGATCAGATTGACCCGTTCCAATGTTGCTTTGAAAAACTGGCTCAAAAAGTAAGCTAGATTACGTGATCATGGATCGCAAAAAAAGGATTACTGAATCAAGATCAATAAACCTTTGAAAAACCGGGCCCAGGCCCCAGATTGCAAAGAGGAAATACAACTAAATATCTATATATATTTTATTTGTTTATTTATTTGTTTGTTTTTCCCCACAATAATGCCTCGTGTAAATCATCTTACTGTCTTTTTGGAGAAGCCCTTGTCATTTCCAGTCAAAAAAATCTTGCTACTCATATTTAAGCAGCAAATTAAAGTCAAAATTTGCCAGGGGTATGAGTAATTTTGGGCTTGACTGTATATATTATGCAAATTACCTCATTCGTTTTTATTTTGGCTCAGTGCCTTTATTAATTTGGGGTCGCCACAGTGGAATGGACTGCCAATTTATCCAGCGTATGTTTTACACAGCGGATGCCCTTCCTGCTGCAACCCATCACTGGGAAACATCCATACACACACATACACTATGGACAATTTCGCTTACCGAATGTCACATGTCTTTGGACTTGTGGGGGAAACCGGAGCACCCGGAGGAAACCCACGTGAACACAGGGTGAACAAGCAAACTCAACACAGAAACGCCAACTGAGCCAGCCAATGCTCGAACCAGCGACTTTCTTGCTGTGAGACAAACATGATACCCACTGCGCCATCATGCAGCCCTATTATGCAAATAAAAGTCTTTATTTTGAATGTAATTAATCATGATTAATCTTTTAGTGAAGTTTATTCATAAACTAATTTCGAGAGGAGCATGTGATTAAGATTGAACACGGCTGGTTCTGCATTAGCATGCATGATCCACCAATCAGGCCATTCCTAACCCACTATAAAGAGCCAGGGTTTCTTCGCTACAGTCATCTTCGATTTGAAGAATCCCCCCTTCCACCCCTACCTTTTCACCTTTCCCTCCATAGGGCAGCACGGTGGCCCAGTGACTAGCACTGTCACCTCACAGCAAGAACGTCACCGGTTCTAGTCCTTTAACAGGCCGGTGGTCGTTTCTGTGTGTAGTTTGCATGTTCTTCCCGTGCTTGCGTGGGTTTTCCCCGGGTCCTCCGGTTTCCTCCCACATTCCAAAAACATGCACAACAAGTAAATTGATCAATCTAAATTTGCTATACAGGTAATCTCATAATGCAGCATATATTTTAATAGCATTCAATTTTTAGTCATCAGCTCTTATCAAGGGGGAGTTGTCGAGATCTACCTGAGCTCAAGGCTCCCCTCTCTTCCTTTAAACGGGAGGGAGCCCAGGGCTCAAGAACCTTCAAGCTCAGGGCTCTCTCCCGGGACAGCATGCCAAACTTGCTTATAATCAATCATCAGCTAAGTGTGAACTCTTGAAACAGCACTGGTTTGTTTGCTTATACACTATTCACCTTCAGTCTTACCTTATTTGTTTGACTCATCTGCTGATCTGGAGTCTTTTATTGAATGTATTAAATCATATATTGTTTGCTCTTGCTGCAGGAGCGTCAGCAGGCTCTTCAAAACTCTCTGCAGATCATGTCAGCTCTTCATGATATTGTTTATTACCTGGTGAGCTTTGCACGATTGGGGAATTCCGACTCTTTGTGCAGTCGCAGCAGCACTCAGAAGCTCACGGCAGACTGGGGAGGTTTAGAGAGCATCGGTACGTGATCATCTATGTACAACACAAGCTATTTTCCTCTTCCACATACGACTGCATTTTAATTATGAGTTATACACTTGGTTTGGGGAAAATTCCATTCAAAACAACTGAAACAAATCAACAAACAGTAATTACAAACAACAAGAATGATAATAATAATAATAATAATAATAATAATAATAATAATAATAATAATAATATACGTGTTCTTATTTTTAGGTTAAAATAATTACTGTTGAATCCTGAATATAAACCTATGGTAGAATATGAAGTGTTTATTGTTTAATAGAGAATTCATGTAAATCACCATGGGGTGTAGTAAAAAGGTTGTAATGCAGTGTTTTTAACATTTTGTGTGTATGTACGATGTATTTGTGTGTATTTTGCGTGAATGTACTGTACAGTGTTTGGTAATGCTGTGCTGTTTGCCTGAAGGGGCTGAGCTGTGGGACGTCCAGCGACAGATTGAGTCTCTCTGTGAGTCCAGCAGTTCAGAGAGTGTCGGGCGACTCCTGCAGTTACACAGAGACGTGCTTTTCCTGCGCTTTGATACCGCAGTCAGATACATGATCAGGTGCTGGTTAACCACAGATTTAACTCACAGCATTAGTGTTGATGTTAATAATGTAATCAAGTTTGAGAGGAGGCAGAGGGGAACGTCTTTGAAAAGACCAGATTAGATATATAATCTAGTTATTAATGCTGGTTGCTTTTTTTTTATTCATTCATTAATCCGTTTGTTTATTTATTTTTGTTTAATTTTATTTATTTATTATTTTGTAAATATTTAGCAGTGTTTTTATTTGGTAAAAAAAATCCAAATTTTCCTTTAACTTGCATCTTTTATTATGGTTGTTATTCTTATGAATATTAATATAATATTACATGTGTTCCTTTTTTATGGTAAAATTCATACTGTTGAATATTAAATATATAACTTTAATAGAATATAAATATTGTCTTTTGTTATATTTGTAAGCTAAAAAACGATTGTTAAATATTAAATATAAGTTTTTATTAATATTCTTTATTATTATTATTATTATTATTATTATTATTATTATTATTATTATAACTACTTAATATATGAATACAAATATTAATATCAAATAATTGTTAATATTATTTAAAAATATTAATAATGTGTTCTTAGTCTTTAGGGTAAACATAAATACTGTTGAATATTGAATATAAATCTACAATATAATATGAATATTGTCCTTTGTAAGCTATTTTATTTTATGTGTTCTTATTTTTTAAGGAAAAAATAATGTTGTTTAATATTAAATACGAACACACCACATTTTATTTAATTAAATTTTTATTAAATGTATTTATTTATTTTTCATTTATTTATTTATTTATTTTTTGACAAGAGTGTCTTACAGTTTTTGTCTCTCCACAAGGGATGCGTTCCTCTCCTCTGGAAACCTGTCTGCCTATCAGAGCATGACTGAAAACATGAGCCACGCCCTCCCTATCATGAGTGACATGATAGTGGGAGGAGCCAATCTCCTCTCCGTTCCTCAGCCTCTAGAAGCAGCCAGTTCTCAGGTGAGAAACATTCAGATTGATCTACCTAATGAAATTATTGTACAAGCTTATTTATAAGTTCATTTTAGTCCCCATATCTTTCCTATTTTTCTATCTGCACCATTAATGTACAGTTGAAGTCAGAATTATTAGCCCCCTTAGATTTTTTTTTTCTTTTTCAAATATTCCCCAAATGATGTTTAGCAGAGCAAGGACATTTTCACATTATGTCTAATAATATTTTTTCTTCTCCTGGAGAAAGTCTTATTATTATTATATTTTTTGCTAGAATAAAAGCAGTTTTTAATTTTTAAAAACCATATTAAGGTCAATATTATTAGCCCCTTTAAGCTATATATATTTTCTGATAGTCTACAGAACAAACTATCATTATACAATAACTTGCCTAATTACTCCAACATGCCTAGTTAACCTAATTAACCTAGTTAAGCCTTTAAATGTCACTTTAAGGTGTAAAGAAGTGTCTTGAAAAATATCTAGTCAAATATTATGTGCTGTCATCATGGCAAAGATAAAATAAATTGGTTATTAAAAATCAGTTATTATTATGTTTAGAAATGTGTTGAAGAAATCTTCTCTCCGGTAAACAGCAATTGGAGAAAAATAAAAAGGGGTGATTAATTCAGGTGGGCTAATAATTCTGACTTCAGCTTTATGTCTGCCAAATCATAACTGGATTCCAGTGAATTTTGCTTCAATTCCGTTTGTGGTTTCAGGCCCAAAAATTATATCCATGGAGATCTTTCCTTGCAATTCATGGATTACATCCCTTGGTCATGTGGGACGTCTCACCCATTGAACATTACATGCAGGTGTGTTACTTTATAAATGTGAACATTGTACTCATTATACTGTACTTTGTATACTATACTACTAATTACTGTTATTATCTTCACTATTATTGATATCAGTGTTGCCTTCATCACAAAATTTTTAATATACCTTATCTACAGAATTTCACCAACCTTATTATTATTATTGTTATCATCATCTTTATTAATATTTTTATTGATATTATTATAATTATAATTATTGATATTATTATCATCATTATTATTATTATCTTTATTATTATTATTATTATTATTGTTGTTATTATTATTAATGATATTATTTACATTATTATTGTTATTAGTATTATTATTATTATTATTATTGATATTATAAGTATTGATATTATTATCATTATTATTATCTTTATTATTATTATTATTATTGTTATTATTATTATTATTATTATTATTGTTATTATTATTATTGATATTATTTACATTATTATTATTATTATTATTATTATTATTGATATTATAAGTATTGATATTATTATTATCTTTATTATTATTATTATTATTATTATTATTATTATTGTTATTATTATTATTGATATTATTTACATTATTATTATTATTATTATTATTGATATTATAAGTATTGATATTATTATCATTATTATTATTATTATTATTATTATTATTATTATTGATATTATAATTATTGATATTATTATCATTATTATTATCTTTATTATTATTATTATTATTATTGATATTATAATTATTGACATTATTTACATTGTTATGATTATTATTATTGATATAATAATAATAATAATAATTATTATTATTATTATTGATATTATTATTATCAGAATTATCTTTATTATTATTGATGTTATTATTGATATTATTATTATTATTATTATTATTGTTGTTGTTGTTGTTGTTGTTACTGTTGTTGTTGTTGTTATTATTATCATTATTATTTTTACTATTATTATTACTTTATTATTATTATTATTATTATTATTATTATTATTATTATTAGTATTATTATTATTGTTGTTGCTGTTATAATTATTATTGTTACCACCATTACTATTATTATTATCATCATTATTACCATTATTACCATTATTATTAGTACTACTAGTATTATTATTATTATTTTTATTAATGATAAGCACTGTTTATTCTGATTGTCATTTTTACATTCCTATTTTTTCCATTTCTGTTCTACTGCTGTTTATGTGTTTAATGTTTACCATATGTTTTATTTTCTGTGTTGTGTTTACTGCATCTTTTGCACTCTTAATTTTTAACTTTGTAAGGCTTTATTAGCTTCGGGATGATGTAATGTTGTGTTTTTGTAGCTGTGTCTGTGTGATCTGAACGACCGCTGCAGAATGGAGGCGAATGGAGCGATTCTGGGTGTTTCTCTTATCATGGACGATGTGCTCAGTAGTGGTAGAGATGCGATGCCGCTACAGATGCAGACCACAGACGACAACAAGTCGACATCTGACAGAGAAGTACAGGACAATTCGGCATTTCAAAACGGCCTTCTCTTTAACTCAGAAGAATACAGTGAAACATTCAGGTTTTAAATGTACAAAACATTTCCACATTGGCAGGACAGTTCATACACTGCATTTTCCCTCTTGTTTCTAGTCCAGATATCTAAACATTGTTAAATCAAGAAGCATTTTCTAGATAAGTAAAAATATTGTCTCGTTTTCAGAAATTTTAGGTCAAAACTATGCAGTTTTCTCCTTAAAACAAGCTAAATAATCTGCCAATGAATTCGCAAAATAATCTTGCTTTTGTTTAGATTATTTTACTTACCTCATTGGCAGATTAGTATCAGTTCAGTTTCATTATATAAGAATCAGACTTAATTTTGACATTATTTCTGAAAACAAGACAATATTTTTGCTTGTCTAGAAAATACTTCTTGATTTAAGAATTTTAAAATATTATCTAGAAACACGACAAAAACTCGAGGTAACAAAAACATTTTTGCAGTGTTAAGACGTCCTATAAATCTTTAAGACAGGTAGTAAACTAAACGGATTGCATTTTAAATCACTTTTATTGTCACATTATCAGCAGCACATGTGCAGTGATGAGTGAAAAGCTTTGGTGCTAACCTCAGACAGTGCAAAATACAACAACATACTCCCAAAAAACAAAACAGTATACATTTGTGTGGATTATACATTTTTATCTAAGTGTTTATCAATTGAGTAATGAAAATGTGTCTGATCGCTTGATATATACAAGGTCATTGTACTGTAAAGACGATCTGTGAATTTTAGAAATAAATCCTTATTCATATTTAGATATAGATATTAAGCTATCAATAGATTTAAATATTTATTTGTGATTAATCATATGATTGTCATACGTAAAATGGTCACACTTTACAATAATGTTCATTAGTTAATGTTAATTAATGCATTTACTAACATGAACAAACAATGAACAATACATCTACTACTGTATTTGTTCATGTTAGTTAACGTTAAGGAAAATACAGTAGTTCATTGTTAGTTCATGTTAACTCATGGTGCATTAACTAATGTTAACAAGCATGGATTTGGATGTTAGTAATGCATTAGTAAATGTTCAATTATGATTAATAAATGCTGTACATGTGTTGTTCATGATTAGTTCATGTTAGTAAATGCATTAACTAATGAACCTTATTGTAAAGTGTTATCAGTTAAATTGCTAATTAATTACAGGTTTTATCCATTTAAAGTGTACATTGAATTAATATTATGTTGCGTTTTTAATCTGCATAACAACAGTATCAGGGACTTACTGTAAGTGCACATAAGAAACTGAAATGATTTTGTAAAATGAGTTTAAGCAAATTTTTAGGACAACTTAATTGTTTTATGGTCAATCCACTTAAATTTGTTAAGTTAACTTAATAGATTTGGGTTGGGACAACCTGAATGAATTTTATGAAACCCTGCATTTTTTACAGTGCAAAATGGTTTTATAAGGATGCACCGAAATGAAAATACCAAATACCTAATACCAAACTCGTTTCTGCCATATTTTCCCCCCATATAAATGGGGTCATTTTAAAGTATATCATGAATTAAACTGCCAAAATGGGGTTTTAGGCAAGGCAGTGGCGCAGTAGGTAGTGCTGTCGCCTCACAGCAAGAAGGTCGCTGGTTCGAACCTCGGCTCAGTTGGCGTTTCTGTGTGGAGTTTGCATGTTCTCCCTGCCTTCGCGTGGGTTTCCTCCGGGTGCTCCGGTTTCCCCTACAGTCCAAAGACATGTGGTACAGGTGAATTGGGTAGGCTAAATTGACCGTAGTGTATGAGTGTGGGTGTGAATGTGTGTGTGGATGTTTCCCAGAGATCGGTTGCGACTAAAAGGGCATCCGCTGCGTAAAAAACTTGCTGGATAAGTTGGCGGTTCATTCCGCTGTGGCGACCCCGGATTAATAAAGGAACTAAGCCGACAAGAAAATGAATGAATGAATGAAATTGGGGTTTTACAGATTTGTCTTGGTTTACAAAGAAAAATTGTCCTTCGGCTTAGTCCCTGATTTATTAAGGGTTGCCACAGAGGAATAAACCGACAACTTGTCCATTATTTGTTTTACACAGCGGATCCTCTTCAAGGTGCAACCAAGTTGCACTCTCACATTTACACACACACTCATACACTACAGCCAATTTAGTTCATCCAATTTACCTTTAGTCGTTGGACTGTGGAGGAAAACCACATGAAGACGGGGAGAACATGCAAACTCCACACAGACCCAACACCAACTGACCTAGCCGGGACTTAAACCAGTGACCTTTTTGCTGTGAGGTGACAGAGCTAACCCCTGAGCTAATCTAATGTGAAAACAACAACAACACAAGCATTTCCAGTACCAATACTACAGCCATAAGACCAAAACTAAAGAGAGGGCATTACCCAGTGATAAATACGCTCATAATGCAGTGTATTTCACAATGAGTCACTCAATGTTAAATCACTAAATGCCTCCTCAATTTTAAGTCACTTTGGACGAAAGTGTCTGCTAAATGACTAAATGTATTGTAAAATGCGAACACAGTAATCTGAATGTAAATATTTGTGTGTGGATTCATAGTTTGCTCATATATCAATGACTACGTTTACATGGACACCAATAATGTGATTTTAATGCGATTAAGCCAATACTCTGATTAAGAGTCGACCATGTAAACAACGATTTTTGATAAATTTAATCAGGTTAAGGTCTTGATCGAACTAAAGAGAAATCGTATTTTAGTCACATTATTAAAGTGCAGCACAGACTTGTAAACACCTTAATTGAACTATTACCGTCATGTAGGACTTTTCGCCGCGTTTTGCGACAGGTCACACACACACATACACACACATGTCTGTTTGACACTCTTTGCACCTACCGAGTCAGTGCAGACCACAGACACCTGCATGGTGTAATGCTGAGGTTTTTTTACTTTCATTCAGCATGCAGTATGAACTTCCATTAAAACAACGGTTCATACAGTAGTTGTATCCAATATCCCGTTTGTCACGAGGGGCATGCCCAAATAAAAGTGAAAGTGCCAAACCGCAGTTAAAGTCAACAAATTAATAATGTAACACCCGAAATTACATGAAACTCCGGAGGAAATGCGGATAACGTGGTGACTCAATGACGTTAATCTAAATATGTGCTATGTTAACCGGATCATGAAAGAAACATTCAACAAGCAACTCATGTAATGCAGAGTTCAGACTGCATGGTTTTCAAAGTAGTCGTGTCACAGATGTTTTCACACTGCATGACTATCTGGGCTAGCGTTTCATCGCTGCTTTGTTTACACTGCAAGATGGATCGGCGACAGGGACATTCACATTGCATGACTTTACTATAGGAAGAATCGCCGATAACTTCGTCCAAACTAAGTCTCACAGCCAAAAACACGTCGTATATCTTTTGTTATTAACTACATAATGAGAAAGAAGCCTTTAATGGGGTTGAACATGTACATGTTTGCTCACCTGGTTTTAAAGGGAATTAGCCATTTCTCCTCAACGTTGATAATAAACTAATTTCTTTCTGTATGAAACGTCAAACAGACACGGTTGCTCCTGAGTCCTGTCAAACCTCCACTAGTTTTTCTTCCATTTCGTGGGTCCAAATAAACCAAAAAAGAGTGCTTTTAACTTCTCCCCCAGCCTCCCGCTGGCCTGCAGCAGGTATACACACACGCACACACAAGTGAAAGCTGCTCTCTCATTGGCTGTAGGCGATCGCTGATGTTATTTTCAGTCAAAACTCAATTCACACGGCATGATTTGAATCGCCGACAGCTCCAGATATTTAGCACGCCAAATATCTCACAGGCATCGGCGACTCATCTGCGATTCTCTCAGAGCGTGTCTTTGAAAGTTCATACTGTGTGATTGTCACTCACGTGCACGAGCAGCGATTTGCCTGTGATTTCAGGCATTTGTCGCCGATTTCTCAAAACCTGTCGGCGAGCCAAAATCGGGGCTAAAATCACGCAGTCTGAACTAGGCATAAATGCCTTAAGCTTTTTATTGTCTTAATTAGATTAGGGCAAATAATTTGATTACTGATGTCCATGTAAACGTAGTCACTGTTTAATACGATGATATATGGAGGGCTGCAGCTCTGCACAGTTTAGTTTCAACCCTAATTAAACACACCTAATCAAACTAATTGAGTCCTTCAGGCTTATTTGTAATCCACAGGTTAAGCTGCGGTCACACTGGAATTTTCGCCCAATAAACTTCCATTTATACGTACACGAATGTGTCAGAACGGAAACGCAAGGTCGTGCGTCAAGTTTCGCAGTTTGCTGCATTGCAAAGTTCAAGCTTGATGAACTCTGACTCACGAAATCACATCACTTGAGTGCGTGAGATCAATCGAGGATCAAAACATGACCTCTCTGGACAGAAATTTAAAACATAGATCAATCGCTCGCTTTTTTATACTGTATGTCTAATTATCTTGTTTAATCCCGCCCCTTTTCGCAGCGCCATACAACAGAATTTCGCAAGCTCAAACACTAGCGTGACCACAGCTTAAGTGTGTTGAAGCAGGGCTGGAACTAAACTCTGGAGGGCTGCAGAGTTTGACACCACTGGTTTAAACCATTATTCTCATGTCATATTTCAGCTTCTTGATGACGGCATGGCAAACAATAAGAAAAAAGCAGAGTGTGTGTGTCAAGCTGAAGATGCGTTTCAGAGCCTGTTGAAGCAGAAGGGTTTTCTGCTGCTCTGGAAGCAGATGGAGGTCTTTAAAGAGAGCTGGACTCAACGACAGACCAGTTTCAAAACCATCAACACACCAGCGCTGTTTAAGCACTTCTCTCAGCTCTACAGGTCAATAACATTTATTCGTTCACTCTTAAAAACATTAGAGGTTTGTACAGTTAAAGTCACAATTATTAGCCCTCCTTTAAATATGTTTTTCTTTTTTTGAATATTTCCCAAATGATGTTTGACAGAGCAAGGAAATTTTCACAGTATGTCTGATAATATTTTTTTTTTTTCGGAGAAAGTCTTATTTGTTTTATTTCGGCTAGAATAAAAGCAGTTTTAAATTTTTTAAAAGCCATTTTAAGGTCAAAAGTATTAGCCACTTTAAGTTATATTTTTTTCAATAGTCTACAGAACAAACCATTGTCATACAATAACTTGCCTAATTACCCTAACCTGCCTAGTTAACCTAATTAACCTAGTTAAGCCTTTAAATGTCACTGTAAGCTGTATAGAAGTGTCTTGAAAAATATCAAGTCAAATATTATTTACTGTCATCATGACAATGAGAAAATAAATCACTTATTAGAAATGAGTTATTAAAACTATTAAGTCAATTCTGACAGCTGTATGTATGTATGTGTTTGTTTGTACCCTGTATTCCTTACGTGCACAGCCATACCAGTAAACGTTGACCTTGTGAGGATATGTTTTTGGTCCTTGTGAGAAACCAAACAGCTCATAAATCATGAAAGAAGCATTTTGAAGATGTATAAATACAGATTGTTTCCTGTGAGGGTTGGGTTTTGGGCTATAGTTGGAGGAAGGGGACAGAATATACAGTCTGTACAGTTTAAAAATCATTACGTCTATAGGAAGTCCCTAAAAACATGGTTTTACGTGTTTGTGTGTGTGTGTGTGTGTGTGTGTGTGCGTGTGTGCGTGTGTGCATGGAGTTTGTGTGTGTGCATAAGTATGTACTGTGTGTGTGTGTGTGTGTGCGTGCGTGCGTGCGTGCATGCGTGCGTGCGTGTGTGTGTGTGCGCGTGCGCGTGCATGTGTGTGCATGGAGTTTGTGTGTGTGCATGAGTATGTACAGTATATGTTTTTGTGTGTGTGTGTGTGTGTGTGTGTGTGTGTGTGTGTGTGTGTGTGTGTGTGTGTGTGTGTGTGTGTGTGTGTGTGCGTGTGCGTGCATGGAGTTTGTGTTTGTGCATGATTATGTACAGTATATATATTTATATATTTATGTGTGTGTCTGTGTGTCTGTGTGTGTGGTACTGTATGTGTGTGTTTGTGCATGCATGGGGTTTGTGTTTGTGTACTTGAGTGTGTGAGTATGTGTTATGTATGTGTGGTGTTTACTGTATATGGTGTTTATGTATATGTCTTTATATATGGGTGTGCTTATAAGGTGTGTGTGTGTGTGTATATGTGTTACTCTGACCCATGATGCTGTGTTGTAGGGTGGAGATTTTCTTTCCCAGCATGCAGGCTCTGGCTCAGCAGATGGACGTGGAGAAAGAGTACCAGATTCTGCTTTCTCAGACTCAAACTGTGCTTCCACCTCCTGGAGCTGCAGAAGTCGACATCAAAGCATGGCAGGTAATAAAAATAAAAATAAAATCAGGATTATTACTGGTATGGAAAACTCATACTATTAAAAACTAATTGTTAAATGAAATGAAGCTGAAGTAAAATATATTAACAGAGAAACTTGGACATTGCAGCGTGCTGAAAGTATAACTTAAAAAAATCCATAAAATTATTAATATTTAAAAATCTAAATATGTAGTGGTGGCGCAGTGGGTAGCACAATCACCTCACAGCATGAAGGTTGCCAATTTGAGCTGGGTCAGTTGGCATTTACATGTGGAGTTTGCATGTTCTTCCCGCGTGGATTTCCTCTGGGTGCTCCGGTTTCCCCCACTATCAAAAGAGATGCAATATAGGAGAATTTAATTTACTAAATTGGCTGCAGTGTATGTGTGGAAATGTGAGAGTGTATGGGTGTTTCCCAGTGCTGGGTTGCAGCTGGAAGGGCATCCGTTGCGTAAAACATATGCTGGATTAGTTGGTGGTTCATTCCACTATGGCGAACCCAGATTAATAAAGGGACTAAGTTGAAAAGAAAATGAATAAATGAATGAATGTAAATTATATGGACAACATAATAACTTTTCAGGCTTTTTTTAGTCGAGAATTTAGTTGTTTAGATTGCAACTATTCAGTTTATTTATAAATATATATAAATTATATTTTAAATATTTATAATTTCAGGGCATCAGATTCAATGCATCAGCTGCCATCAGCCTGTTTGAGCAGACCAAAGATCAAATTGACGGTTGACGTTTCGCGACATAGACAGCATATTAATTCCTTAAAGGAGAAAATACAGCATTTTTTTCAAAGTTTCAAACAGCTGAACAAATCATTATAAATATGAAATTAATCTTTTAGTTGCACTAGAACTGGAAATACAATCAAAAAGAAATCACACCAAAATAGTTTTGCTTTAAATATATTATTATTATTATTATTATTATTATTATTAAAAATGAATAATAATTAAAAATGACAAAAGCACAACACTATTAAAATAAATTATTAATAAAAAAGTTTATAACAACAACATATAAAGAAAAGGTAGTTGGATTTTTTATAGATTTAAAGAAGGCATTTGATACAATAAACCCTGATATATTGGTAAATAGATTAGAAAGCTATGGTATTCGAGGAGTAGTTTTGGATTGGATAAGCAGTTATTTAAGCAACAGTTCTTTGAAATCAGCAACCATAAATCTAAAAATATGAATGTCATTGTTCATTCATTTTCTTTTTGGCTTAGTCCCTTTATTAATCATAATATATATATATATATATATATATATATATATATATATATATATATATATATATATATATATATATATATTTATATATATATATATATGAGCATTATCACATAAGTAGCATTGCGATGTGGCTGTATATCGGCACAGGTGGAAGGCGTGCATTAGTGCACCCACCAGTGACGATACACAGCCACATCGCAATGCTACGAGTGTTAGACGGCATAATTGTGTGTATAAAAAAATCTAACTCAGAGTCTTAAAACCCTTTTATAAAAGGAACTACTTTCTTCCGTCATTCTTTAACATCTGCAGCTGACAGTCAGAACAGCAGAAACCATTACAAATTTACCAACGTCATTTTAGAGGCAGCATTTGAACGATTCTCTAGCGTAATGTCTAAAGTTATGACAAAACAGGTGATTTTGCTGACATTTTAAAATTATAAGGCTGAACGGCATGCAATGCCATCAGTTTACTGAGATTTCCTAGTATTTCTCTGTTGCAATTGGGATATCGCAATAATAATTGGTTAGATAACCAATGCACATAACATAGATAACCAATGCACATAACAGTCTCTTTTTCTGCTCAGTACAACACTACTCCATCCCAGTTTGCACTATTTCTTTTATTTTTGCACATGAGCCAATTGCATTAGGCACTTTTTGCATAATAAGCACAATTAAAAAACCTTCATAGATATTTACTTTCATAGATATTTATATACTTACATTTTATAATCATACTTCAGTCACTTCTATGTATATATGTGTATTTATGTGTATGTCGTGTATGATTTGTATGTTGTGTGTATGACTTCACTGTGGACGGCAAAGTAAGAATTTCATTGTACAGGGAAACGTGTTTCCTTACTGTGCACATGACAATAAACAGTTGAATTGAATAATAACAGCAGCAATATTTGTCAAACTGTATTGTGTCCTCTGCTTGTCACTTTATGCGGGCAGTGTAATACACAAGGGTGAAGAGGCTGGACGAGTGCTGTTATTGGCAGAATATACATCTGCCAATCAGATATATATATATACATATATATATACATATATATATATATATATATATATATATATATATATATATATGTGTGTGTGTGTGTGTGTGTGTGTGTGTGTGTGCGCGATAGCCTATAAATAACACATTTAACACTTTTGTAAACCTGATAAGAAAATTTTATTGATTTTTTTTATTTACTTTTAATTAGCAAATCAGTATACTTTATGGTTATGAAACAAAATAAGTGATGCAGATCTGAGCAATATTCATTTGAAATTTTAGCATCTGCAGTCTTTATATGCAGAAATTTTACGTTTAAAATGTCTGGTCTGACTATTTTAAGTTTACAAGTGTGATTATTTATCTTGACATGCACTAACAGACTGAAATTTGTCTGTGGTGTGTGTTGTAGCTCCTGAGACTCCTGGAGATGACGGAGGTTGACATGATCCGTGCGCTTCAGAACAGGATTAACACTGAAATGACTCTAGTGATGTCTGAGCGCTCGCGACACGACATGCAGATCCCTGCAGGTACCAAAGATCGTTGTGGAAAGAGATGAGACGAGTCTGGATGCAGTGCAGTCTGAGCTGCATTCAATACTTTTGTCATTGTGAGGGGTGGGGTTAGGTGAGCGCAATTTCAAACAGAAATTAAGGTAAAAGTATATAAAATAATTCAAATTTAACACGAGGGTTAGCAATTATGACTGCAACTGTATATTTGGACAGATAACAACAGTCCTTTCTAGATTGGTTTGTTCATCTCAGTCTTGTTTGGTGTTTTCACATGTGATAAAGATCTGTGGAAAAGACCATCAGCGAAACACAGCGTATCTTTAGAGAGACCGCAGATTGTGGAGGATTTTATCCAGAGACTGATGAGCGCTGAGGAGAGACAGACTGATGGACAGGTGAACAGTTCCCTCTATAGGCAAAAACTGCTTTTCATACAAATATCAGTTTTACAGTTTTGGGCTGTTTGACGTTTGTGTACACTTTTCCTATTTATGTATAGAATGGCATCCACAGCATAAAACATATGCTGGAATCGTTGGTGGTTCATTCAGCTGTGGGGACCTCTGATAAATCAGAGACTAAGCTAAAGAAAAAGGATTGAATTTTACATATGTATTGTGAATATATATTGGTATGTAATGAATAATTAGAGTATTTTCTAGGTGACGTTCTCCACTGCTCATCTGCAAGATTGTTTGACTGAGCTGTCCTGTGCTGTAATGAATCGTGAGAAAAGCGTCTTCCAGCGGTATTCGCAGTTTTATGAGCACATCCTCCAACAGCAGGAGCAACTGCTTTACCAGAGAGAGCAGGTACATCACCTAAACATGCATTTATTTCATTAGTAATACTGGAAACTGATGTGCTTTCTGTTTGAATATACAGTGAATATGAATATACAGTGCTCAACATAAATGACTACAACTAATTTTAAAAATGATTATTTTTATCCATTTCTCAGTGAATATAGGCCATATATTTTGGTGCATTTAAACAAAACAGATTTATTAAACAGGAATACTTATTAAAACAATATTTTAATCAACGAACATCTTTGAAATAGAAAGTTGATATAGTTAAATTCGTGTTAAATATTGAAAAAATTTAAAAACTACAAAATTTCAGCAAAATTTTATACATTTTTTGTTTCTCTTGATTTTGTTCTTTTTTATATATGTTTATTTTTCCCTAACATATAAATTTAGGTGTACTAGTTTTCGACTGATATAAGTTATTTTGTTAGAATAGCTCCAGATTTGGCTTTAGTACTGGCTAAACTATGTATATGCACAAATATAATTTTGAAAAGAAAATATTAATTTATATGAGAGATTTGTAAGGCGTAAACTCATAAATGTTGAGCACTGTATTTAAAATGTAATTTTTAAATGTGACAGTCCAATCTCATGTGGATTTTCAGAAATCATTCTAATATGCTGAATTGCTCCTTATCTAATATTTTAGTGAAAACCATGATACGCTTTAGTATTTATTTCTAATAGCATTGCATAATAAATGTCATTTTCTGTCAGTTTTGCTCAATTTAATGCACACATGCTGAATATAGTAATGTCCATTGCTTATATGGTTTAAAAATATCTTACAATTCACCCCAAAAAAATGAAAAGTTTAAAACCTTTAAAAATATTATATCAGTTAGTCATGACGACACATGTTTTTAGTTTACTTATTAAACTCAGTTAATCATGTTCTAACTTAATTTTATAAGTTATGTAAGCTAATTTAAGTCAGTTTAACATAATAAAAGTTCAATGGCCTCATAATGTTAATTTGATTAAGTTTAAAAATTTAAGGCAATCAGAATTTTTTTTTACTGTGTAGATATATATTAAATTAAATCAATTAAATGAAATCATGATATAAAGTAAAAGTGTAAAATTTGATTTTGAAATAGTTAAATGAAATACAAATTACGTTTAATAAATTCCATACTATATAGTACGCCAAAATCAGTATGCGAGCCGAGTAGTATGTCCGAATTCATAGAATTCGAAAATCAGTATGCGAGAAGTACCCGGATGACTTACTACTTCCGGCGAGATTCCGGAGTGCGCATCCCATGCATGCTGCGCTATCCCATGATGCCCCGCGAGCGAATTCATGAATGGAAGTAAAGCGACGCAACTGACACATATAGGTCACGTGACCATGACAAAATGGCGGATGTACTGTAGTACGTCCGAATTCCATTCATACTTTTCACATTCATACTGTATAGAACGTACTTTTCTAATGGCCGAGTAGTACGTTTAAATTGAAATGCAGTACCTACTGAGTAGTAGGCGGTTTCGGACGCAGCCTCACATAATAAATTAAATGTAAATTAAATAAGAGAAGAGCTCATTTTTACTAAAAAGACTGATAGAAATTATAAATTAATATAAAATATAAGTAAATTATGTTCACTTGAAGACGTGTTCAGTAATATAAAAATCAAGACAATGTTCTAGAACAGGGGAGGCCGACCTTGTTCCTGGAGAGCCACCTTCCTGCAGATTTCAGTTGCTACCCATATCAAACACACCTGCCTGTAATTATCACGTGGTGTTCAGGTCCTAATTAATTGGTTCAGGTGTGTTTGATATGGGTAGCAACTGAAATCTGCAGGAAGGTGGCTCTCCAGGAACAGGGTTGGGCACCCCTGCTTTAGGTCAAATACCATCTCTTCTGTTTGTTCATGTGAATGTTTAATAATTTTCATTTGTATGAAACATCCACAATGTTGATATATTCATAGCTGCCAACATTTGTCTTTAAAAAAATTCGGGAGGAGTGAGGGGGATTTTAGGGGTAAGGTGTCTGAATAACACAACTGAGAACCGGGTTAGTAACTGTACTATGGTGTTAGTAACTACTATGGACCGGGTTTTGCATTGCCGCTGAAATCGTATACTATACCAAAGTTAATGACCCGGGGTTGTTACAGACAGTACCAAAAAGCTGAGGTCTGAGGGGCGGAGGGGTGAGGTTTTGAACCTATGGGATTTTTCTGGGAGAAATAACATAACGGGAGGGTGGGGGGAGATTGGTCTGAAATACAGTAGACTTGACAGATATGATTATATTTACATTATATTTGTATTACTATGTGATTGTTTTTACTATGAAGGTAGGCAATGATGCTGACATGGCATTAAATAAAAGATCCAATACAATCCAATAGGATACAATAAACTAATTAGAATGAGCAATTCCAGCATTATGGATGTGACATTTTTAGTAAAAACTCAATACAAAAATTCGTAAGTACAGTTGAAGTCAGAATTATTAGCCCCCTTTTGATTTTATTTTTATTTTTTTTTAATATTTCCCAAATTATTTTTAACAAAGCAAGGAAATTTTCACAGTATGTCTGATAATATTTTTTCTTCTGGAGAAAGTCTTATTTGTTTTATTTCGGCTAGAATAAAAGCAGTTATTAATTTTTTAAAAACATTTTTGGGACAAAATTATTAGGCCCTTAAGGCTAATTTTTTTTTTCGGTAGTCTACAGAACAAACCATCGTTATACAAAAACTTGCCTAATCACCCTTACCTGCCTAGTTAACCTTATTAACCTAGTTAAGCCTTTAAATGTCACTTTAAGCTGTATAGTAGTGTCTTGAAAAATATCAAGTAAAATATTATTTACTGTCATCATGTCCAAGATAAAATAAAATAGTTATTAGAAATAAGTTTTTAATACTACTATGCTTAGAAATGTGCTGAAACAATCTTCCCTCCATTAAACAGAAATTGGTGAAAAAAATAAACAGGGGCGCTAATAATTCAGGGGGGCTAATAATTCTGACTTCAACTGTATATGGACATATTTTCCAAAATAAATGACCACAGAGCTATAGGATCAGAAAAATATCAATCTCTAAACATGTTTAATATTTTAAATGAGGGAAACAAACATGCATTATATGGATGTGACCAAAAAAGTCTGCAAGTTTACAGTATACAACATATTTTGTAGAAATTCTGTGAATTAAATTGCACAACCCAAAAGAAATATTGGTAATCAGAAGGATAAGAGTTGCTCTCTGTAGAACAAACCGGATTGATTTTATTTTATTTGACATTTTTGCATTTATGAGCAAAAAAGCTTCAATATGGATTTGACATCTTTCTGTTGTGGATGTGACAGATGTGAAATTGGCACTTGTGTGACTTTGGTAAATCAAACATAATAGTTTAAAAAACATTCACAAAGTCATTTTAATTTAAAATAGTTATATATTATTAATATGTTCAGTTTAAAATATTTTAAAAGTGATGCAACAATACGGATGCATCTTTCTGAACTGAGATCAATCTATTTCTGCAGGATGTTAAAGAGCTGGAAGCCAAAAACCTGCAGTCCAGCGATCCTTACAGAAAGGTAAAGTCGGCTTTTTGCATATATCAGCATGTTTCTTCACTGAATCATTCATAAACCTGTCTAATCTCAGGTGTCAGATGTGTGTCGAGGGATGATGCTTGAAATCACAGCTTTGCGCGCAAAAGTTAATCAACTAGAAGAGGAAAAGAGAAACTTGGATCAACACCTCAACCTCAAACACAGAGAACGATATGACACACTGGTTCACCAGCTGTTTTCCTCATGTCTGCTTCTAAAGGTGTGTTTTGAATACACATGCTGCATCCTAATTCACCATTGATACTATGCCCTAAATGTATGTGCTCTTATCGTGAAGAAAGATACATGCTTTTTAGTGAGTAACAAAAGAGTAGTCAAACTTCAGAACAAACTATGTCATCATTATCTTCATGTTATTTGAAATTTAATGCACAAACGTGTCTTTATAATAATTGATCATTGTTGTAGATGAAATGAGTAATGTGGATAAAATGAATTAAATATATTTCTTGTCAGGTTAGTTATTTTAATTAACAATCATTCAATCCCAGGTTATGATTTTCATAACAACGACATCTCAAACAGTCTTGTAATCTTTGCATTTAATGACAGTTGTCATGTGCATGCATTTCAAGAGTTCACACTTAGCTGATGATTGATTATGAAGCAAGTTTGGCATGCTGTCCCGGGAGTGGGCCCTGAGCTCATAAGGTTCTTGAGCCCTGGGCTCGCTCCTGTTTGTAAGGCGAGGGGAGTTTGAGCTCAGGTAGGTCACGAGAACCAGGCCCGGATTGGCTAATCGGGAGGACCGGGAGAATTCCCGGTGGGCCGGTCCGTTTTTTGGCCGCGAGGGCCGGTGTCCCTAGTTCCAGAATCGGTTGCTCTCAGCAGTCACACTTTTTAAAAATAATTTATTTATTTACTTGACCACAGCCTTCTTATTCATTATTTTACTGCAGCTCTGCTCTTTTTATCTATTTTCTCGTAGCCTCGTGAGCAGGATGCAGGTTAATGATGATATAACTAGATAAGTCACCATTCAATGTACAGCTGTTGTGGTACAGTGGTTAGTACGTTAGATTATGACGCGGCCAACCTGGGTTCGGTCCTTGTCGAAGTAACAATTTTTTTTTTTTTTTTTCATTTTTATTGTTAAGACATAATACTGTAAGGGTTGTTGAACATTTGAAGTTCTAAAAGTGCTGTTTTCTCAAAAATAGACGTGATAGTGTAATTAGAAACTGAATTGGAAATAACCTTATTTTAATATAGTCAGTGGTGAACTGAGGTGGGCCGGTCTAAGGCTTGAAACTCCAGGGCTGAAAAAGAGTCCCACTCCGGCCCTGACGAGAACTCCCACTTTTTGATAAGAGCTGATGGCAGAATATAATTGCTTTGAAGAAATATCCTGCTGGATAAGAGTTTGACTATAGTGCTAAGTTCAGATTAATCAATTCACTTATGAGTAGGCCCACAAGGAATCTGCGTGCGCAGAATTCCGCATATTTCCGCAGATTTTTAGTCCATCATTGATTCTGTTTATTTACTTGAATAAATGTGTAAAAAATATGTTATGATTATCAGTGACCACCTGAGGGCGCTGTAGTTCAATGTACACTGAGTTGGAACTACAGCGCCCAAAAGGACTACAAATCCATACATACCACGCGCATACACCGGAACACATACACTGATTGTATTCACAGCTGTCTCCGTTTCTGTTGATAATCTGGACTATATATTCTATCATTCCACCACTGTTTGTCCTGGGGTTGTTTGTCTTTCTTGTCTCCTGTTTATAGTAAGTCTGATATTCCGAGTTGTTGTTCCTGATCTTGTTCTTGTATCCTGCTAAAGTCTAGTTCGTGTTAATCTGTCTTAGTTTCTTGTTTTGTTGTTTGTTTGTTATTTTGCTCCTTTGCATTTTGGATTTTTGGATTTTTTGTCACTATACTGCACTATATATCTATTAAAATCTGCACTTGGATCCGCTATCTTTTGTTCCCGTTTTTGTTTCTGTTTTGATCACGCTAAACGTGACAGAACGACGCGATCAAACAGTGGTGGGATGATGGAATATATAGTCTGGATTATCAAAAGAAACGGAGACAGCTGTGAATCGTTCTTCGTCAGTCACATGCGTTTCAATCAGTGTATGTGTTCCAGTGTATGCGCGTGGTATGTATGGAGTTGTAGTCTTTTTGGGCGCTGTAGTTCATACACTGAGTCCGTTGAACTACAGCGCCCTCAGGTGGTCACTGACAGTTGTGACATAAATCTATATTCATTCAGATTTTAAATTAAGTACAGTAATATTATTGATTAATATGAAAATGTTTATCTGATTTATGTAAAATGCACAGTAATGTGTACAGTAATATTTTCTGTCTTTTAGTTGGTATATTATATGAGAGACTTGCTTTGTTTACCAAATAAGTGAATCGATTTGGATGTGCATTTTAAACAATAAATAAAAGTTAAAAAGATATTATTTTTTATTTCACAAATTAAGGTTTCAGTTATGATACTTCCAAAATAATTCCACAAAAATCTGCAGATTTTTACCAAAATTCTCCGCAAAAATAGCAAAAGAAATCTGCAGGTTCTGTCTGGCCCTGCTCATGATGCTAATTTTTGGTATGTGGGAGGAAACCAGAGAACCTTGGGGAAACCCACGCGAGCATGGGAAGAACATGCAAACTTGGCACAGAAGCGACAGCCGGTCTGTTAAGGGCTAGAACCCTTGACGTTTCTTGCTGTGAGGCAACAGTGTTAATCACTGGGCCACCGTGCCGCCCTATGAAGGGAAAGATGGAGAAGTAGGGGTGGAAGGGGGTATTCTTCGAGACGAAGATGACTGTAGTAAGAAACCCTGGCTCTTTATATAGTTATGAATCGCATGATGGGTGAATTATGCTTTAGCTAATGCAGAACCAGCCGTGGTCAATCAGAATCACGTGATCCTCTTGAAATTAGTTTATAAATAAACTTTACCAAATCTCAGTGTCGTATAATGATTATAATGTCTTATGAACTCCCATTCTGTTTTTTAGAAATGTCTCTTCAGAAAGAATTGTAACTTATTTATTAAATATCGATGTGAAAAATCACATTTGATGTTTCTAATATAATATATAATATTATTATAATACATAATGTTGTCCCTTATGTGTGTACTTTGACCTGTCCACCAAGACCCCTTACATACACAGACACACACACACACACACACACACGCGCGCGCAAATATACACACGCACATATAGGCACCTGCCAGTACCTGACTGTATTGTTGTTTTTTGTTGATGCTTCATTTTCTTTATATTTGTATGATCCCAATTTGTGTACCTTTTGCAAATTGTTATAAAAAATAATAATGTCTTAGATAAAATATGGTATATTAAAAAGTTTTTTTTTTTGTATAGTCTCTTATTGATGAAGAGTATGAAGTTGTCTGTGCCATATATATTGTCTCCGATCCAAGTTGTAAGAGCAACAAATAATAACTTCTAGTTGATCATTTAGCAAAGTGGCAGAAGGTAGATTTTTCCATTTGTGCTGCCCATTACATTAATAAAGCACATAAGAGGGCAAATTCTCCAGCAGTATAGCACTCCTTCTCATACTTCAGCCTCCACATCAAAGTTTCTGAAAGCAAAGAAGGTTAAGGTGCTCCAGAATTGGCCAGCCCAGTCCCCAGACTGAAACATTATTGAGCATGTCTGGGGTAAGATGAAGGAGGAGGCATTGAGGATGAATCCAAAGAATCTTGATGAACTCTGGGAGTCCTGCAAGAATGCTTTCTTCACCATTCCAGATGACTTTATTAATGAGTGATTTGAGTCATTGTAGAGATGTATGGATGCAGTCCTTCAAGCTCATGACGGAGTCAGACACAACATTCATTCTGTTTCCACTGCAGCATGACTTTATATTCTATACTGGACATTACTTCTGTTAAGTGACTAGACATTTGTCTTTTTGTCTCTTTTGTATACCAAATGAGCAACTAGAAGCCAAGTTATTATTATTAAAACTTGGATGGGCGACAAGACTTTCGTCAGGTAGTGTACAGTATATACACACACATGTATGTAGTCATGGTTCTTATCCATATTGATCTCACCATGAAATAGCCATAATAAGCTGCTGATTTGGCAATAATAAACAAACAAACAATACTACAGTTTGGGAGACGCATTCTTTTTGTATCCTAAATAAGATAGATAGTATACAAATTGGGACGCAGCATAAAGCCATAAAAGTTCAATTGTTTATGCATAAAATGACTTAAACAATATATTTAGTGCGACTCTTTCTGCCGTTCACAGGCACGTCTGGACAGTTATAATGAGAAAATGGACCATGATGTCCGTCAGCTGATCAGCAGCGTGAGGAAGGAAGGCGTGGACAGAATCATCAAACTGAAAACTAGATTATCACCCGCTGATGATAACCAGAGTCTCATTCACACACTTCAGCAGGTAAGCTGCTGGGATGAGCTTTGTTATAATGCAGAAACCCACAATGGTATTTTAAAAAAAATGTGGCTTTTAGGGTGAAATGTCACATTTACCTTTTCTCCGTGGTGTTTATCTGACATTATTATGTCTTGGTTGGGTTCAGAAAGAGCTTTTAGAGGATCTTGATGGGGAGAACAGCAGGCTGGCTGCGCTGGTGTGTAAACTGAGAATCTTTAGCCGCTGGAAGCTGCTGACAGAGCAAGAGAGAATCCAGAAAGAGCTGCTGCACTGGAGACTGGTATGAAGTGCACGTGATAAATCAGTCTCAACCACCTTCCTGGAGGACCGTCCTGCACAATTTCCATGTTTCCTCAACCAAATGTATTCAGATCATCAGCATTTTTTGCAGAGAGCAGAGACTTGTAATGGATGTGACAGACAAAGGAGACATCCAAAACATGCAGTGTTGGTGGCTCTCCAGGAATGTGGTTGAGAAACACTGTGTTAAAGGGACATCAGTTAATAATAATTTTTAGTTTGTAATAATTGCTAATATCGCAATACATGTTTGCAGCAAAACGAAATATCGCAATGTCAGATTAGCCAATACCGTGCAGCCCCACTGTGAATGAATGCTGCTTCTGTGTGTCCAGAATGAGGCGTCGTGTAAAACTGAAGCTGTAAAAGTGAAGCTGATCTCAGAGCAGAAGGAGATTGTGTCCAGACAGGAGCTGGATGCAGTGAAGGAGGCTCTGCTGCAGTGTCAGACTGAATATGAACACATACAGAAGCAGATCACACTGCAGGTATGCACATCTATCATATGCGAAAGCATAGCCATCAGAAAGACTTGAAATATATAAACTGCCTGATGAAAGTCTTGTTGCCTATACAAGTTTTAGGAGCAACAAATAATAACTTGACTTATAGTTGATCACTTGGTATCAGAAGTGGCTTATATGAGAGGCAAAGGCCTCTAGATTATGCTTTTTTTACCAAAATAAAATATGTTCATGCCTTGATTTTTAATGATTTAATTAGGACAGTAAGGTTTGACTTTGCTTAGACAAAAGTCTTGTCACTTAGCAGAAATAATGTCCAGTATAGAATATAAAGTCATGCTGCAGTGAAAGAAGAATGAATATTGTGACTGACTCCATCATGAGCTTGGAGGACTGCATCGTTTCTGCAATGACTCTAATCACTTATTAATAAAGTCATGTGGAATGGCAAAGAAATTGTTCTTGCAGGACTCCCAGAGTTCATCAAGATTTTTTGAATTCATCTTCAATGCCTCCTCCTTCATCTTACCCCAGACATGCTCAATAATGTTCATGTCTGGTGATTGGGCTGGCCAATCCTGGAGCCTTCTTTGCTTTCAGGAACTTTGATGTGGAGGGTGAAGTATGAGAAGGAGTTGATGTTGCCATCCACTCTGCAGATCTCTCGCACACCCCCATACTGAATTAACCCCAAACCATGATTTATTCTTCACCAAAATTGACTGATTTCTGTGAGACTCTTTGGGTCCACGCAGGTTCCAGTAGGTCTGCAGTATTTGTGATGATTGGTATGCAGTTCAACAGATGATTCATCGGATAAATCTACCTTCTGACACTTTTCCAAATGATCAACTAGAAGTCAAGTTATTATTTGTTGCTCTTACAACTGAGATCGACGACAAGACTTTTGTCAGGTAGTGTTTGTATAACCCTGATAGAGCTGAATGTATAAGCTTGTCCATTGACAGGACAATATTTGGCAGAGATGAAACTATTTGAACATCTGGAATCTGAGAGTTAAAAATATATATTTGTAAATATAAATATTATTCAATATTTAGATGTTTTTTTTATAATATTATAAGTAAGATATAATCAAGAGTGTTGAGAAAAGTGTTTTGGATAACATTCTTCAGGATATCTTGTTTTGTCAAGAAAGAAATTCATAAAAGCTTACAACCACTTAAATGTGAGGAAATGATGAGGAAATGTTAATGTTTGGGTGAATTATCCCTTTAATGGTATAAATACAAATGTATTTTTAAAATTGCTAAATTCTTTTCGACATTAAAAATCAGAAGTTGATAACTTGTTGAATCACTGAATACCTCCTCAATTGTAAGTCGCTTTGAAAAAAGGCATCTGATAAGTGATTAAATGTAATGTAAATATAAGTGTGAAAGATCAAGTCTGAACTTACAATGCTAAAAATGTTGTTTTGCATCACAGGAATAAAATAAAAACAATAGAAAATTGTTATCCTTTAACTGTAATAATATTTCAGTAACACCAAAGACTATAGACGAATTACCACACGGTTCCTGGTTGAAAAAAAAAAAAAAACGCTGGCAATAGCAAACGTGTCGTGTTGTGCAGTAGGATGCCAAATTCAAAAGTCCAAAAATAGAAAACTTAACATTTACCGTACACCACACTGCTTTTAATGCCAACTGCAGATGTCTTTGGCTAAAAGGGAGCTGAATAAAGTGACGATCTGTAGACCAATTACCATGTTTGTAAACATTCAGGATGCGCGTGCAGGGAGGTGGCAGAAGAAACGGGAGCAGTACAGTATGCTGAATCATACACATTACTCGTTTTTGATTGCAGCAATGATTTCAGCAAAAACAGTTAAATAGGGTTAATTAAACCACGGACACTGAATGCTAAGAATATAATATAAGTTATATATATAAGTTATTAAGGTAAACTTGGTTTTATATTCACACATTCATTCAGTGACAACTTGTGACACACTCCCTATATTGTTTACCACGGCACTTTGAATATTCGATCTGAAGTAACCTGCAAGTGTGACTTAAAAACAACATTAACACTGTTTATTTGACTGTGAACATTATTGTACTTTAATAGTCATAGGCTGCTAAAATTATTTAGCTATTTAGAGTTTTGCAAATAATAAAGTCCGAATGTGCGTATATAAAACCAACTTTACCTCTATGTGTAAGATCACATACCCTGCCTTAAGTTCAGGTGTAGTTCGCTGTCAGAATGCAGTTGTTTTGCTTGTTGATGATTACCCAGAGCTTGTACAGCTCCATCTTCTTTCCCTGTCTTTGGCTAGGCAGAACATTGTTTTTTTGCACTATAAAGTTTTAAATCTGGTCATCATGGAGCATTATTTCTCGCACATGACCACACAGAACAACATTGTAGGCATCCAAAGACTTGTAGGCCTTTAACTTCTCTCTTGTTAAAACACTTGGAGCTTCAATGAGATTGTATATTTGGGGCTGGATGCTTGGCCATTTCGTCTTATCCAATATCCATTGGGAGGGTGCTATCGCAAATGGACCTGTCAGATACTGTCAGATAAACGACACTCACTTTAAGGTTTATTTTGCAGAATAACTGTGCTTATTACTGGGTGACAAGCTGTTATAATACGCTGAAAGCATTATTATCCGTCTTTCGGATGAGACGTTAAACCGAGGTCCTGACTCTCTGTGGTCATTAAAAATCCCATGGCACTTCTCGTGAAAGAGCAGGGGTGTAACCCCGGTGTCCTGGCCAAAGTCCCTCTATCGCCCCTTACGATCATGGCCTCCCAATCACCCCCTTCCACCGAATTTGCTCTATCACTGTCTCTCCTCTCCACCAATAGCTGGTGTTTAGTGAGCGCACTGGCGCTGTTGTCCTGTGGCTGCCGTCGCATCATCCAAGTGGATGCTGCACACTGGTGGTGGTGTGGAGGGACCCCCCTCATGATTGTGAAGCGCTTTGGGTGTATGGCCATACACAATAAATGCGCTATATAAAATACACATTACATTACATGTAAATAATATATATATAATATGTAATCAATATAACTTATTTCTGAGACAACAACAAACTGTGCCACATCAGATGTCGTTCCCTCGCTGTAAATGCTAGTGCTCCCGATTTTTTTTCCCGACACCTTCCTGCGCACGCATTCTGAATGTTTACAAACATGGTAATTCGTCTAAAGAATGCACAAGACATGTCACTCATGTAGTTTTAAATGGGGAAAAGTGTAACAGTCAGTATGGTAAATGAAGCCCCACCTTCTAGTATAGGAGCCAATCAGCAATCACTATAGACTGATGATTCTACGGGGGCAAGGGCTCGGACTTGACGTGAGTTTCTGCAGATTTTGTGTGATTTGAACGTTTAGAAGTGAACTAAAGAATCAGCTGTTCTTTAATTTTATTAGTGATCCCTAAAATGAAAATAGGGATCCCTATCAAACAGAATGCCTGAGCGTATTGCCCAAAACGTGTTTCAAAGAGTGAAATGACTCGCCTTAAAGGGACTTTGGTAACACGTGTGATTTGCTTCCCTGACAGAGTCAGAAGCTGCAGGACATTGAGCATCGCTCAGCTCGAGATGCTCAGAGCCGTCAGGAGCTGCAGACTCTAAGGATGGAGAGTGTGGAGACGCTGCAGGAGGACGTGCTGGACCGAGAGAGTCAGCTGAGGACACTGAGCGCACAACTTCAGAAACACACCCACGACACACAGATCAGACAGCAGCGCAGCCACAGACACATCAGACAAGTCAGTCTCAGCTCAACGCATTACACACAACTAAACCTTCAAATATTCTCAGCTTTTGGACCTATTATGCACCTTTATACAAGATGTAAAATAAGTCTCTAATGTCTCTAGAGCAGCGGTGTACAACTAATTTTAGCTCAGGGGCCATATGGAGTAAAATCTGTTCTCAGGTGGGCTGGACCGGTCAAAACAATGTACCATATTTCAAAAGGTACATTTTCATACGACTGAACTCGCATGAAATAGCCATTAAACTGACAAAATGTTAAATAGTTACATTTCCTCGTGAGATCCCCTCAGTGTGCAGGGCTTCCCACAGGTTTGAAATATACCTGCAGTGGTAGCCGGATTGAAAAACACCCTTTTCCCACGGCACATAAATTAATGTGCAAAAAATAATGTGATTTTAACTTGATTTTTATTTGTTATGACACTGTTATACACCTTTTTTTTCAATGGGTTAAAGTTATTTTAAAAAGGCTGTTGAAATAATAGAAATCCACTATTTCTCTTACTTTTATGATATTTAGGAGCCATGTGCACACACTGACAGGTAAAGGGTCTCTCTCTCTCTCTCTCTCTCTCTCTCTCTCTCTCTCTCTTTCTCTCTCTTTCTCTCTCTCTTTCTCTCTCTCTCTCTCTCTCTCTCTCTTTCTCTCTCTCTCTCTCTCTCTCTCTCTTTCTCTCTCTCTCTCTTTCTCTCTCTCTCTCTCTCTCTCTCTCTTTCTCTCTCTCTCTCTCTCTCTCTCTCTCTCTCTCTCTCGCATGGTGCCATAGCTGTGAATGCGTTTGTTTCAATTATAAATCCAGGTAATAGTGATGAATGTCCTTTTTGTTCTCAACGTGAAACCCTATATCATGCTTTTATGTTATCTTTTTTCAGGTCTTAACTAACTTGTTTGTTCATTTTGGCGAGACATTTTCTATGGAAACGTTTATTTGTGGTTATAAGTATACACGTAAACGTCGTTTTTTTTTTGTCAGTTATTAAATTTTCTTTTGGGTCAAGCAAAAATGGCAATTTATGACACTAGAAAAGTACAAGTTGAGCAAAACTCAAGTGGCTGTTTAAAAAAAAATCTTTTTTTTAACTTGGTAAAATTCAGAATTTTATTTGATTTCCAGTATTACAAAACAATGGGTGATCTTATGTGTTTTGAAAAAATTTGGTGTCACAAAGAAGTTTTATGTCAAATTTGTGATGAAAATTTAGAGTTTATGGTTTATTAGGCTGTTTTTAATTTTTATGTGTAACATTTGATTGTATAACGTCTTTAAAATGTTTATTAAAGGCGTGTTGAAAATTCAAAAATTCTCTCTCTCTCTTTCTCTCTCTTTCTCTCTCTCTCTCTCTCTCTTTCTCTCTCTCTCTCTCTCTTTCTCTCTCTCTCTCTAAAGTTGCTATATTGGAATGACATTTACAGTATTGTCAAAGCATTTTTGATATGTATAAAGTATGTAATATATTAACACCATTAAATTATTAAAAGAAACAGCAAAGGAGAAATACATATTTAAAAAATGAATAAAAATATGTAATTTTGACAATGAGTGCCGCTGTTTGGGCCTGTGTGTTTACTGTTTTAAAAATATAGAGTTCCAGTTGACGACAGCATCAAAGCAATCAAGAAAAACTGTGTTATCATATTACTAATATATTGCATAATTTGTACTGTACTGTATGTACTGTTCCATTCTTCTATTTTTAAATAAATTACTTAAATTACTTTAAGTAAATTACTTACTATTAACGTATTACACCTAAAAGAGTTAAAAAATAATCTATTACTGAAAACTGTACAGTTCATCAAACTTAATTAATTTTATTTATTTATTTATTTGACATGGACATCACAATTACAATAGACAACCAAATGCATTTATTTAAGTGTTTTAGGAAACTTGCTAATTCTCAACACCTGTCCACAGGAGGCTTGACAAAATTGACAAAATGGAAATATAATAAATACGTATATACACAACATTATAATTCTTTTACACAAATTCACTTAATTGTAACAAGTCGAAGTAATTTGTTTAAGTTTTCACTTTTTACAGTGAAACATCTGGGCCAAATACTACATTTTACATCTGGCCCAAGTATTGTGTGCCGCCTTAAAGGCTGTGTCACCTCTGCCAAACCAGGGCCATGTTTGGCCCACAAGCTGTATGCCAGTGCCGGATGAATGCCTGTTGTGCCAGATTGATGACAGATCTGGGCCAGAATTCTTTGCTGTCTTGGATATTGACTTGCCTAATTACTCCAACTTACCTAATTAACCTAGTTAAGCCTTTAAATTGCACTTCATCATGGCAAAGACAATATTGGTTATTAGAAATGAGTTATTCAAACTATTGTTTAAATATGTGGTAGAAACATTGTAAAATCATTATATATACACTAATAATTCAGTGTAAATGCTTCTGTATTGTGAAGGTGAGAGGTCAACTTCATCAGGAGCGAAGCCTGAAGCTCGAAGCCTTCCAGCATGTGGACAAACTCCACAATCAGATCCAGAATTACGAGGCAGCGCTGCAGTGTAAATCCACTGTTCCTTCAGGTGCTCACAGTACTGCTTTATATTATCTGCTTGTATTTAGGAAGCGTTTTCTTCATACTGACTTGCTTTTTTTCATGCTTCAGGACGACAGAGTTCCTCATCAAGAAGGCTACGTTTAAGAAATGCATCAGCAGGTAAGTCAGTCACTTTCTGGTGTGTTTTTGTTTCTAAGCTTGATTTTTTTTCCCACCTGTGTGTGTTGTTGTGTCGCAGGATTGCTCAGAAACAGCTCAGTGATGTCTTCCACAAGCATGAGCTTTATAAACCCGCTGGAGGAGTTCAGTGCTGATGCTGTATGGAGAGAGACTTGGACGCCTCTGGACAGACCTAAAACAGTGAGTAGGACTCATTTAAAGGGATTACATTGTGTACTGAAATGATTCATTTCTTAAACTAAAATGTTAAGTGGAATAGAGTAAAATATTAAAAATATTATTAATATTTTAGTATAGTATTAATATATAAAATTGAGTAGGCTAAACTGTCTGTAGTGTATGACTGTGGATTAGTGTGTATGGTTGTGTACTGGAAGGGCATCCTCTGTGTAAAACATGCTGGATAAGTTGGTGGTTCATTCTGCTGTGGCGACCCTAGGTTAATAAAGGGACTACGTCGAAAAAAGAAAATGAATGAATGATGAATGAATAATTGAGTTTTCAAGTTGTGTAACTAGTACTGAAATTATGTAAAAATTAAAATATTTAATTAATAAAGTCATCTTAAAATAAAAAATAATGAAACCAATAAAAATAGCAAAAAAAAAAAAAAACACCCAACAAAGTTAAATTCAATTTTGACTAACATTAAAACAAAAATACATTTTATAACAAAGGAAAAACAAATAAACCTGAATCTGAGTCATATTTAAACAATGGTTCACTACCATAAATACAAAAATAGATAAAAAAAAAATAAATAAATAAAACTATACAAGTTTTTTACATTTTAAGACTTTTTATTTAAAAAAAAAAAAAAAAAAGCTTAGCTCTATAAGGTTCTTTCTGTGAGCCAATCAGCATTTTGAATGCATACACGAGGACCATTCAGGATCAGCTTTCTTAGTCATTTTGCCGGACTTCTCCATTGACAGCAGGAAACACCAGAAAGACAAAATCACACAATATCAGAGTCGACTAAATAATGCCGCACCACACAAAATTGACATGTTTTTACATGTGAAGCATTTCTTGACATTGAGATTAAGTGGTACATTTTACATTGTTGAAAAAGAAACAAATATTTTTAAAAAAATGATGCATTAAATGTGAAATATTTTTGTGTATATATAGTCAGGGAAACATTTTTCAGTGTTTATTAATCTCATTTGCTCATTGTCTGTTTTCTTTTTAAGTCTTTAAATTTGATATTAAGCTTTGAAGGGCGAATACTGAATTTAATTCATGGGGCAAATAATGTAATAAATATATTTCAAAAATTCATATTAGGCATAAAATTGTATAAATATTACCATATTAATTAGATTAAATTAACATCTACACTGGATAAAATATTTAGCACAGCCTTGTGTGCCTTATTTGAACAAGAAAAAATATTCATCCTAAAACATGAAATAAATGTTCTAGAAAGCAAAACTGTAACTTTCTCAAGCATCAACATATTGTTACAACACCAAATTATATATTTATATTTTATTGTATTCCTTGAAAAGTAATGCTTCAATGAATGATCTGCCAGACAGAACCTTTTAATTCCAAGTGGAAAAGGACTTTTTTTTTTAGAATTAGAAGGTTCTATCTGCATTTACCGTGGTGTTTTTACTCCAATTTGCAAACTTGGAGAACTTTGATAACTTCCATTTAGAGAAAACTAAGAGTCTCTGTCATGTTAATGTAAAGAGAAGTGCTTCACACATACTGTTTGCTATATGGAATGCAAAAACTTTGAAGCTCAATATCTCAAAATCATTCAGAACGCAAATAGAACCGTATAATTCCAAGTTGACGCTATGGTAACCTTTGATTTGTCCCGCCACCTTGTCTGAAAAGAGAGAGAGAATGATGGGGATGGTTTCAAGATTATCAATTCAAATTTATTGTAACCCTTTGTTTGTTTATTTTATAGTTAAAAGCTGTAGGAGCCATACATTGTATTTTGGCTATTGGCCACAAGGTGTCAGTAGGAGACTATATAACTGTGGCTTCACTGCATGGAGGAAGACAGTGTTGGTAGGAAGCACACAGTTTTTGACCGTATCGTATGGTATCATTTTGTAATTGAAGGTAAACAGAGAAGTGTGCTTTTAGATAAAGGAAAGTGATTGAGTAATTCTGTTGATTGGAAGTTGATTGGACAATAAATATGTTTTTATTTGCATCTATTTGCTTACGGACTCTGACTTTTTACGCGTTAAAAACTTGCTCACTCTACCAACAATAGCGGCATTGGTAAGCCGCTACATAAAAGTCAAAAACTTTGCTTCGTGGGACAATTGAGACGCCGCTGGAGTGGACAGCAAGGCATGGTGTTTCTACAGACAAGGACAGCGACGTTCGTTTGGATCAAGGCTTCATTTGCTGCACGTGAGGACAGCGTTTCTTCAGCATCTGAGTGAGTTCGTTTGGATCGGCTTTCTTCTGGTTTCCTGCATTAAGGTGAATCTACGCTACGTTCATCTCTTCGCGTTTGATAAACAGCACAATAGGTATGTTTGTTGCAACAACATCATCATTATGGCCATATGGAAACTATGTGTGCACACAATAAGGTTTAAAGCGTAAATCCAATGCATTGGTTGCCCATGACTGACTGAACTTTTCTTATGTGTGTTTATTGGGTTTTACAATTTGCAAAATGGAAAATGAAATCAATTTGAATGTTGAAATGGTGAATCTGACTGATCAAGGTTTAACTTCTGTTGAAAATGAGCCTGAAAGGGAAAAAAGACCAGTTAAATTAACAGCTAAAGCTTTAGTTGAAAAACTAGACACTTTACAGAAGTTAAGAAAAGCAAAGCTAAACAAAGCACAAAAGCTTAAAGAGTCAATTAACAAACTAATATGTGATGACAATGAATGCAAACCTGAGGTACGTTTGGTCTTTGAGGATTTTAAGAGGTTGTGTTCAGAGGCAAAAGACACTCATGAGTCACTTTTGGTTATTTTACCGGTTGAAGAGTGTGAAAAACATGATATCTGGTTTAAAGCAAAAATGATATCAAACAATGAGTTTTTGGAACGAACAAATAAATGGTTATCAGATAAATCAGAAGGTCACAAAATATCTGAAGTGGAAAATCCAGAGAGTGATGTTGGTCCTGGAGATAGTGTGTCAAATGTATCACATGCTACCTCAAAACGCAGTAAATGCAGTGCACGCAGCAGCAGTAGTTCATCCATATCATCTGCCTGTATTCAAGCAGAGGCAGAAAAGGCCGCACTCATGGCACGTGCTGCTGCATTAAAGGCTAAACATGATATTGAAGTTCAGGAGGAAGAACTGAGAAGGAAAAAAGAGCAGTTGGACTTGGATGCTCAAATAGCAGCTTCCACAGCAAGGATCAGTGTGTTGCAGAAATTTGATCAACAAAGTAAATGTTCAAGCAGTTTATCTTCAAAGAAGATTGAAAAGGTTGTGGTCACTGCAAATTCTTCTTCTCAAACAACATCTTTAAACCCCAATGCAAATGACTATGTCCCAGTAAATTCAATGCCACTGGATTTGGATGGATACACTGGTGTTTCTGCATCTCAAGCTGCAATACAGGATCAAAGGATTGGATGGATTGATCAACAAACATCGGAACATGCTAATGGTAACTGTTCTGCTCAAACACAACATGACTCCATAATTCAGCATGCTACAAATATCTTACCTGCACAGGGTGATCCTTTGCTTGAAATTCTGAAAAAACAGGAGGAATTAACAGCGCATCTTGTTCAACAGCAAGCAAATCCTCGTATTCTACCAAAGAAGGAAATTCCAACATTTGATGGTGACCCATTGCAGTATATTCCATTCATTAGAGCATTTGAGCATGGCATTGAGCAAAAAACAACCAATTTAAAGGATCAGTTGTATTTCCTTGAGCAGTTCACAAAAGGGCAGCCTAAAGATCTTGTTCGCAGTTGCCAATATATGTCTTCAGAAAAGGGCTATGCAATGGCCAAGAAGTTGTTGAAGGAACATTTTGGTAATGAGTTTAAGGTATCTACAGCCTATATGGAGAAAGCCCTGGGGTGGCCTACTTTAAAGGCTGAAGATGTGCAAGGATTGCAGGCTTATGCTTTGTTTTTGCGTACTTGTTGTAATACAATGGATGAACTCTCATATATGCAAGAACTTAACATGCCTAGCAACATGAAATCAGTGGTTATGAAGCTGCCTTACAAATTGAGGGAGCAATGGAGAGCTAAAGCCTGTCAGATAATGGAGTCTGTTCATGGCAGGCCAAAGTTCTGTGACATTGTTGAATTTATTGAAAAACAGGTTAAAATGGCATCTGATCCTGTTTTTGGTGACATTCAAGACAAGCATGGTGCAAGTAAACTTAAGGTTCAACCACACAAGCCCTTTACCAGAAGTAGTTTTGCTACTGACATTTCAACTTCTATTCCAGCAAAGAAGTTCAGTGATGCTTTAGCACAACCAAAATCTTGTCATGTGTCTAAGTCTAATGGAGACTGTTTGTTTTGCAAAAATCAGCATTTATTGGAAAGGTGCTTTGCATTAAAGAAAAGAACACAACGTGACAAGATTGAATTCCTGAAGGCCAAGGGAATTTGTTTTGGCTGTTTAAAAACTGGGCATAAAAGTAAAAGATGCGAGAATCGACTGAAATGTGACATTTGTGGAGAAACACACCCCACAATCCTGCATATTTATGGCAAAGAGGTAATACTGAAGCAGGCTGAAGAAAAGCGCAAAGATACATCTGTGCAAACTTGTGGTCACACAGGGGCCGGGACTGAAAGAACTTTAATGTCAATCATACCAGTTCAAGTCAAGGCCATTAAAAGTAACAAGGTGATGCAGACATATGCTTTTTTGGACCCAGGAAGTTCGGCCACTTTCTGTTCTGAACACTTGCAAGAGGAGCTGAATTTGAATGGAAAGAAGATTAATATTCTGCTTCGTACTATGGGTCAGGAAAAGTCTGTGTCTTGCAGTGTTATTGATGGTCTGGAAATCAGTGGTCTTAACACTAATAATTTCTTTCCACTTCCTGCTGTTTACACACAACAGAAAATGCCTGTGAGTTCTCAGAACATCATAACTCAAGAGGAGTTATCCAAGTGGTCATACCTGGATAAAGTGAAGATACCTTGCATTCAAGCAGAGGTTGATTTACTGATTGGAATTAATGCAGCTAATGTGATGGAACCACACAAGATTATTAACAGTCAAGGTAATGGGCCTTTTGCCATTAAGACCCTATTGGGGTGGGTTGTTAATGGGACTGTGGAAGGAAACAGTGAACATAGGAATGAAGTTGGCCATTCTGATGTTACTGTTAACCGAATTTCTGTTGTTAGATTGGAGGAGCTGCTTAACAACCAGTTTAATCATGATTTCAATGAGAAGACTGTTGATGAAAAGGAAATGTCAAGGGAAGATCTTCAGTTCATGAGTATAATGAACAATTCAGTCAAGCATCAGGATGGACATTACAGCTTAAGATTACCATTTAAGTCTGATGTCACATTACCAAATAATCTTGGTGTTGCTAAGCAACGGTTGCTTGGTTTAAAAAGGAAATTGGAAATAAATCAAGAATTTCATGAGAAGTATACTCACTTTCTTGAAAGTGTCATACACGAGGGCTATGCTGAGAAGGTACCTGATTGCCAACTTGATCGAGTGGATGGTAAAGTTTGGTACATCCCTCATCACGGGGTGTTTCATCCTAAAAAGGGATCATTGAGAGTGGTTTTTGACTGTGGGGCAGCATATAAAGGAACATCACTTAATGATAACTTATTGCAAGGTCCTAATCTTACCAGTTCTCTGGTTGGAGTTTTACTGAAATTTAGACAGGAGCCAGTAGCCTTTATGGCTGACATAGAAGCGATGTTTCATCAAGTCAGAGTTGCAGCAGAAGATGTAGATTTTCTTCGTTTCTTGTGGTGGCCTGGTGGAGAACTGAATAAGGAACCCATTACTTACAGGATGAAAGTTCATCTTTTTGGTGCAGTGTCCTCTCCGAGTTGTGCATCCTTTGCTTTAAAGCAAACCGCAAAGGACAGTGAAGGTGACTTTCCATTAGAGGTAATTGAAACGATCAACAATAACTTCTATGTGGATGATTGTTTGAAGAGTGTCTCTTGTGAAGAGAAGGCCATATCTATGGCAAAAGATCTCACTTGTCTTTGTCAGAAAGGAGGTTTTCGTTTGACAAAGTGGATCAGTAATAGCCGGGAGGTGTTACAATCGATCTCTCAGGAAAATCGGGCCAAGGATATACAGCAGTTGGATTTGGATCGAGACAAGTTGCCAGTTGAAAGAGCATTAGGTCTTCAGTGGAGTGTGGATGCTGACACTTTTCAATTCAAGATTTCCTTGAAAACTCAACCTTGTACAAGACGAGGCATTCTGTCTGTGGTAAGCTCGGTGTATGATCCTTTGGGTTTCCTTGCACCTGTTATTCTGCCTGCAAAAGTCATCTTGCAGGAGTTGTGCAGAAAGACATTGGGCTGGGATGATACCATACCATCTGCCTTCCAGAAGCAATGGACTCATTGGATTGTTGAGTTGGACAAGGTTGCAGAATTTCAGGTAAACAGATGTTTTAAACCTGTGGATTATGGACTGCCCAGTCATGCTTGTTTACACCACTTTGCAGATGCATGTGAAACTGGGTATGGCACAGTTTCCTATCTGAAGATGCTTAACGGTGCAGACAAGGTTCATGTGTCATTTTTGATGGGTAAGTCCAGAGTAACACCATTGAAACATGTGACCATACCACGTTTAGAACTTACAGCAGCTGTCTTGGCTGTGAAGATGGACATCATGTTAAAGAAGATGTTGCAACTTCCATTGGAGGATTCTGTTTTTTGGAGCGACAGTACAACTGTTCTCAATTACATAAAGAACGAGAACAAACGGTTCCATACATTTGTCGCTAACAGAGTGTCATTTATAAGAGACGCAACACAGCCTCAACAATGGAGGCATGTACCAACTAAAGACAATCCAGCAGACGATGCATCACGTGGCTTGAATGTGGAATCTTTTTTGAACAATGAACGGTGGCTAAAGGGGCCTAGCTTTCTATGGAAGCCAAGTGATGTACAGTTCCATACAAGTGATTCGACATCAATGGATGATGATGATCCTGAAGTAAAAAGGGAATTAAAGGTAAATGCTGTGACACTGCAAAGCGAACAAAATGCCACAAGCAAGTTGATACATTACTTCTCAGATTGGAAACGTCTAAAGGTTGCAGTTGCATGGATTTTGAAACTGCAGAAACGTCTACTGCAGATAAGTCGTAAACGAAAGGAACTGTCTTTGGAGCATAGTGATGATGCAACCATGAATGCAAAATTGCAACATTTTAAATCATCTCTGGAACGACAGAGTTTGACTGTGGAAGATGTTTATAAGGCTGAGGTTAACATCATTCGTTTCAGTCAAAAGGAACAATTTCAGGAAGAAATTGCTGCTCTTAAACATGGTAACACTGTTAAAAGAAACAGTTCTGTCTATAAACTGGATCCTATGTTGCATGATGGAGTGCTGTTAGTAGGAGGAAGACTTGGTAAGTCAGCTATGCCAAGCGAAAGAAAACATCCCATCTTGTTATCTAAAAATCAGCACGTATCACATCTCATACTCTCAGACATTCACGAACAACTGGGTCATGGTGGCAGAAATCAAATGCTTTCTAAACTGCGTTGTAAGTATTGGATAACAAATGCCAATTCTGTTGCAAGAAAGATCATTTCTAAGTGTGTCATTTGTAGACGCTTTAAGGGGAAGCTGGGTGAACAAAGGATGGCAGACCTTCCAGTGGAAAGAATCACTCCTGATTTACCACCTTTTACTAATGTAGGAGTAGATTTCTTTGGGCCCATAGAAGTAAAAAGAGGACGTGGTACAGTGAAACGCTATGGAGTGCTATTTACTTGTATGGCAAGTAGGGCAGTTCATTTGGAAATGGCATACTCGCTTGATACAGACTCGTGTATCAACGCTTTACGCAGATTTATCTGTCGTCGTGGACAAGTTTCTTCTATGAGATCTGATAATGGGACTAATTTCATCAGTGCTGAGCGGGAGCTAAAAGAGGCACTCAGTGCATTGAACAAGGAGAAGATTCAACGAGCCCTGCTACAGAAGGGAGTGGACTGGAGTTTTAACCCACCTTCAAGCCCTCATTTTGGAGGAGTGTGGGAACGTTTATTAGACTGGTGAAACAAAGTCTGTGTGTTGTCCTTCGACAACAAACATTGGATGATGAAGCCCTGCAGACTGTCTTGTGTGAAGCCGAAGCAATTCTAAATGATCGACCCATCTCTAATATCTCCAGTGACCCTAATGATTTGGAAGCTTTAACACCTAACCACCTTCTGCTTTTGAAAGGAAACCCTGCACTGCCTCCTGGTTTGTTTGAAAGGTCTGATTCATATGCCAAACGAAGATGGAGACAAGTGCAATATATTTCAGACCTCTTCTGGAAAAGATGGGTACGCGAATACCTACCATTGTTGCAGAAGCAACAAAAATGGAACAAGGAACATCGAAATCTTACTGTTGGCGACATTGTGATCATTGCAGATTCTACAGCACCACGTGGATCATGGGTTCTGGGAAGAGTGATTGAGACTTTTCCAGACAGTAGAGGTTTAGTTAGATCTGTAAAAGTTCAAACCAAATGCAACATCTTGGAACGTTCAATTAGTAAGCTTTGCCTTCTTCAAGAATCAACATAGGAAAATTATGATATAACCATTTAAACAGGAGTTTAAACTGAGGTTATATATTTGCATGTATATATATATATATTTGATACCATTTTGAGTTCATGTGTAAGGCTCCATATTGTATAAATTTGTAATTGTTATGCCATTTTGTCATAAACAATTAAGGGGCCGGTATGTAGGAGCCATACATTGTATTTTGGCTATTGGCCACAAGGTGTCAGTAGGAGACTATATAACTGTGGCTTCACTGCATGGAGGAAGACAGTGTTGGTAGGAAGCACACAGTTTTTGACCGTATCGTATGGTATCATTTTGTAATTGAAGGTAAACAGAGAAGTGTGCTTTTAGATAAAGGAAAGTGATTGAGTAATTCTGTTGATTGGAAGTTGATTGGACAATAAATATGTTTTTATTTGCATCTATTTGCTTACGGACTCTGACTTTTTACGCGTTAAAAACTTGCTCACTCTACCAACAATAGCGGCATTGGTAAGCCGCTACAAAAGCTGACTGAAATTAAATGTTTTATTTAAATGGTGTAAATGAATCAGATTTTGTTTAAATGTACAGTATTGTGTAAAATAATAGCAGTACAACGTGACCAACCAGAATAATGCAGGTTTTTAGTAAATTTTTTAATTGATAAATGGCAAACAAGTTACCAGTAGGTGCAGTAGATTCCCAGCATTCATGATATGCACGCTCTTAAGGCTGTGCAATTGGGCAATCAGTTGAAAGGGGTTGCCTGTCAGTGAAAGTTAGGGAATTTGACATACATCATTCATTTGAATTTTTGAGTCTTTCCAAACGTCTTCTGGACTGTAGATCACAGAATAAAGAATGTCATTTAAATGCTTTATTGAACATTCAGTTTGTTTGTTTTTGTTCACTGGCAGAACTCCACTGGTGTTGGTCTGGATATTTCTGAGGCTCTGTTACCCAGCCTTCCTGATGGCGTCGCATCTTCTCACCTCCACAATCGTAGAGTGTTTCACAAGTAAATCAGTCAAACCACACACTCACACAAGTTGATACTTTTTGACTTTTGCCACTGTAAAAATTATAAGAAAAAGGTCACAACAAATGTTTTAATGCTACTTTAACTTATTTCAACATGTTAGTCAGGTTTTATGTAATATCTTTTGTCAGTTTGACTGAAGTAAGTTTAGATGAATTAAAAATGTAATTTGAAAAAATTAGGCAGCAATATTTTGGAATGTTCTTCCACTGTTTACTTTAGTCCAGAGAGATAGCACCGACAGGGCAAATTATTGTTTAATTATTTAAAATGGAGCATTATTCAGAAAGTAATGTTTAGCGATTATTGTTTATTATTATGTTATACATATTCAAATCTACTTTACCTCAAAAAACAAAATAAATCATGAAGATTGTTTGAAAAACAAAATAAAGCATGAAGATTGTTTGCGTTGTTTTCATGATCATTCAGCACTGAGATGATTTGTACCAGGGCTAGTGTAGTTACAAAAAAAAAAAAAAAACTTTTCATTTTCTTTTTTATTACCTAAACTAAAATGTTAATGTAATGTGTATTTATATAGGGCATTTATTGTGTATGGCCATTGTGGAAATATACATTTCTATCATCTAATTCCAAATGAACAATAATCTACGCATAACTGAAATTCTTTGGTTTTTAATTATATCATTTCATTAACAGCCCAGCTAGGAGGGACATTTAACCTTTGTCTTTCTGACTACAGGCTAAGCCAGTGATGCAAATGCTTTAAACAACTCTGTCTTTGTCTTCGGGTGTTGCTTTTATGCTACAGAAATCTTTTGTTGATTAACTTGTGTGGTCAGTAGCTGGGCCGGTTATTAACCTATATGCCAGTATCACGCTCCAATACTAAATTTGCATGCTTTGTTTTAACCATCTCCCCTCCTCCTAAGAACACAATACAGACATGAAATCTTTGTCTTAATTCAGACTTGTGCGAGACTTGATAAAACTTGCAGATTGCAGACCTCCAGTAGGCTCTGCGAAAACATGGACATTTTAAAGACGCTGTATGACTGCAGATCAACCAACACGTCTCAATAAAGGAATTCTGCTTGTTTCGAGTCTCCTGGACTGGGTTCTTCTCTTCTTTTTCACTCATTTATTTTTTTTACAACACCATGCACCCAAAGCACTTCACAATAACCACTATTTTGCAGCATCCACTTGGATAATGTGACAGCAGCCACAGGACAACGACGCCGGTGCGCTCACCACACACCAGCTATTGGTGGAGTGGAGAGACAGTTATTGAAAAGGAGTTAGGGGGGGGAGTTTAGGTAGCTAGCTCGAAGCCAGTGGTGCTGTCGGTAAAAACAGAGGTCCGGTCTAGTCACTCCATAAAAGCCACTTACATGATTAAATACGCACACACAGGAAAACAAAGGAAATCAAATTCAGTCCTCTGCACAGTTCAGCCATGTGCAGCCAGAAAATGGCAAACTGTGGGCACAGGTGCAGTTAATAAAGCCCTTGAGGCAGTCCTGATTGGCCAGAGATTGAGCGAATTGAGATTGGAGTAAACCATAATCTGAACAGGGGTGTGACACTATTGAATTTGCAGTTTAGGAACACTAAACTTCTCAACAGCCGCCCCCAAATTTGTAATGCAAAATTTGACAGTTTACGGAGGATCAGGTAAGGCCGGGAGAGGAACCAGGCGGGCAGTGGGCCTTGTGTAGATCCGGTCCTAACCTGAACATCAGCAATTCTACAACGGCCATACTTGCTGGGATGGAGGGAGATTACCTTTCCTACTGGCCACTGAGATCTGGGAAGTTGGGGATCAAGAGTAAGAACAACAGTGTTAGGCTGCAAGTTAGGACTGTCAGTGCGCCACTTCTGTCTGGACTGAAGAGAGGGGAGGTCATTTCTGATGAAATGAGCCCAAAAACGATCAGAAAGGATTTGACTTTGATGACATTGACGGCGACTGCACAGTTCAGAGTCAGAGTATGTTACGAGAGGAAGGGTAACATCATGCCGCCCCATCAGGAGCAGTTAATAAAGCGCTTGAGGCAGTCCTGATTATCCAGAGATTGAGTGAATGGAGATTGGAGTGAACCATAATCTGAACAGGGGTGTGACACTATTGAGTTTGCAGTTTAGGAAGACAAAACTTCTCAACAATGATAAAGCCAATTCGGATGATGGGGATGATTGGGAGGCCATGATAGGTAAGGGCCGATGGAGGAAATTTGGCCAAGACAACCAAGTTACACTACCACCCTTAACAAGAAGTGCAATGATTTTTAATCATCACAGAGTGTCAGGACCTCGGTTTAACGTCTTTTCTGAAAGACAGCGCCCACTGACAGTATAGTGTCCCCTTCACTTTTACTGGGGCATTAGGACTAGCTAGTTGCAAATTTGTAAAGTTGTGTAACTAGTAGTGATGGTGAAATTAAGCTTTCTAAACCAGTGAAGCGCTCGACTCAATTGTATCGGAAACAGGTTCGTTACTCAAAGCTTTCTAAATCAGAGCCCGAAGAGGACCTCTGCTGGTTAAAGTGTGGGAAAGCACTGTTGCAATAATGTCAAATGTTCACTACTAAATAACTCATTCATGTAGTAATACAACAATAGTAATATAAACAAACTACTCAATTACTGTAGTTCATTACACATAAGTTGTTACATTACACCACTGATGACAAGTAAAATCCATGGTTTTCAAAAGTATTTACATTTATCGTATTCCAACTAGTCCTTCACCCACCCACTTGTTCCAAGCAGGGATCGAACCGGTGATTCCTGCATGGGAGGCGAATGCTCTAAGGAGGAGGCTATGGAAGTGATGCTTTTGGGCTGCACTCGCCAGCTGGCCTTTCCGTTACACACAATACTCATGAGGGTGTTTAAACCTTTGAATCAAAATTCTAAGCAGTCACGTGGGTATAAGCGAAAATTAAGCTTCAGACATCACTGATCACGTGATAATGGCAAAACGAATCAAGCTCCGGTTCACTGCTTCACTGCGAGATGTATCATTTTATTAATACATGCTTCAAAGCCTCTGTGCACAATGTCACATCAGTAGTAAGTAGTGCTGAATTAATGAAAACATAAAAGAATATACAAATAATAAAATGTCAAATGTAATAAATAAAATTTATAATAAAACAAAAACTGATTAAAATAAAATAGCAAAAACACAACAAAATTAAGTAAAACTTTGACAAATTAAAACGAAAATATACTGATCTGAAACCTTAATGATACTAAAACAATGGTTCAGTATCATAGTACAAAAATAGTTAAATAACTGAATATAGAGTTTATTAAAAAAATCTTTTTGATGCAATCATTTATTTGTTCTTTAATTAATTAATTAATCTATGAGTTAATCAATCAAGCAATCAATCAATGTATGCATTAATTTTCCTTCGGCTTAGTCTCTTTATCAGGGGTCGTCACAGCGGAATGAACCGACAACTTATCCAGCATATGTTTTACACAGCGGATGCCCTTCCAGCTGCAACCCAGTAATGGGAAACGCATCCACTACCGCCAATTTAGCTTATTCAATTCACCTATAGCGCATGACTTTGGACTGTGGGGGAAACCGGAGCACCCAGAGGAAACCCACACCAACACGGGGAGAACTTGCAAACTCCACATAGAAATGCCAACTGACCCAGCCAGGACTCGAATCAGTGACCTTCCTGCTGTGAGGCGACAGTGCTAACCACTGAGCCACCATGTCACCCCTTTAATAAATATATTTATTATTACTCATGTCAATAGACCACTAGAGTTGCATGTTTTTAACTGTTTATTGTCTTTAGTTTAATCAGAAAAACAGAGGACATTTTAAAGACCCATTTATTAAAGTCATGAATAAAAAATTAAAAAAAGTTGAACTTTTCCTCAATTAACCAGCTCCACTGTATTCAAAAAATATGACTATTTACAACAGAGAACCATCATCAGCAAGAACCACAGACATATATTTAAAACATAAATTAAAGAGATAATAATAATTCACCCAATAATGAAAATCACCTCATCTTTTACTCTCTCATGTGATTTTATAGCTTTGAGTTTCTTTTTTTCTGTTGAACACAAAAGAAGATATTTTGAAGAATGCCTTTCGTCCCATCAACCTCCACAGGACAACATCTACTATATAATGGGTGCCAGCATCCAACATTCTTCAAAATATCTTCTTTTGTGTTTTTGATTTTGACGGATGAGTCAATTAAAAACAGAACTTTGAGTTTTGAGTGAACTGTCCCTTTAAATAATTTTAAGTCTATTATTTACAAACACATGAAATAAATACTCCAAACATTAGTATTACAGGTGTCAATGGGTGCCAGCAACCAACATTCTACAAAACATCTCTACTCAACTCAAACATTATAAGCAAACACACATGCATGTTCAGTTCTGCCAGTTCATGCTGATGTCCTATTAGCTTCCATAGCAGAAAACAATACAATGGAAGTCAATGGGTGCCAACAACCAACATTCTTTAAAAGATTTTCTTATCGTTGTAAACAGAAGAAACTCAAACATTTTAGGCGAACTCACATGCATGTTCTGTTTTTTGTGTTCATGCTAGTGTCCTAGTAGCTTCCGTAAAAGGAAAAATATAATATGGAAGTCATTGGGTGCCAGAAAGCAACATTCTTCAAAATATCTTCTTATTGTGTTCAAAAGAAGAAAGAAACTCAAACACTATAGGCGAACTCACATGCATGTTCTGTTCTGTGGGTTCATGCTGGTGTCCCATTAGCTTTCAAAAAAGAAAAAAATATACTATGGAAGTCAATGGGTGCCAGCAACCAACATTCTTCAAAACATCATCTTTCTGTGTTCAAAAGAAGAGAGAAACTCAAACATTATAGGTGAACTCACATGCATATTCAGTTCTGCGGGATAATCCGAGTGTTCCATTAGCTTCCATAGAAGAAAAAAAATACTATGGAAGTCAATGGGTGCCAACAACCAACATTCTTCAAAGTATCTTCTTTTTGTGTTCAACAGAAGAAAGAAACTCAAACATTATAGGCGAACTCACATGCATGTTCATTTCTGCGGGTTCATGTTGGTGTCCCATTAGCTTGCAAAAAAGAAAAAAATATACTATAGAAGTCAATGGGTGCCAGCAACCAACATTCTTCAAAACATCTTCTTTCTGTGTTCAACAGAAGAAACTCAAACATTATAGGCCAACACACATGCATGTTCAGTTCTGCGGGTTCATCCTAGTGTTCCATTAGCTTCCATAGAAGAAAAAAATACTATGGAAGTCAACGGATGCCAGCATCCAACATTTTTCAAAATATCTTCTTTTTGTGTTCAACAGAAGAAACTCAAACATTATAGGCCAACACACATGCATGTTCAGTTCTGCAGGTTCATGTTGGTGTCCCATAATATTTTTTTTCTTCTTTGCAAGCTAATTGAAGTCAATGGGTGCCAACAACCAACATTCTTCAAAACATCTTCTTTCTGTGTTCAACAGAAGAAAGAAACTCAAACATTTTAGGCAAACACACATGCATGTTCAGTCCTGCAGGTTCATCCTGGTGTCCTAAAAAACACTATGGAAGTCAATGGGTGGCAACAACCAACATTCTTCGAAATATCTTATTATTCTGTTCAACAGAAGAAAGAAACTCAAACACTATAGGCGAACTCACATGCATGTTCAGTTCTGCGGGTTCATGTTGGTGTCCCATTAGCTTGCAAAAAAGAAAAATATACTATGGAAGTCAATGGGTGCCAACAACCAACATTCTTCGAAATATCTTCTTTCTGTGTTCAACAGAAGAAACTCAAACATTATAGGCGAACTCACATGCATGTTCAGTTATGCGGGTTCATCCGAGCGTTCCATTAGCTTCTATAGAAGGAAAAAAATTGTATGGAAGTCAACGGGTGCCAACAACCAACATTTTTCGAAATATCTTCTTATTATGTTCAACAGAAGAAACTCAAACACTAAAGGCGAACTCGCATGCATGTTCAGTTCTGCGGGTTCATCCTAGCGTTCCATTAGCTTCCATAGAAGAAAAAAAATACTATGGAAGTCAATGGATGCCAGCATCCAACATTTTTCAAAATATCTTCTTTTTGTGTTCAATAGAAGAAAGAAACTCAAACATTTTAGGAGAACACGCATGCATGTTCAGTTCTGCAGGTTCATGTTGGTGTCCCATAATATTTTTTTTCTTCTTTGCAAGCTAATTGAAGTCAATGGGTGCCAACAACCAACATTCTTCAAAATATCTTCTTTTTGTGTTTAACAGAAGAAAGAAACTCAAACATTATAGGCGAACTCACATGCATGTTCAGTTCTGCGGGTTCATCCTAGTGTCCCATTAGCTTCCATAGAAGGAAAAAAACAGTATGGAAGTCAATGGATGCCAGCATCCAACATTCTTCAAAATATCTTCCTATTGTGTTCAACAGAAGAAAGAAACTCAAACATTAGAGGCGAACACACATGCATGTTCAGTTCTGCGGGTTCATGCTGGTGGTGTACAGATACGAGACTGTTCCAGCTTGTATCTGGAAGGTCTGTCCCTGGATCTGATCACTAGGGATCTGCTCAGTGGTCTGGCTAATAGAAATGGCCTGTCCGCTCTGTCCACTGATATGAATGCCCGCCACGGGCCCCGTCTGCTCTTCAGAAAGCTGATGAATGACCTGCAGCTGCTGCGGAGCTCCGTGATGAACCTGCAGCTGCTCCATAGCCTCTTTGCTCAGCGTGATCACATGCATCTGCTCTGGATCTCCGCCGTTCACTTCACCACCCAAAACGCTGATGGTCTGGATTTGGGCGTTTCCATCTGGAGTGACCACGGCCAGGTTTTGAACGTGTCCGGACGGCTGTGTGAGAAGTGCGAGGCTCTGCTCTGTGTCTTCAGATGTGATGATGCTGATGCTCTGCTCCTGGTCCAGGCTGAGGTTTTCTCCGGTCACCAGCAGCTGGATCTCCTGCTCGCCATGGGCTGGAAGCTGAAAGGGTTGGAGCTGGAGGATGCTGTGCAGTTCTTTATCTCCTGATGTTTGCTGCTGCTGTTGTTCTTGTTCTTGTTGTTGTTGTTGTTGTTCTGGTGCTGAGTGTGGGGGTTTATCTGTGCTTTCTGCTTGTGCCGGTGGATTCTCTTTGTTGTGAGTTTTGATGTGAGCTTTGAGGTTGTCCTTCCGGGCGAATGAAACCTTGCAGATCGAACAGGAGAATGTTTTTTTGCCTGTGTGAGACACCTCGTGACGCCGTCGGGCACTGGGGTCAGAGAAGGTCTTATCGCAGACTTTGCAGACGTATGGCTTCTCTCCTCTGCATGGGGGAAAATGATGCTGTTGTAGTTATTAAAGTAAGTGCACTCTTATTTTATTTGTGTGTACATATCTCTCATTTAGGTTTTGTTTCATTTATTTTGTTAATTACAGGGATAGTTCACCAGTAGTTCACATTAAATGGTTCCAAACCTTAATTAGTTTCTTTCTTCTATTGAACACGAGAGAAGATATTTAAACGAATGCTGAAAACCTGTAACCATAGACCTCCATTGTATTTGTTTTTCCTACTGTGGAAGTCAATGGTGACAGTTTAAGTTTCTTTTCTGTTGAACAGGAAAGAAGATATTTTAAAGAATGCTGAAAACTAAACTTTTCCCAAAGACGGGTTGCGGCTGGAAGGGCATCCGCTGCGTAAAAACTTGCTGGATAAGTTGGTGGTTCATTCCGCTGTGGCGACCCCAGATTAATAAAGGGACTAAGCCGACAAGAAAATGAATGAATGAATGAAAACTAAACTGTAACCATTGACTTCCATAGTATTTATTTTTCCTACTATGAAAGTCAATGGTTACAGGTTTTTTAGAATTCTTTACAATATCTTCTTTCATGTTTAACAGAAGAAAGAAACTTAAACTGTAACCATTGACTTCCATTATAGAAAAAACAAATACTATGGAGGTCAATGGTTACAGGTTTTCAGCATTCTTTAAAATATCTTCTTTCATGTTTAAAAGTAGAAAGAAAACTGTAAATCTAAACTGTAACTAACTTTTTTTCTACTATCAAAGAGCTTAGAATGACCAAGAGGCGACACTGTAGTGTAATTTGGGAAACAGCCACTTGAGGGCGCGGCGGCCACTTTGGAATGAAAACTCCAATAGAACAACAGCATATTATAAGTCTGTGAAATAAACTATTAAAAGTGCTGATGATTGTGATAGTAAGTGTTGTATTGTCGTCTTTCAGGTTGTATCTAAGCTTTAATACGCTTTTTAAATAAATAAATAAATAACAAAGCAGCTGCTTTCCATCGCGACAGTAATGAGATCCAGCCGATCACTTTCACTCCAAAATGGCGGAATCCGGGGCTGTTGCTGGGCGCTGCTGTTACAATGGAACGTTCTATTGAGTGTCGCCTCTTGGTCATTCCAAGCTGTTTGCTGCTATGAAAGTCAATAGTTACATGTTTTCAGCATTTTTCAAAATAATCTTCTCATGTGTTTAACAGAAGAAAGAAACTTAAACTGTAACCATTGACTACCCTTATAAAAAAAACAAATACTATGGAGGTCAATGGTTACAGATTTTCAGCATTCTTTAAAATATCTTCTTTCATGTTTAAAAGTAGAAAGAAACCTAAACTGTAACCATTGACTTCCACAGTATTTCTTTCTACAATGAAAGTCAATAGTTACATGTTTTCAGCATTCTTCAAAATATATTCTCTTGTGTTCAACAGAAGAAAGAAACTTAAACTGTAACCATTGACTTCCATAGTGGGAAAACTAAATACGGTGGAAGTCAGCATTCTTCAAAATAGCTTCTCATATGTTCAACAGAAGAAAGAAACCTAAACTGTAACCATTGATTGCCATAGTAGGAAAAAAAATTACTATGGAAGTCAATGGGGACAGGGTTTCTTTCTACTGTTGAACATGAAAGGAGATATTTTAAAGAATGCTAAAAACCTGTAACCATTTACTTTCAAAGTAGGAAAAATAAATACTATGGAAGTCAATGGTTACAGTTTAGGTTTCTTTCTACTATTGAACAACCATTGACTTTCATAGTATTTGTTTTTACCTACTATAGATGTCCAGGGTTACAGTTTAAATTTCTTCTGTTTAACACATGAGAAGATATTTTAAAGAATGCTGAAAACCTGTAACCATTGACCTCCATAGTATTTGTTTTTCCGACAAAGGATAGTCAGTGATTACAGATAAAGTTTGTGTCTTTGTTGAACAGGAGAGAAGATATTTTGAAGAGTGCTGAAAACCTGTAACCATTGACTTCCATAGTATTTGTTTTTCCTACTATGGAAGTCAGTGGTTACAGGTCTTTAGCATTCTTCAAAATATCTTCTCTTGTGTTTAACACGAAAGAAGATATTTTAAAGAATGCTGAAAACATGTAAACACTGACCTCTATAGCATTTCTTTTTCCCCACTATGGAAGTCAGTGGTTACAGTTTAAGTTTCTTTCTACTGTTGAACACGAGAGAAGATATTTGAAGAATGCTGAAAACCTGTAACCACTGACTTTAAAAGTATTTGTTTTTCCTACTATGAAAGTCAATGGTTTCAGGGTTTCATCTGTCTTTAAAATACCTTCTTTTGTGTTTAAGGTTTATAACCACTTGAGTGAAAGTAAATAGTGCATTTCTAATTTGTGGTTTAACTATCCCTTTAAGAATGAAGACCCTAAACATCATACGGGTGTGGTAAATCAGACAGCAGTACTATAGAAGAGACATAGTTTTTAGCCACTCCACTTTTGACCAATCTGAATTCTCTTTTTGCAACAAATATCATTTTTCTATCTTTAATTATATATAGATTTTTTATTGGTCAGTTATCTACCTAATAAACATAAAAAACGAATAACATTTAGTGGAATGAGTGCAGCTACAGACATCAGTAGTAGGAAAACAAATACCATGCAAGTTAATGGTTACTGGAATTCAACATTCTTCAAAAGATCTTGCATTCAACAGAAGAAAAAAACTCAAAAATGTAAATAAAAAAAAAAAGGGTGAAGTATCCCTTTAAATGGACTTCATCCAGTGTTTCCTATTTAATTAGTTCACAGATAACATGACTGAACAGTAAAAGTGTGTCGTTTCTGACCTGTGTATCCTGATGTGTGTCTGTAATGTGCTCTTGGCGGTGAAACACTTTCCGCAGATCTCGCATGTAAACGGCTTCTCACCTGCAGGAATAACACAGATGTTGATCCAGTAGCATGAATGAATGAATGAATGAATGAATGAATGAATCTGTTTATTACCAGTATGAGTTCTCAGGTGCTTCTTCAGTTGAGCCGCATCCATAAATTTATGATGACACTCAGCACATTCAGGCAAGCCTTTTCCAGTGTGGACGCGGTTATGGCTCTTTAGCTGCCGCTGCTGACTGAAGCTCTTCCCACACTCCTCACAGGTGAACAATTTATTCTCTACATAAAAACAATTTTTTAGACCACTCACTTTTTCAGATCACACTTTACAATAAGGTTTCATTAGTATATATATTTACTAACATGAACTAATTATGAACAATACTTGAATGCAGCATTTATTAGTAATAGTTTAACATTTATTATTGCATGATTAAAATCCAGATTCATGGTTGTTAACATTAGTTAATACATTGTTTCAGCAAATGGAATAATTTTTGGTGACAAGTCTTATTTTACACTCAACAATACACTCTCTGCAAATTGACAACCCTTTCGTTAGTGTTAGTGGTCGTTGCTCAATTGACTTCTTTTATAATGACGTTTTTTTTAAAGTGTAAAGCCATGACACCATATAGTGGTATAGATGTGGTGTATTTGTGTATTGGTGGAGCAGTCGGTCACCTGTGTGCAGGTTCATGTGCTCCAGCAGAGAGTGTTTGGTGGACAGGGCTTTAGAGCATACGGTGCAGATGTAGGGCTTTTCTCCAGTGTGCATCCGCTGATGAACCAGAAGAGTGTGTTTCTGCGTGAACTCCTTCCCACACACACTGCATCTGAACGGCTTCTCACCTGCATGCAAGAAAAATTTCTTTAGTTAGATTTCCATACTGACGTGTCATTGAATTCATCATAGCGTTATGTTGCATTTATTGCAAGACATCTGTTGTAAATATCTCACTGATTTGCAAGCAATCAGAATGATGTTAAGATGACTAAGATTTTATTAAAAATATCATTAAATTAAATGAAAAATGGACTAAAATTCAATAAAAAATGTACTAAAATTAAATTAAATTAAACCAAAATATTATTTAAAAAAACTTAAATTAAATAAAAAATAAATTAACATTAAAATAAAAATAACATAAAAAATTAAATTAAATTAAACCAAAATATTATTAACAATAAATAAAAATAAACTAAATTTAAATTAAATATAAAATTAAATTACAAGTAAACTCAAACAAAAATAACCTAACGTTTAATTAAAAATGAATTAAAATTGAATTAAAAATAAATTTAAATTAAATTAAATATCAAATTAAATACAAAATTAATTAATTAAATTTAACTAAAATATTATTTAAAAAAATAAATAAAAATGAACCAAAATTAAATTAAATATCAAATTAAATAAAAAATAATCAAATTAAATTAATCTAAAATATTATTAAAAATAAATAAAAATGTAATTAAAAATCAACTAAAAATAAATGAAACTAAATATAAAATCAAATTAAATAAAAAATAATCTAAAATCAAATTAAAAACATTAAATTAAATAAAAACAAAAAAAATTTAATAAACCAATTTTTATTAAAAACACACAAAAAGTCATTAAAAATAAAGCAAAATAAAATAAAATTGAATTAATTATAACTAAATATAAATTTAAATAAAAAATAAATACAGTTTTAAATTACATTAAATTAAACCAAAATATTATTAAAAATAAAGATTTTATTAAAAATAAAGCAAAAAATTATTAAATAAAATACATAGAAAATTAATTAAATTTAAAATTTTATTTAAAATAAACTAACTTTAAATTTAATTAAAAATTAACTAATTAAAAATAAACTAAACAAACTTGAATTAAAAATTAAATTAAATAAACATTAAAAAATTAAAAAATAAACATAAAATCAAATAAAAAATAAACATTAAATAAAAATAAACTCAAATTAAATAAAAAATAAACTCAAATAAATATAAAATTTTATTAAATAAAAATAAACTAAAATTAAATTAAACCAAAATACTATTAAAAATAAAGCAAAATAAACCAAAATTAAATTAAATCTAAAACTAAATAAAAAATAAACAAACAAAAAAAACTAAAACTAAACAATGTAATAAAATTTCAAATAAATGAAAATTCAAAATAAAATAAATTAAATATAAATCAAATGAAAAATTACATAAATTACAAATAAAATAAAAATTAAATAGCATAGGATTTAAATCAAGAAATAATACAAATAAAACACTGGAAAAACTCTTATCCAAACTTTAACATAAATATGAACATTTTACACAATTACATACTTGGCAAAGTAAATACATTTAGATTTTTTTTTTAGCATTATAATAATAGACCAGACTATATAATGTTAAATGAAAAATGACCTGGTTGCAGAATTAGATAAATTTATGCTTCATGCACCTTTAAATCTTTTTTTTATGTCTTAATTCTTTTACTCTATTTTCCCTTCCATGTCCCTGCTCGTCATCATCAGTGCTTTTAATAAGTTCTACAGAGGATCAGTTAAAGTGTGTTGAACCTGTATGTGTTCGCTGATGTATCTTCAAGAACAGGTGGCTTTTAAAGACTTTTCCACACTCCTCACATCTGGCCTCTGTGTCTGGATATTTCCTCCTGCGTCCTCTTTTCCCCGGCTCCTTCCCCTCCATTAGATCATCCATTCTGAAGCCCTTCAGTCTGATTGGCTGTTTGATTTTGCGTTTTCCCTCTCGTCTTCTCTCCTCTCTGGGGTTAAACTCTCCATCACTCCCATCTGTTGCAGGAGATGCAGGCTCCTCATTGACTTCCTGAATCTCCGAGCTGGATTGTGCCTGTAATTCACTTTCTGGATTTTCTTTTTGGCTTAAATCCTGGTTCTTTTTAGGACGCCCTCTTTTCCGCTTCACCTGAACATAGACATATGCTGATATTCAATAATTCAGTATTGGGGTATTTATCAAATAAATAATTACTCCTTTAAATGTGGTCAGTACCTTACCTGACAAAAGTCTTGTCGCCTATCTAAGTTTTAGGAACAACAAATATTAACTTGACTTCTAGTTGATCATTTGGTATCAGAAGTGACTTATATGAAAGGCAAAGGCCTCTGGATTATGCTTATTTTACCACAATAAAATATGATCATGACTTGATTTTTAAGTATTTAATTAGGACAGTAAGCTCTGACTTTGCTTAGACAAAAGTCTTGTCACTTAACAGAAATAATGTCCAGTATAGAATATAAAGTCATGCTGCAGTGGAAAAAAAATTAACATTGTGTATGACTCCATCATGAGCTTGAAGAACTGCATCCATACATCTCTGCAAACACTTATTAATAAAGTCATCTGGAATGGTTAAGAAAGCGTTCCTGCAGGACTCCCAGAGTTCATCAAGATTCTTTGGATTCATCTTCAATGCCTCCTCCTTCATCCTACCCCAGACATGCTCAATAATGTTAATGTCAGGTGACCGGGCTGGCCAATCCTGGAGCACCTTGACCTTCTTTGCTTTCAGGAGCTTTGATGTGGAGGCTGAAGTATGAGAAGGAGCGCTATCCTGCTGGAGAATTTGCCCTCTCCTGTGGTTTGTAATGTAATGGGCAGCACAAATGTTTTATTATCTCAGGCTGTTGATGTTGCCATCCACTCTGCAGATCTCTCCTTTACTGAATGTAACCCCAAACCATGATTTTTTCCTTCACCGAACTTGACTGATTTTTATGAGAATCTTGGGTCTAGGCAGCTTCCAGTAGGTCTTCTGCAGGATTAGTGATGATTGGGATGCAGTTCAACAGATGATTCATGGGAAAAATCTGCCTTCTGCCACTTTCCCAAATGATCAACTAGAAGTCAAGTTATTATTAGTTGCGCTTACAAATGGGAACGACGACAAGACTTTTGTCAGGTAGTGTATATATAAAATAATTACTATATTGTGATATACCAAGTGGGAGAAGTGGAGAGTCCTCTGTCTAGCTGCTCTGTCTCTGGAGGATATTGAAGATATCAATTATTATTCGGAACTTTGATAACAGGGTTTCTGCTGATGGGCTTATGCGGGGCCCTGGGATATCGGAAACTGATAAAAGCGGTCAGCGCAGCTCAAAACCCCACTAAGCTGGCCGGCTTGATTGAAACACTGATGGGTAGGGTCGCGAATCAGACTACGGTGCTTGACCGCAAACTGGAAACCATCGAGGTGAAGCTAGCGGCTCTGCAACAAATTTTGGCCAGATCGGGAGACGAGTGATGGACATTAAATATCTGTGAAATTGGCAGATATTGACCTAAAGTTGAAGTATCTTACTGTCTTTTTTTTTTTTCGGCTCTCCTCTTACTCCTGCCAGACGGCCTCGGCTGGAAGTAAACAACTCCCTGGGATAAGCAAGATAAGCGGACGCTCTGAAATTCCTGCCCCTGTCAAGGACACCTGCGGGACTCTGGACTATGCAGGCTCACACACACACAAACATATCTACAGATAAACATTCACCACCGATCCCCATCCAAACGCCTTCGTGTGCTTTTACCCACGTGGGGCGTGGGCGGGGCTGTGACTTGCGCCGGAAATGGCTGCTGGACCAGCTGGCTGCCCGCACTCAACGGACTGTTTTCCATTACCCCTGTTCCCATCCCCTCTGTCTATGTTGTGTCTTGCCGGTGTGCTTATGCTAAGATAGGGCTGTTTTTCTCCCTTTTCTCACTTTGTCCTAATCAAGGGCAAGCTGAGGGGGTGTTTTTTAGCCTAACTGTCCAAATGTATCTTTCTTCGTTTCTAAATGCTACCTCCTAAGATCTGTCTCCCCTGAAAAGTTGTTTGTGATGTTTTGTGTATGGTCTGGGGGGTCCAATTTCGCTATGCGAAAGTGTAGTGACAAATAAAGGCTTGATTGATTGATTGATTGATACCATTATCAGGATTTGAGATTACTTTAATCGTGATATGATATTTTTATATCGTGACATGATATCCTATCCCTAGCGTACATCAATATCATGATAATACAATGATAAGCTTTGGTACACTGCAAAAATGCTTTTTTTTGTCTTGTTTCTAGTCCAAATTTCTAATACTTCTTTAATCAAGAAGCATTTTCCTGGACAAGCAAAACATATTGTCTTTTTTCAAGGAATAATATGTCAGAAAGAAGTGAGTTTTATTTTAAACAAGCCAAATAATCTGCCATTGGGGTCAGGAAAATTATACAAGATTATTTTGCTTGCCACGTTGGCAGATTATTTAGCTTGTTTTATTTCTAAGGAAAACCCTACTTAATTGTGGCATATTATTGTTTCTAATACAAATATCTCATAATTGGTATTGATTTGTGATTGTAAGCAGAGCGGCCTAGGAACTGATTGCGAGTGTTGAAGCTGGCTTCTGCTGATAAAACTGCAACCAGTAAACTTTCTTTATTTTGAATCTCTCACTCCAGGATTTCTTCATCTGACTGACTGCTCAGTCTTTGGGTTAAAATTGTACATTATCCCTACAATATATAAACTACAGTCATAGAAAAACAATTGAGCAAATACTAAAGTGAAATACGCCGTGCTTTACGGTTTTCTGGAGAGAGCAACAGTATCGAGGTACAGAAATTGAATAATCATATTCATAATAATAATTATAACAATAATAATAATTGGATAGTCTTCACCATATAAATCATTTAATTAAATGAATTTTTATGAAACTATTTGATGCTCTACTAAAATACTTTAAATCTCTTCAAATGCTCACACAGTCACAGGCCCTAAAACACATGCAGATGATAAACTTTAAGGGCACTATTTTGACGGTCCATGCGCAGAGCGCAAAACGCAGGGCACAAACACTTTCAGGGCGTGTCAGAACACATTTTTGCTAATTTAAGGACGTGAAAATCCGCTTTGCACCATGGGGCATGGTCTAAAAGGCTTGAGTTTATTTTCTTAATGAGTTATAGGTGTGTTTTTAGAATAAACCAATTAGAGCCTCATCTCCCATTCCCTTTAAGAGCCAGCAGCGTCGCGCCATAAGCGCATTTTGACGTAAAGTAAGTTCACTTTCGCTTTTGCTCTCATGGATAGGGAAACCTTTACGCACAGACATCAATTAGCCTATAAATAATTAATTTTGTTTGTTAAGCGCAAAGATTTGTTTCAAAACTATTTCTAAATTCAGTTCTAATTTCTAGCAAACGAAAAAATGAACAATAATAACCAAGTGTGGTCAAAATACTGAGTAATTTCCAAATACACCTGCCATGCCTGATATGGTCTAAAACCTGACAGGTGGGCAAATCTAAGCTTGTTTTCAATAAAACAAATATAAATATGCATATAATAAATAATACTGCTAATAATAATAACATTATACAAAAGCAAATTGAATGAACTTAAAAAGCCTCCGGAGATGAAGAAAGTAAGGCAGTGGTTTTTAAATCTTCATGTAGGCTAGAAATGAATATGTTTTGTAATATTTTAATCATTTATATTTATATCCTGTTTATCCTTTATATATATATATATGTATGTATATATATATATATATATATATATATATATATATATATGTATATATATATATATGTATATATGTATATATATATATATATATATATGTATATATATAAATATACACATATATATATATATACATACATACATACATATATATATATATATATATATATATATATATATATATATATACACATACATATATATATACATACATATATACATATATATACATACATATATATATATATACACATATATATATATATATATACAGTTGAAGTCAGAATTATTAGCCCCCTTGAATTATTAGACCGCTTGTTTATTTTTTCCCCAATTTCTGTTTGACGGAGAGAAGATTTTTTTCAACACATTTTTAAGCATAATAGTTTAATAACTCATCTCTAATAACTGATTTATTTTATCTTTGCCATGATGACAGTAAATAATATATTACTGGATATTTTTCAAGTCACTTCTGTACAGCTTAAAGTGACATTTAAAGGCTTAACTAGGTTAATTAGGTTAACTAGGCAGGTTAGGGTAATTAGGCAAGATATTGTATAACGATGGTTTGTTCTGATGATTATTGAGAAAAAAATATAGCTTAAAGGGGCTAATAATTTTGTCCCTAAAATGGTGTTTAAAAAATTAAAAACTGCTTTTGTTGTTGCTGAAATAAAACAAATAAGACTTTTTCCTGAGTAAAAAATATTATCAGATATACTGTGAAAATTCCCTTGCTCTGTTAAAAATCATACGGAAAATATTTTAAAAAGAAGAAAAAAATTAGAAGGGGGCTAATAATTCTGACTTTAACTGTATAAAGGATAAACAGGATATAAATATAAATGATTAAAATATTACAAAACATATTCATTTCTAGCCTACTTGAAGATTTAAAAACCACTGCCTTACTTTCTATATATATATTTTTCATATGTAAAGATATTTGCGTATTGCTCTGCATCTTGTTTGTAGTGTGTAAGCTAGGCGCACTTTACGCCAGACAATAGACCGACTTTGTTCTGGTCTAAAGATCAGACTATTTACAGTTTTTCAAAATAGCAACGCACCAAAACACACCTGCTTTTTTAGACCAGAACGCCTATGGGCGCACATTTGAGCGCAAATGCATTTGCTATTTAAACAGTGTGGAGCAACACCTCAAAATGACCCTTGCGCCAAGCTAAAAGTACCAAAAGACTATTGCGCCGCACCTTGCGCCACTTTGCTCCGGGTGTATGATAGGGCCCTTACTCTATTGCTGTTCAATTCTGCAGTGTCTCTCTCCACAAATCTCCTGTGTTTTGACCTGTGGTTTCTGGTCATCTATAATCCTAACTCGACATTGCACATCTTGTGATGTGACTATTGCGGACACACATTGATGCTCAAACAATACATTTTGCAGTAACCTATACCTGCATGTGTTCATCAACAGCTTGCAGGTCCTCATGGGCTTTGATCAGATCTGGGATGACCAGAAATCTGGCCATTTCCATCAGCTGCTCAGAGCTGCTCTCGTCCACCAACACGACTGCGCTGTACATGAACTCCAGCACGGAGGAGAAGGTGTTCGCCGTCATGCCGTCCAGCTTGTAGAGCGACTGGCTGACCTGTTCTTCAGCGGTGAACAATGCTGAGAAATATTCACTGCTCGCTGCTAGGAGAGCCTTGTGCGCCTTGAAGTGCACATCTTCCACGATCAGGGTAATGTCGCAGAGCAGTTCACTTCTCCTGAGCGTGTCAAACTTGTGCAGGATTGTGTCCTTGTGTGTTGCTGAGTGCAGAGCGAGGACTGCTGGTGATGATGATGATGATGATGATGGAGGAAGGGCAGACATGATGACCTTACTCGCACACTGAACCTGAAACAAAACACACACACCCATCTGTTAAAGGCTAACAAAGTTTTATTTATTGATCTATTTAGTTGGTTGATTAAGTTTCATATTCATAAGAGTAAATTTTCCAACAAAAACCCTTTTACTCTGTTTTAAAAGGAGCTGAAAAATTACTTTTGGATAATTTAACAGTACTTGGACCATTAAAATGGAACATTTGTATCCTATTGGCATTATACACTCATTGGCCACTTTATTAGGTACTCTTGTCCAACTGCTTGTTAAAGCAAATTTCTAATCCACCAATCAAATGGCAGCAACTTAATACATTTAGTCATGTAGACATGGTCAGGATGATCTGCTGCAGTTCAAACTGAGCATCAGAATGGGGACGAAAGGTGGTTTAAGTGACTTTGAACATGGCATGGTTGTTGGTGCCAGACGGGCTGGTCTGAGTATTTCAGAAACTGCTGATCTACTTGGATTTTCAAGCACAACCATCACTAGGCTTTAAAGAGAATGGTCTGAAGATCAGAAAATATCCATTGAGCTGCAGTTCTGTGGGTGCAATTGCCTTGTTGACGCCAGAGGTCAGAGGAGAATGGCCAGACCAATGGCCAGATATAAAAGCAGCAGTCACTCAAATAAGCACTCGTTACAACTGAGGTCTGCAGAAGAACATCTTTGTAGACACAACACGTCCAACCTTGAGGTGGATGTGCTACATATTAACCATGTCTATACCTTTATGACCACAGTGTACCCACCTTCTGATGGCTACTTCCAACAGGATAACGTACCATGTCATAAAGTGTGAATCAACTCAGACTGGTTACTTAAACATGACAATGAGTATCTGTTATTGAATATATATATATATATATATATATATATATATATATATATATATATATATATATCTGTTAAAGGGATCATTCATCCAAAAATGAAAATCAATGGGTACAGGTTTTCAGCATTTAAAAAAAAAAATCTTCCTTTGTATCAACAGAAAAATGAAACTTATAAAGGTTTGAAACAGGTAAAGAATGAGTAAATGATGACAGAATCGCTTTAGGTTTACAGTGGCTCTGTGTACTCTTAAAATTAAGGTATATATATATATATATATATATATATATATATATATATATATATATATATATATATATATATATATATATATATATATATATATTTATTTTTTATTAGCTACAGAACAAACCACTGTTGTCCAATGACTTGCCTAATTAACCCAACTTGCCTTTAACCTAATTATCTTAGTTAAGCCTTTCAATTGCACTTTAACCTGAATACTAATATCCTGAAAAGAAAAAGTTAAATATTGTTTTACTAATGTATTTACTAATTTCTAATAGTGTTATTTGTATTACATTTTAACTATATGTACATTTTTTTAACCTTCTACTCTGCAAAACATAAAAAAGTGTAATTACAAATATATTGAAATACATGATTTAATACAAATAACATCAAAGCATTTTTGTTAACCTTAAATGCCTGAACATCTGGCGGAAATTCAGCTTATTTATCCAATATGGACATTATTTATCAGTATTTATGTATTAGGACAATAAGTAATCAAAAATGACCAGATGTAACACTCCACCTCTTTTTTTTTTTTGGTTTTGTTTTTGTTTGAAAAAGGCTAATTCAAAAAAGGCGCCCTCTGAAAACAGCTGATTCTCATGTGCTGCGTAATATACCCGTCTGGTGCAGCCATGGTACAACAGCAGAGTTGCTTGACTATTACAGCAGAATGAGGGCCAAAAGCTATAGGGTTTATGCAGAAACATGCAAAAGGACTTTTAATTTGTCAGTAATCTGGGTCAAACTGTTTGCCGTTACAAAATCAGCACGTTTAAGCTCTGTTTTCTTTAAAAATCAATGATCTTCACTGCCTAAATGGTATACGCTATGAAGTGTGTCTAAGAATGTACAAGAAGCTCTGCATTAAATTACATTTTTCCCACAATGTCTTTAAAATATTTAAATTAATTTTACTCCAGGATTTTCAATGAAGTTTCTACACTCCCCTGCTGATCCTGACATCGTGTAAACGGCTTTTTATCTTGATTTACGGTTCAACAGCTAAATGAATGCTGAAGTCTATTTAACTGATTATATTTTAATTACATTACAACATCAATGCTGTAAAATGAACCATTTAAAATTGAAAAAGTCACATAAACCGTTCACTGGTGGTTTATCGGTATGAGAAAAAAACACTAGCTCTGCATATACCCTATATCAGGGGCCACCAATCTCGATCCTGAAGGTTCCGTGCCCTGCAGGGTTTAGCTTCAACTTGCCTCAAAACACCTGCCTTGGTGTTTCAAGTATACCTAGTAAGAGCTTGATTAGCTTGTTGAGGTGCATTTGATTAGGGTTGGAGCTAAAATCTGCAGGATTGACATTTTTCATTTCCTGTTGGTTTTATTACTCAATGTAACTACATAAGCTTTAAATAGAAAAATGATCAAAACTCTTCTTTTTTTAATGCTAATGGTCCAATCCGATTCAATTCATTATGCTAAGCTAAGCTAAAAGTGACCCCGCCAGAACAAGAAAGCACGGATTAAAAATGGTTCAAGTCAATTGTTTAACTCTAGGGCCCGGTTTTTCAAAAGTAATCCACTAGGATTTTGGATAAGGGATTGGATCAAATCTTGAAAATGGGTTTTTCAAAAGAAAAAACGGATTACATAATCGGATTAGATCACGTAATCCAATCTTGGTTTTGATCCGGATCAAACCTTTAGTTTGGGTTTTTCGGACCTTTTTTGTAAGATCTGGATCACTTTGATCCAAAAAACATGGATTAAACTGATCCCATCAGAAGGGTGGATTTAGCGTGGATTTCATGCCTAAAATGTAATGAAAACTTAAAAAATGTATTAAACAATACTATTTTTGGATCATGCAGTATCTTACGAGATATACTATTTATTCATAAGGTTTTAATTTTATTTGTTCATCCGTCAGGCTATAGTGATTATTGGCTTTAACGTATTTAGCCTTTCTGTATAGGCCTCCAGCAAAGTAGAAAGAGTTTGGCCTCATAAAATAATCCCCCAAACAGCTGTCAAAACTGACCAAAAACAATACATTTTATTCTGTCACTAATTGATATATATATATATATATATATATATATATATATATATATATATATATATATATATATATATATATATATATATATATATATATATATATGTATTCATCACAATGGAAAATATTTTTCTTATTAGAATATTTATTAATGATGATAGCAATGATTACAGAATAAACAAAAAATGCAAGAAATGGCAATGACTGATTTTTTAAATCTCTTTCAACAATTGCAAAAAGAGACTGAAAGAGCAGAAGCACAGCTTCGCCTGGCAGAGGAACAACTGACTCTGCAGCAAACCAAGGCCAGACTTGAGATCCCCCTCCAAAAGGATACGCTTCACATCAAATGAGGAAGTCTGAGACTATTGTGGAGTTTTTGACATTAAGTATTTTTTTTAATTTACATCTATATTTGAAACTTATTATAAATATCCTCAATGTACAGTGTTAATGTTGTAGGTCTCAGATGAGCGGACTGCTGGAAAAGGATGGGGTGGGCCTTTTCTTGTTTTTCTTATTTATTATTATTATTAATTTAATATTTATTACATTTTCTTAGTTTTCATTTAAAAAAAATTAATTATATTGACCCCACGCTGGCTATTCTACTTGTCGCTCTTTACATATCTATAGTTCTACATTGTGATTTCCTATCCTGTTTGACTTTGAGCACTGGTAATCCAGATTTAGTGATCCTGAAAAGTTCCTATCCAGATCAGATTGATCCAATCCAATGTTGCTTTGAAAAACTGGCTCAAAAAGTAAGCTGGATTACCTGATCACGGATCGCAAAAAACAGAATTACTAAATCTGGATCAATTTGATCCGGATTAAACCTTTTGAAAAACCGGGCCCAGAAGACAAGTAAAATAAGCCCTATTCTAAAGTGTCACTAAAGATCAGCTAACAGCGTTTAATATTATTATAATATTATTAATTGCACATTATACACAATCTTACATGACTGAAAACATCACATTCAGTTTAGAGTATATTCCTTACACATAGAGGTAAAGTTGGTTTAATATTTGCACATTCGGACTTTCCCCTTAATAATATAATTCCCTAAAAGTATTATTCGCAAACTCTAAATAGCGAAATCATACTAGCAGCCAAAGGCTATCAACGTACAACATTGTTCACAGTCAAATAAAGTGTTAATGTTGAACGAATGTGCTAATATAAAACCAACTTTACCTCTATCCTTACACTTATATTAAATGCATAACAGAGTAGGTAACTCCTCTTTCCATTTCTAATTAATTCTTTCCATGAACATAACAAAAACCCTACATAGTTTGGGTAATTGTACAACCAGTTTAGAATGTACTATAGTAAACCAAAGGTAGCCTATTCAGATACCATTGTGCACGAATATGCTGCAACTAAGTCACATAACTGTTTTAACTGCAGAAGGATAAGCATATATGTAATAATATTTTAAATAGTTTGCAGCAATTCACATATTTATGACAAAGTATGAATGATTGAGCCGAAAAAAATCAACTGTGTAAGTGACTTGAGATGTAAACATAACCTAAGGTGAAGAGGAGCACGTTGTGTTTTGCAACACACTGTTGTGTACACACGCACACGGAGACGCTACATGTGCTGAATGTCAGTGTTAAAGGTCTTTGAACACGGTAATAAATGAATAAACTGCTATAAACCCGGCGCCATGAGTAGCCACAACCCTCCGCTTCGCCTTCTCTTTTAAAACACGCTTATTTAGCTAAAGGAGTAGCGCTGATTTGGAAATCACAACAAAATCGCTTCAAAACACTCTTCGGATAAAATATAGATATTCACGTCCTCTCCGAGGACTAAAATTTGCGATCAAGCTTTCAGGACCTTACCTTAAAGGCACCGTTTCAGACACGCACATCTCGCGAGAACTGCGCCCGTGATTCTCGTGATTCCTGCTGCACAGAAATAAGCAGAGAGAGGAAAAGCAGCAGCGAGATCCAAAACAGGCGGAGAGGATATTTCTCTAAAGTCATGATTTAACATCGCTTTTAGTTACTTACATATGTTTAATTTATTAGTAATGTATTAGTTAACACGAACTAACGATTAAAATATTTATGATAGTGATATTTTATTGTAAAATTGAGAGAGAGAAAGGAAGTCACATCAAGATGCCGAACACATAAGCACCCTTTTGAGGTTACTCAGTGTAAATATGTAAATAACATAATTCTGAAAATTACTAAGAATTTTCGGTTTTAATAATTACCATAATGTTTAAAAATTGAGTTATTTTATTTTCCTTTGGCTTAGTCCCTTCAGGGGTCACAACAGCAGAATGAACTGCCAACCTATCCAGGTCATCCGGGTACTTCTCGCAATCTGTTTTTCGATTTCTGTATTCAGACATACTACTTGGCTTGCATACTCTTTTTTTTTTTTTGCGTATTACATAGTATTATATAGTATGGAAGTATGCGATTTCGGACACAGCCATACACTACAGCCAATTAAGTTTATTCAATTCACCTATAGCGCATGTCTTTGGACTGTGGGGGAAACCGGAGCACCCAGAGGAAACCCATGCGAACGCAGGGAGAACATGCAAACTCCACACAGAAATGCCAACTGACCCAGCCGAGACTTGAACCAGCGATCTTTTTGCTGTGAGGTATCAGTGCTAACCACTGAGCCACCGTGTCGCCAGATGGTGTTATATTTTTGTTAAAAAAAAAAATAAAAAAAAAAAATATATATATATATATATATATATATATATATATATATATATATATATAGGGTGGCACAGTGGGTAGCGCCACAATCGGTAGTTGTCGCCTCGGCTGGGTCAGTTGGCATTTTTGTGTGGAGTTTGCATGTTCTTCCCATATTGGTGTGGGTTTCTTCTGGGTGCTCCGGTTTCCCCCACAGTCCAAAAACATGCACAAGGGGTGAATTGGGTAAGCTAAATTGTCGGTAGTGCATGTGTGTGAATGAGAGTTTATGGGTGTTTCCCACTGATGGGTTGCAGCTGGAAGGGCATCCGTTACATAAAACATATGCTGGATAAGTTGGCAGTTCATTCCACCGTGGTGACCCCTGATGAATAAAGGGACTCTATATATAGAAATTACTGCATTTTTATATTAAGTAACTTAGAGTTGTAAACACAGAACAGATAAAATATTCATTATAAAAATAACATATTTTTATTCAATAAAAAAAGAATAAAAAATTCTGGCAATTATTTGAAATCAAACATTGAAAACTATTAACTACCTCTTAACAATTTGTATTATTCCCATCAAAGACAAACAGTTGTGGGAAAAGTAAATAAGAATTATACTTAGGTAAAAGTATCATTACTTGTCTAAAAATGTAGTGCAAGTAGAGCAAAAGCACTTGTTGTAAATATTACTCAAAATTTGAGTAAAAATTAGAAATTTTTAAAAGTATTATTATTACGTATGTGATTTGTATATTTCTAATAACAAAATTAAAGCGTTTATATAATAAAATACACATTTTTTGATCCTCCAAGCGCCCCCTGTAGGAGCAGCTCAAACAGCGCCATAATCGTGCTGGCTAAGTACAGCAATGCACCACAATAGAGCGCTCATTTAAATGACACAGAATTGAATAACTATAAATAGACAATGTTGTCCTGGTAGCAGTATGTTTGATGTCCGCTAAATTAACAATTATTTAAAATACGTCCATACGTGGTGTAATAGATTGTAAAATGCTGTAACCCTTCAAAATAACAGAAAACCCCTGCGAAAACTCCATTTCCCATGATGCCTTTTAAACAGGACAGACATAACAGTCCTCGCGCTGCAGTGTGACTGATAATATTTCACCCACAGAGAGAAGAGCTTTGTGTTTGATCCTGCAGGTCTCGACTCGACAGACTCAAGGTAAGAGTGTGACATATACTTTGCACCTGCTTTTACATTCTCATTCAAAGTATTTGAAATAGGCTGCAATAATATATCCCCAAGTTAATAAGTTACTGTATTTGTGTTGTATCTTGTTATTGCGACAAGTACTTTTACTACAGTAACACGAAATACACTAAATATTTGTACAACGTTTTAAATATGGATATGAATTAATATGTATTGAAGGAATACATTTTATTTTTGATTATTTATAGGTTTATTCACTTCGTTCTTCGCACTTTATTAGATTCAGGCAAACTTTCCAATTGTTTTATTATTATAAATGTTAATAAATTTATTATTACTATTATTACTTTTTAAGAAATTATGATTTTTTTTTATTATTGTGATAACCCAGAAACACATAATAAGTAACCCATAATTAACGGTCAGATAAGGACACTTCAGTCTGTTGTTTATTGACTTTATTGGCACATTTTTATGGTCTGCTTGTGAATGTCTGTATTGTGTGAAAGGGAAATTATTTTGTTTGTCATCTAATTTTTGTAGGTCAGTTTTTTTAAATACTTTTATTCTATGACAAAGATACATTTGATACACACCATTTACAAAAATAATTATTAGATTATTTACAAGGGCATCATGGTGGCACAGTGGGTGGCATGATTGCCTCACAGCAAGAAGGTCACTGATTCGAGCCTCGTCCGGGTCAGTTGGCATTTCTGTGTGGAGTTTGCATGTTCTCCCCGTGTTGGCGTGGGTTTCCTCCGGGTGCTCCGTTTTTCCCCACAGCCCAAACGAATGCACTATAGGTGAATTGGGTGAGCTAAAATGTCCGTAGTGTATGTGTATGAACGGGTAAGTATGGATGTTTCCCAGTGATGGGTTGTGGCATAAAAGGGCATCCGCTGTGTAAAACATATTCTTGATAAGTTGGCGGTTCATTCTGCTGTGGCGACGCAATTCGGTGGATGGGGATGATTGAGAGGCCATGATCAATAAGGGCCAATGAAGGGAATTTGGCCAGGACACCTGGGTTACACCCCTATTCTTACGAGAAGTGCCATGGGATTTTTAATGACCGCAGAGAAAGACGGCGCTTACTGACAGTGTAGTGTCCCCTTCACTTTACTGGGGTTGTTGCTAGAGCGGATACGTTTGCGGCCGGAAGTTAACGTGAATTATTTCTATTATTTATTACATTTTTCATTTGTTGTATTTTATTAACGTCTACCCCCACCCCAACCCTAAACCCAACCGTCACAGTATTGTAAAAACTTTAGTTTACCGAGTATTAGTTGTGTTATCTATTAAATTACCCAATAAAATGTATTTTTTAACGCCTACCCCAACCCCAACCCTAAACCCCACCCTCACAGTACTGTAAAAATATTAATTATTGTTATACAGTGTCATAAAAAAATGCTGCTTTATTAATGTGCATATCGCACTTCCGGCCGGCCGCATATTCGATCTAGACTTTACCCTTTACTGGGGCATTAGGACTCACACAGACGGGAGGTTGAGCGCCCCCTGCTGACCTCACTAACAGCAATTCCAGCAGTAACCTAGCTTTCCCATGTGGTCTCCCATCCAGGCACTGACCAGGCTCAGCCCTGCTTAGCTTCAGCGAGCAACCGTTCCGAAATTGAACCTATAGTATTGCAAATGCTCGATTCATATTTTGTTAATATTTTATGAATATTCGATCAGCCTACTTTCAAAATACTTCTACAATTATAGTTTATAAATAACATTCAAACGTTTTCAATGTTTATCGAATGAGTTTTGATTAAATTAAACATTAGCATATTGACTCATTGGTAAAGCCTGTTTAAAAAAAAAAAAAAAAAAACTACTTGAAGTGTGTACGCTTACACTATTTCCAACTAAAAACTAAAAGCCTTTTGTGTGTTTTGGTCTTTCATTTTTTACATAGTGGGAAAAATGGATTGCGCAACATGCTAAAGGCATTATACAACTGGAGAGGAAACGTTTACACAACGTTTTTAGAATTCAACCTTTTTTTTTTCAAGCACCCAAAACAAAATGTTGAATAATAACAGAACGTTGTGTAAATGTTCTCTTAGTTGTATAATGCCTTTTGCACGTTGCATAATCCATTTTTCCTCTAGGTAAAACGGGCTGATTAAATGCTTACCAATACACAATGAAATCTTTACAGTAATGCTGGGCTGCAGAATGTAAAATGGATGTCTGGATTTTAACCCACGCTGCATTAACTAATGTTAGCAAGCATGAATTTGGATGTTAAAAATGCATTAGTATTTAATGGAATATGACTAATAAATGCTGTGAGTATTATTCATAATTAGTTCATGTTAGTAACACAGAAGATATATCGCATTATAATGAACTACCTCAAGACATGCAATTTAAAATTGCAGCAAACTGTTTGGAAGCATTAAAAATGTCCAAGAAGATGTCCAAAATATTTACACGCATTGACCCAGAGACTGTTTAAATGCATGACACTGATGAGAGTGTTCTAACAAATCACTTTCTAACAACCTAAAATCAACCAAATATCAGCGTCATTTGACGTCATTATTGGCCATCAAAATATTGTTCTTAGACGCTGGCTAGACATTGAATTTTGGTCACCTGACATCACAACCTAAATCTAACCTAATATTAACGTCTTATGACATTGTGTGCCTGCTGGGCAATGACTAAATGCACTACAGAATGCTGTAGAATACAGCTGCTTTATTTCACTCTATGATAACTTCTTTTATGTTTAATCCACTTAAATTTGCAAAAACACTTATCTAAATCGATTTGCGTTGGGACAACATGAAGGAATTGTGTGGAACCCAGCATGTTTTATAGCAAACGATAATGATTGTGGGCGGCACGGTGGCTCAGTGGTTAGCACTGTTGCCTCACAGCAAGATGGTCACTGATTTGAATCCTGGCTGGGCCAGTTGGCATTTCTGTGTGGAGTTTGCATGTTCTCCCTGTGTTGGCAAGGGTTTCCTCCAGGTGCTCTGTTTTTCCCCCACAGTCCGAACACATGCGCTATAGGTGAATTGAATAAACTAAATTGGCTGCTGTGTGTCTATATGAGTGTGTATGGGTGTTTCCCAGTGCTGGGTTGCTGCTGGAAGGGCATCTGCTGCATAAAACATATGCTGGAATAGTTGGTGGTTCATTCCACTGTGGCCATCCCTAATAAATAAGGGACTAAGCTGAAGGAGAATGAATGAATGATAATGATTGTGTAAAATGCTGTACAAATAAACTGCACTGAATGACTTTGGTGTGTAGGAGATGAAGCGTGTGAAGGTGGCGGTGGTCGGGGCCGGTGTGGTGGGTTTATCCACAGCCGTGTGCATCGCTGAGACTCTTCCATACTGTTCAGTGACCCTCATCTCTGAGAAGTTTTCTCCTCACACCACCAGTGACGGCGCAGCTGGAATCCTCCTTCCCAAAGAGTTTCCTGGTGAGGTGAACACAAAGCTGAGCTTTTCTAAGGCCACCAGATGATCATCTTGATTGTTTGTGAACTTGTGTTATCAGACATTCCTCTGGAATGGCAGCAACAATGGTTCAAGAAGTCTTTTGAATATCTTCTGGCCATCGCAGATTCTCCGCAAGCCTCAGATGCTGGTGTCTACTTGAGCTCTGGGTAAAAATAGTCATTAACCCTCCTGTTGACATATGGGTCATTAATGACACAGGCACCATTCTAACTATTTTAAATCCATTTTTACCTTGCAGTTTGGTGACTGTTTTCCTAAAATAATAATTACAAATAATAATAAACAATCAAAAAATTTTTTTAAAATTGAACAAAAGCATCAGTTTACACATTTTCACATCCTTTAACACCCACGTTTAACACAGATAAAGAATATAAACTCAATAAATAAAAAAAACACACGTACAGAGAAATAGAGAACGCAATAATAATACATAACTCAAATAAGATATTAACACTTTTACTGTGCGTCTCACCACAGTGACCTTATTCATCCTCCAAAAATGCCAAATAATTTCCCTGTCTTCTCTTCAAAACATCCGATGTATTAAGTACTTGTCATTTTTATCATATGCTGCCACCGTCCCCGATTCCGCAAGCCATTCCTTAAGAGTTCACACTTAGCTGATGATCCATCCAAAGCTTGTTTGGCATGCTGTCCCGGGAGAAAGCCCTGAGCTCAAGGGATCCTCGAGCCCAGGGCTCCCTCCTGTTTGCAGAGCGAGATGGGAGCTTGAGCTCAGGTAGGTCTCAAAAACTCCCTGGGTGCAGATGCTAAGGGAACACTTGAGAAGAAGGGAGCTAGACAAGTGCCTGATTTGCTAAATTTGTTATGCATTATGTATATCTTTGGATGGAGGGAGGAAACCGCAGAACCCGGGGGAAACCCACGCGGACACGGGGAGAATATACAAACTCCTCACAGAAACACCCAACGGCATGGCAGGCACTTGGGCTGGCTGTGTTCTTGCTGTGGGGCTAATGCGGTGTTCAAACCAGACGCGGAATGCGTGGATAAATTGCGCTATTCACGTGTAAATAGGTGCGTGAACATTTGAGTTTACTTGCTTCATTCGCGCGTCAAACCCCGCTTCATTCGCGCGTCAAACCCCGCTTCATTCGCGCGTCAAACCCCGCTTCATTCGCGCGTCAAACCCCGCTTCATTCGCGCGTCAAACCCCGCTTCATTCGCGCGTCAAACCCCGCTTCATTCGCGCGTCAAACCCCGCTTCATTCGCGCGTCAAACCCCGCTTCATTCGCGCGTCAAACCCCGCTTCATTCGCGCGTCAAACCCCGCTTCATTCGCGCGTCAAACCCCGCTTCATTCGCGCGTCAAACTCCGCTTCATTCGCGCGTCAAACCCCGCTTCATTCGCGTGTCAAATTCACTTCAGAACAGACTCGGATTCGCGTAATGGGCAGGGCTTCTGTCTGCCTGGTGACTCTAGCTTCGTTGTTAAATGGCTAACATGGATTTTATTAAGAAAAAAACTGTGTTTATGTGCTTTATGAAGGCTGAAAAACAGCGTTGATAGGTTTAAGGCTGTGTCTGAGTCCACTAGATCTATCACATTCACGCCCCTACAAGAGCAAGCTCCTGATTGGTTAAAGCAGCGCGAATGTCCGCTTAAGTTCAGATTTTTGAACTTGAACTATTCGCGTGAAACGCACGTCAAATTCACAAAATGCTCAATTCGCGCGCATTATTTGTGCATATTGCGCAAATTCCATCATTCGCGCCGCGCCATTCACACGTATCGTGCCGCAGGATGTCTATTCGCACATTTGCATTGACTTAACATGTAAATCAATCGCGCTTGACATGCCTTCAGCGTCTGGTGTGATCCTCTCAATTAGTTTATAAATAAACTTCACTCAAAATGATTGCGGACCTGCCGAATGCCATCCCCTCATAATCATTTGTCATCCAATTATAATTCTTATTTGAATCCACTTAGACATCTTCACACCAGACCGCAACACTAACGGGTCTCCCAGTACATATATTCCAGAACAGAACGAAAAGAAGCATCCAGAAACATCCTGAATGCACTTTAACCCAGAATTCCTGTATTTTAGAACAGGACCATATATAACAGGGCATGCATAAAATGAATCATTTTCTATGTTTATATTTTCATGAAGGCGCTACACATTTAGGGTACAACGGTTGCCCTTCATGTCAATTTTGACTAAAACTACCACAAAAAATACCATCCACATCGACTGTCATAAACTTTTACAAATACTGCCTTGCCAAAACTTTTACACCATTTTTACAGTTACATTTAGGATTAGAAATATACCCATTACTTAAGTCAAAAACAAGTAAACATTACTTAAACACATAATCCTTTATTGTGTTTTTCTTTCTCACAGGTATCAGATTTTCAAGGACGTTCCCAGGGATAAAAAGCCCTTCTGGGCAGATTTGGTCTTTGGATTTCGTTACATGACGGATCATGAATTGAAGCGTTTTCCTGACCACAAGTTTGGTCAAGCGTTTACCACATTGAAGTGTGAATGTCTGAGCTACCTGCCATGGCTTGAACAAAGGTAATTTAAAAGAAATGTTTCTATCAAATATATGATTGGGAATGATGGAATTATTTTCTAACAGAGGCTATATGTGCTGCTGAAGATTACAGACACAGATGAGAGGTTTGAACTGACTGTGGGCTGTATGTTGTGATGTTTTGATCCTAAATAAGCCCTAAATGTATGCTGTGTGTAGTTCTTATGTAGTTGGTAACATAGTGGAGAATGTAAGGGGCTGTATGTGTTCATATATGTTGCATTTATTTATTTATTGTATATTATTGCAGACTTTACAGTAGGCTATTTCGCGCTGTCATTGATCTGCAGTTATAATTAAATCCTGTTCATAGAAAAGTTAGTAATAAACATTTATACAGAAGTATTTGTGTATAAAGCCTCTGTTTTGTTAGAAGTGCTTCTCATACTTCTCATACCCGTACAGCTTTACTCTAGACATTTCTCGAGCGAAAATGACGTCGACTGAAACTTTCTGTTGTACACCACACCCACCAAAAGGGTACCCTTGGTAGTGGAAACACAAGCCTGATAAAGGTGACCCGTACTGACCCGAACTGTACCATACTGTACCAGTCAGTGAAAATGAGCCATAAGTGAGAGCTCAATGCAGGAGTGCAGTAAAGCAAAGCAGTTAAGCATGAGCATATTACTCTACTCTTAACCCTAACCCCAAGTAATAACGACACACATTCAGTATTAATCCACACAGTGCCAAAAGTTTGCAGTGGCAAAACCATCCCGCTTGTGAGGAACAGCTAATGGTGGCCATAGCATTGACAAATGTCAGGAGATCGCGAGTTCAGAAAGGAAAGGAAGAAGCAAGCGTCGAGTTTTCAGCGTGGTTTTGGACACAATATGTGAAGAGTCCCATACAGATTTAACCTGTGAGCACTGATCAATAATAGATCGATATCGATACGAGACATCGACAAATATGAAGTGACAGTGTTCTGTCGATTTGTCCTACCTTGTCAGATTGTCCTACCTTCCATTCAAAAACTAGGTAGCACATTTTGACAAGTGGTGCTCACTGCAGAGCCACTTGGCCAGAGCTGAGCTCCAGCATGGGGGAGTTTGAGCTCCAGCTCCTTCTTCCTTGCACTTCTTCTACAAGTGATGTCACTGGGGGTTGGGGTTAGGGGTGGGTGTACGCATTAAAACAGCTTTTAGGAGGAGTGGGAGCTCAAGCTCCCCCTCGCTGGAGCTCAATTGGCTCTGCAGCGAGCAGTGTCTCTTTTAATGCGGTAGGTAGGACAAGTTAGGACAAATCGACAGAACACCGGCACTTTACAGACATCCCAAGTCTCCTGGAAGTTGCGGGAGTAACCCAGAAAATACATAGTGACTCCCAGATGCCCGCAAATGAATGATAATCTCCCGGAAATCATGCGTCTCCCGCCCAGTCCTTAAATACGTCGCACACCCCTCTCCATCGCATCCCTCCCAGCTCTTCAGGTATGTTGCACAACTCTCCCACACAGCTTTTCAGGTACGTCACGCGCAACTCACCCCCACCGCTCTTCAGGTACATCGCTCGCAACTCTCCCCTCACCGCTTTTCAGGTACGTCGCACGCAACTCACCCCCCACCGCTTTTTGAGGTATGTCTTGCGCACACACCCCAACCGCCCCCCACTCCCCCGCTTTTCAGGCACCCACCCTCCCGCAAATCAACTCTGTATCCCCCGGAAATGACTTTTCCCTACTTGGGATGTCTGACTTCATATTTGGCGATTTCTTGTATCGACATCGATACAAACAGGCAAAAGATTTGAATACAAGACGATTCATTTATATGACTCTGAGTCAACCCATTTCCTAAAGAATCAATAGTTTTAAACACAGCGCACTTTCACATTTAAGCTCAGCCGGATGTTTTCATTCACTTTCAAGCTCATTTTCAAATACCCATAATAGGGGCTCTTTAAAATTTTTGATTTAAGAATTTGTCCTTTTTTTGTTCTGTTTTTGGCAGTTGAATTCAAGTTGCAAATAACACCATAATGAACATTTAATTCAAGCACTTTCAAGGACCTGTGCTTGTTTTTAAGTGCTTTCCAAGCATAGAATGTGCATGTGTGACCGGTCCTCGCTTTACTCTGCGTTGTGTTGTGATTAGGCGAAAGGAACCAGACATATGGGAATTAACAGGCTTTTAATCTGCATGAATAAAACAAACAAATGGCAAAGCTGAGTATGTGCCTTCCTTAGGAGCTCACCAACCTCTCCTCAATCGCATTTGCCGCGAACTGACATAAATCAGGTTGAAGTGTGTTTAACATACACCAAAAAAAAGAGAAACATTATACATAAATTCAAAAACATAACAGAAGCATAAACACATATGTAAACACATACCTGCATGAATAAAACAAACAAATGGCAAAGCTGAGTACCGTATTTTCCGCACTATAAAGCGCACCGGATTATAAGACGCAGTCTCAATTACGGGGTCTATTTCTGTACTTAACCCATACATAAGGCGCACCGTATTATAGGGCGCACGCTAAAATACACTGTCTGCAAAAAAAAAGGTAATGGAAGCAAAACAGTTAACATAGTTTAGTTGAACTTTATTGTACTATTTAACAATACACTCACATTATTTTTTTAATCAGTCTTCTCCCACAAATCCATCAAAGTCCTCATCTTCTGTGTCTGAATTGAACAGCTGGGCAGTTTCGTCATCAAACACGCCGGGTTCTCTCTCATCATTGTCTGAGTCAGTCTCATTGCCGGGTGGCTGTTCAGCAATGATGCCGGCTTTTGCGAAAGCTCGGACAACAGTTAAAGCAGACACCTTAGCCCAGGCATCCACAATCCATTCACATATGGTGGCGTAACTCGCCCGGCGCTGCCTACCAGTCTTAGTAAAAGTGTGTTCGCCGTCTGTCATCCATTGCTCCCACGCAGCTCGCAACTTCACTTTAAACGCCCTGTTTACACCAATATCCAGCGGCTGGAGTTCTTTAGTTAGTCCTCCCGGAATGAAAGCAAGCTCCGAATTCATTTGCTTCACTTGGTTTTTCACAGTAGCGGTGAGATGGGCGCGCATGGAGTCGCAGATCAACAGGGACGGTGATGTGTGGAAAAAACCATCCGGTCTCTTTACGTACACCTCTCTCAGCCACTCATTCATTTTTTCCTCATCCATCCACCCCTTTTGATTGGCCTTAATGATGACTCCGGCTGGAAACTTTTCTTTTGGCAGTGTCTTCCTCTTAAAAATGACCATAGGTGGTAGTTTCTGTCCATCACCATGGCAACCAAGAACAACAGTGAAAGCCGACTTCTCATGGCCCGTGGTGCGTATTGAGACCGTGCTGGCCCCCTTTTTCTCCACAGTATGATTCACGGGGATGTCAAAAGTGAGAGGGACCTCATCCATGTTGGTGATGTGTTTGGGCTGGATCTTTTTGTCGGTAATCTTGTTACTGCAGTAAGTGCGGAAAATGTCAAGCTTTTCTTTGTAATCTGCTGGCAGTTGCTGCGCCACGGTAGTCCATGCGCGGATAGAGAGATGGCGCCTTTTCATGAAACGAAAGCACCAAGACGGGCCTCCTTGAAAGTGTTCGATCCCCATGTCTTGTGCTATCTTTTTTGCCCTCAGTCGAATGGTGACTGTAGAGACACTTCTTCCGGCTGTTCTCTGCTCAACAATCCATTGCTCAAGTTGGTCTTCTAACTGTGGCCACCTTGCTTTGTTCCCGCGGAAACTCTGTTTCGTCTTCTTAACTTGGCGCAGTTCATTTTCTTGTTTCCTCCACTTCCGAACCATAGATTCATTAATTTGGAATTGTTTCGCAGCTGCTCTATTCCCATTTACAACCGCGTAACTGATAGCTTGTAGTTTGAATTGTGCCTCGTAAGCATGTCTCTTCATTGGTGCCATTTTCGGGGATCATTAGACAAACATATGTAGTTTTGATTGGTTTATTGCTGCTGCGTACGGAGTGTACGTTTTACGTCTCTGTGTCGGCGGGAAATGCTCCGACAGCCAATCAAGCGGAGCGCTTTCCGAAATCACACAACAACATTTTTACAGATTTTTTAACTCCGTGCACACATAAAGCGCACCGGATTATTAGGCGCACGGCCGTTTTATGACAAAATTTAAGGCTTTTAGGTGCGCCTTATAGTGCGGAAAATACGGTATGTGCCTTCCTTAGGAGCTCACCAACCTATTAGTAAAAGGAATAATTCTCACTACAAAGCTTGCACATTCATGCTTATAAACTTTACCCACAATACATGCCTCATATACATTCAACCTCTCATACATGTTTAAACATCAATGTAATGCAATTTAGAAAAACATTACATGTGTTATTATGATAAACAACACTTATATGCTGTATTTTAACCGGAGCTTTAGTAAAACTCACCTCTCCTCAATCGCGTTTGCCGCGAACTGAGCGAGAGCAGGCGGAACCGGAAAACGACACTTAAAGGGGCCACGCGCAATTTTCCAAAATACACCAATACATTGAAAACAAACACAACTATGATTTCATTAACTCTGAAATATAAGATATTTAAAGAACAACTTTGAAAATACACATTTAAATAAAAATAATTGATGAATAACAAGGAGAATTTTGAGTGAAATTAATAAATATAATATAACACCTGTTACACATGTCATAAATTCAAGTACTTTTGAAGAAGCATGGGGAATATAATATTAAAGACCACCGTATGTTTATTTTTCTACCAGGTTTATAGCAGTCGGAGGTCGGATCATACACGAGAAGGTGACGGATCTTCATAAACTGGCCCTGAATTATGACGCCATCATAAACTGCTCAGGCCTGGGCTCTCGCGCTCTGCTGAAGGATGAAGAGGTTTATCCAGTGCGAGGACAGATCCTGAAACTGCACGCCCCCTGGCTAAAGAACTTCATTCGGGATGGAGATGGAAACACCTACATCTACCCGGGTATCAGATTTGTGTCTGTGGGTGGGACGCGGCAGGCGGATGACTGGCGGATGGAGCTGGATGAGCGGGACCGGGAGGGCATCCTGGAGCGCAGCGTTCGCCTGGAGCCGTCCCTGAGAGCCGCTGCCATCCTGGGTGAGTGGGTCGGACTGAGGCCGGCTAGAGAAAACCTGCGGCTCGAGAGGGAATATGTGAATGTTGGGGGTCGAGCGGTTCCTTTGGTCCACAACTATGGTCATGGCAGCTGCGGTGTGACTCTAAGCTGGGGAACAGCGCTGGACGCTCTCCATCTGCTGAGGAAGAGTCTGCTGGAAAAACCTCCTCAAGCCAGACTCTGAAGATTTACACTGACTGATATTACAGCTTTTAGACATGCATTACTGATAATTAATGACACTTTAATCTCACAAGGATCAAAAATGATCATTCTTTCTTAGTTTTTTTTATTTCTCACAATCTCCAGAGCTGTTTGAAATTTTTCTGTTGGATACGAAAGAAGATATTTTGAATAATGTTGGAAATTAGTTTATTGGTAATCGATACTACATACATTATATATATATATATATATATATATATATATATATATATATATATATATATACACATACAAATATATATATATATATATATATATATATATATATATATATATATATATATATATATACATACATACAGTTGAAACCAGAAGTTTACATAAACTCTGAAAAACAAGCTTCTCACTATAGTTTGAAGGAATTTTGGCCGATTCCTCCTGACAGAATTAGTATAACTCAGTCAGATTTGTTGGCTGTCTTGCTCGCACAAGCTTTTTCAACTCTGCCCACACATCTTCTATAGGATTGAGGTCAGGGCTTTGTGATAGCCACTCCAAAACTTTCACTCTGTTGTCCTAATAGGTGTTATATTATATTTATTAATTTCACTCAAAATTCTCTTTGTTATTCATCAATTATTTTTATTTAATTGTGTATTTTTAAAGTCAGAAACACATTTGATAATCCTAACTTATCCAAAAGAAAAAAAAGTTTAGTCACATTAACATCTGACTTTTTTTTTTTTTAAATGGTCATGTGCCTTTTTATACAGTGTATGTAAAGGTTTGGTTTTAACTGTATACATAATAAAAGTGCAACCGTCTTTTATTATAGTCCCCAGTAACACCACATTTTTTTCTAATGAGTGTTTAAACGAACATTATAAATATATATATATATATATATATTCATATTAACAAATGTTATATTGTAAATTGTTATCAGAATGTTTAATGGTTTCAGTTATAATAATTATATTTAATCATTTCAAGCAGGCTTTTTTAAATATGAAATGTGCAAATTGTTTGATGCTGAAATACGTTCTTATATGCCAGTTTACCAGGCTGTGGTAGATTGAATATAAAGTGATTTTTTTATTCTATCACATCAAACTGATACTAAATATGCAAGTCATTGCTGATACTAGATTAAAACCCAGTATTAAGGCTGTCAGTGCTGCTGCCGTGTCTCTTGATCTTTATGCAGGTGTTCATAAAATCTCTCAACTCTTTAGTTTTATCATAATAAAGAAACCACAATTGCATTTTTGACGATAATGTGAAATTATTAGAATATTTATAATAGAAGTGTTTCAAATGTACATTTCAAATATTCTACTGTCTAAGAATGCTGTTCTTAGTTTTCTTCAAAAAAAAAAAAAAAACACAAGAAATCCTCATGATTTTCAAGCTTTGTCCAGTTTGGTGGTTGAGCAGAGCATCTGTCTGAGCTGATAACTGCAGTTGGTGATGGTCAGGTCAGTGGATCCTCAGTTTGGTCCTGTTTGTTCAACCTCTGTGGGCCACTCTTCAAGCCAATCTTCCTCTTGGTTTGGTGAAACTGAGCTCTGATAAAATGGTAGAATCTGTATTCATACTCCATGCGCTGATGAAGCACCCGCAGAGCCTCCAGATTCGGGCTTTGTTTGCGGACGGTGCCCGTCAAGTTCCCCAGCTTCCTGTATTCTGAACATAGCAGTGACAGACAGACAGCCGCATATATATTCAGTTGAAGTGAAAATTATTCACCCTCCTGTAAATCTCTTTTTCAAATATTTCCTAAACAATGTTTAACAGAGCAAGGAATTTTTCACAGTATTTACTATAATATTTTTTCTTCTGGAGAAAGTCTTATTGGTTTTATTTCGGCTAGAATAAAAGTAGTTTTAATTTTTTTTTTTTTTTACTATTTTAAGGTCAATATTATTAGCTTAAGCAATGCTTTTTTTCGAATGTCTACAGAACAAACCACTGTTATACAATGACTTACCTAATTACCCTAACTTGCCTTAACCTAGTTAAGACTTTAAATGTCATTTTAAGCTGAATACTAGTATCTTTAAAAATATCTTGTCAAATATTATTTCTGTCATCATGGCAAAGATAAAATAAATCAGTTATTAGAAATGAGTTATTAAAACTATTATGCTGAGAAATTATTACGTTGAAAAAATCTAAAATATATACAGGAGGGCTAATAATTATGACTTCAACTGTATATATACCATATTTATATTTAAATCTGTAACCATTTACAATAAACATTTGCCTGTCCTCACCAGGGCTCCTGTAGATGTTGAGGACGTCAGAGAAGAAGTGTGGCAACAGCCTCTCCAGCAGCAGCAGCACGTCCTCCAGTTCCTCCAGCACTCCCACCAACAGATAGTGATCCAGAACGTTCTGCTTGGCCGTTTCCAGAGCCCACAAACCTGGCTCTCTGGCTCAACAAGACAACAAAATCAATTCAGATCATCACTCAGGCATCTGGTACAATAGTTCAGAGGTGGAGAGAAATGCTGGAAGTTGTAAAGTCTGCGATAACCAGTTAACAGTTCTGGTACCTGAAAAGTCTGCTGAGACTTTTTCTGCGTCCCAATTTGCTTAGTTATACTACATACTAATACTGTTCTTTTTTTATGAAGAAAAAGTACAATGGGGAAATAAGAATTAAACACGTCACTATTTTTCTCAGAAAATATATTTCTAAAGGTGCTGTTGACTTGAAATTTTCACCAGATGTTGGTAACAACAAAAAAATCCATATATGCAAAGAAAACAATCAATCCAATAGAGCATAGAGGAACAGGAAATGCACATCATGGATGTGCAGCCGAAAAATCTGCAGCAGCTGCGTGATGCTATCATGTCAATATGGAGCAAAATCTCTGAGGAATATTTCCAGTACCTTGTTTAATCTCTGCCATGAAGGATTAAGGCAATTCTGAAGCCAAAAGGGTGTCCAACCTGCTACTAGTAAGGTGTACCTAAAAAAGTGGTCGATGAATGTATTTATATCGACTTCATGATGTTTATGACAGATTTATAACGCATTTTGTTGTCTTGGTAATGTCAAAGTTGTCATGAAAGACAAAAACAGGTTGTGATGTATTTGTTCATGTCAAGATGTCATAACAAATAATGTCATCTTTGGATTTAAATTGCCATAACTGAGCTAATGACACTCAATGACAGTTGTTATAGACTTGCATAAAGTCTTTTAACAATCCAATCAGCTCCCATAGAACGAAATCAAGCCCCGTCCTACATTTTTTTCTCATTTCAAGTGGATGTACGTCACATCAGCAGAAAAAAGGACAATCTTAACTTTCATTTCACGGAGACATATACAATAACATAATGTAATATAGCAGTAACATAGAAGTCACCTGCACTGAGGGTGCTGCCCGCAGAAATACGGGATGATGTAGAAGAGCCGAGGGTTGGTGCATTCTGGGTAGCTTTCCAAGATGCAGGTGTTGATATCCTTCAGTCAAACAGAACAGAGGAAGTTCGTAGTTCTTTACATTAGAACAGTGGTGTAAAGTAACTAATTACAAATACTCAAATTACTGTAATTGAGTAGTTTTTCTCAGGAATTGTCATTTATTAAGTCATTTTATAAATGTCTTCTTTTACTTTCCCTTGAGTACATTTATAGTGCTGTATCTGTACTTTTACTTCACTACTTTCCGTCAACCTGCAGTCACTACTTTTTTACTTTCTTGTCTATGGGGATTAGCCAAAGTAGAAAAATCAGTCATGTGATTCCTGTCTAATCAATCGCACATAGAAAGTAAATCACACGATACTGAACAACATCAACACATGGGCACTTTATAAATGCAGCAAACCTTTCAGAATCATTAAAAATATCCAAGAAGATGTTCAAAATATTTACACACACAGACACACAGACTTGTAATAGACCGGATGTTACTGATGAGAAAATAGATGTCGCTTGTAAAAAAAAAAAAAAAAAAAAAAAAAGGAAGTCGACTGTATGATGACTGAAATCACCAAACAGCCTTAAACAACTGCTAAATGGAAAGGATCAAACATGGAAGGAAGAACCGAACGAAGGAAGGACTGAACTAATGAAGGAAGGAAGGACCAAATGAATAAAGGAAGGATTCAAGGAAGGACTGAACAAACTAAAGAAGAAAAAGAAGGAAGGAAGGATCGAATGAATGAATGAATGAATGAACAAAGGACCTAATGAGGGAAAGAACAAAAATTATGAACAAAAGAGCGAATGAATGAGAGAGCAAATGAAGGGAGGAATGAAGTAAAGACCAAAGGAACGAACGAAGAAATTCCCAAATGAATAAAGCAAGGACAGAACAAATGACCTAATGAAGAAAGGAACAAAAATATAAATGAACGAACGAAAGAACAAAGGATCAAATGAATGAAGTAAGGATTCAAGGAAGAACTGAACAAACTAAAAACAGAATGAACAAAGGACCTGATGAAGGGAGGAACAAAAATTTGAATGAGCGAACAAATGAAGGGAGGATGGAAGGAAGGAACATACGGATATAGGAAGATCACTAAATGCACAACAGAATGTTACGTTTTCACATCCCTGCACAAACTGCATGTAAATGCAAAACAACTTTTTTACAGAGTAATACTCACTAATCACTACTCTTGAGTACTTTTAAAAGCGATACCTTTTACTCATACATTAAATAATATTTACAGCAGATACTTTTAGTCTACTTGAACTACATTTTTGTGCAAGTAATGGTAATTTTACTTGAGTATGATTATTCAGTACTCTTTCCACCACTGCATTAGACTTAAAAAAATAAAAAAATAAAAACACCGAAAAGCCAGCCAAATATGAAAAAACACAATGAAAGTACAAAGAAAACAAACATTTGTGCATTTCGAAGAATTTATAATAAAGGTTTCATTGTTATATAAGCTGTTTTATAATTGTTTATATGAAAAAATGGCATCACTGTGGCTCAGTGGGTAGCAGGATCGCCTCACAGCAAGAAGGTTGCTGGTTGGAGCCTCGGCTGGGTCAGTTGGCATTTCTGTGTGAAGTTTGCATCTTCTGCCGGTGTTGGTGTGAGTTTCCTCCTGAAGTCCAAAGACATGCGCTATAGGTGAATTGAGTATGCTAAATTGTCTGTAGTGTGTGTGTGTGTGAATTAGAGTGTGGGGGTGTTTCCCAGTACTGGGTTGCAGCTGGAAGGGTAAAACATATGTTGGATAAGTTGGCGGTTCATTCTGCTGTGGCGACCCCTGATTAATAAAGGGACTAAGCTAAAAAGAAAATGAATGAATCATTATATAAAAAAAACGACATACAAAAAAAAAAACATTTCATTTCTGACTGTCAAAGAGCCAGCAATAACATTTCACAGTAGTTTAAGTTAGTGCTGTTAAAGTACACCTCTGAGAACAGTTGTGCTTATAGATTAAACCACAGGGGTCTGAACACACAAATGCACATTCATATCCGTAACCCACGCCTGGAGGCTCTCTGTGCTTTGCAAACAAAACCAGAACAGACTGGAGAAAGATGATGGTGATTTATTTATTTTTTTTTTGCATGGCAAAGAATAAAAAACAAAAGTTTTGTTACAAGCTTTTTATAAATGTATGTAAAAGTATTAAATAAAATATACCTGTAATATTTACACACATATACACATTTTATGTTGCACACACATACAGTGCTCACAAATAAGCCCAACCCATTTTGAAAATGATTTTTTTTTATCTATTTCTCAGTAAATATAAGTCATATATTTTGGTGAATTTAAACAACACAAATTTATTAAACAGATATATTTATTAAAATAATATTTTAGTCGCAGAACATCTTTAGAAATAAAAAGATTATACATTTAAATTCATGCGAAATATTGGAAAAAAAATTACAAACTACAAAAATTAGACTAAATTTTATAATTTTTTTGTTTCTCTTGAATTTTGCTATTTTTAAATTTTATATTTAATATTTTTCCCCAAACACATGAATTTGCGTGTACAAATTTTGGACAGTTCTCATAAGTTGCTTTGTTCGATTAGTTCCAGATTTGGCTTCAGTACTGACTAAATTAATGTATATGCACAAATTTTAAAGCTTCCTATTAAAAATCCTAATTAAAATGAGAGGTTTGTAAGGGGTATGTTGAGCACTGTACAGTAAAAAATACTTTTTTTTTCAAAAATTAAAAGTATATTAAAATGGACTGAATATGATTGAAAAACAAATAGTTTGCACTTTTGCATATACTGTACATTATATTTACATTTACAGTTAAAATTAATCAACAAATGAAAGTTTTTCTCAAGATTCCGAAGATTTTTTTTATTGTGTCTGTCAAAAATCACACACATTTATATTTTACTATTATATTTTATTTTACAAATGTTTACACTTAAAAAATGTGTATCTGTTTTCATAAAATAATGTTATTGACAGCAGAATATCTTTCAGATGAAGGGGCTTGAATTATTTTGGTTGCAACTGTATATTTACTAAAATGAACTGTAGATTTCAAAGTCATTTTAACAATAGTTCACATACAAATGATAACATTAAAAAATTCAGCACTGTACTGCAAAGATAAACATTCATTCATTTATTTTAGTTTTGGCTTAGTCCCTTTATTAATCCGGGGTCGCTACAGCGGAATGAACCGCCAACTTATCCAGTAGGTTTTTTACACAGCGCATGCCCTTCCAGCCACAACCAATCCCTGGGAAACATCCACACACACTCATACACTACGAACAATTTAGCCTAATTCACCTGTACCGCATTTCTTTGGACTGTGGGGGAAACCAGAGCACCCGGAGGAAACCCACACGGACGCAGGGAGGAGAACATGCTAACTCCACAGAAAAACGCCAACTGACCCAGCCAAGGCTTGAACCAGCGACCTTCTTGCTGTGAGACGACAGGGCTACCTACTGCGCCACTGCGTCGCCGCAAAGATAAACAAAAACATTAAATAAAAGGTGATTAAAAAGTTAATTAAAAAGTGGTGGTAAAAAGTGTCAAATAGATGTCAAAGCATCTATAATTTAGATTCTAACGTAAAGATGCACATACTGAACAAATGACAGTGAGTATTTAAACAGAAGTCATGCGTATTCCCGTGCACTCTATAAAATGACTTAAGAATGCAAAACAAACTGAGAAAGTCTGTGTTGTTTGTGTTCAGTGACGTCACATTATATACACTCCCGTTAATAAACGTCAGGAAAACCAGCAGCACAGTCAGTCTGAGGCTAAATATAGACTGAGTAAAGAGTGTTAATGGCTGAGTGCTGAAAGAGGCATTCATGTGTACAGACTTCACTCACAGCAGCTCTGATTCAAGGTTCATTCACTCAATTCTTTTTCTTTCACAAAAAACCTTGCTTTAAAACATATTATTTCTCATTATTACACACTAAAAAAAAAATATTCAAAGATGATTTCTTGGATTTACTCTTTTTTTTTTTTACGTTAAGTGGTTGTAAACAATTTATTTGGGCTGAATTTAAACAAACAAACTAAGTTGAACATTATTAAACTTAATTTGTTTGTTTAAATTCAACAAAAATAAATTGTTTGCAACAGTTCTGCATGCAACACTTTTTTTCAGTGCACTGCTGTCTGGAATAAGTGGTTCTGATCGGTCATTCACGACATTTCAAGCTAAGTTAGTCCTAGATAACAACTACTGAAACTAATAGCACGGGCTCATCCTCATCCACGTACTTCAAATCATCTTGATATTCAGTAAATTATTATTATTATTATTTCCTTTATTTAGCCAGGAGATCACATTGAGACAGTACTGCCTCTTCTTCCAGTGAGACCTGGTCAAGATGGCAGGCAGCACATAAAGTTTCAAATAAAAAACACAAAAACAATACCAAAAAGTTACAAAATCATCGTTCATAAAAACATCAGAACATAAAAAAACAATTACAAGTATCCTTTAAGATGTTGTACAAAAGATTAAAAGTTTAAAAGTACTCAGAGTCGGAAGAGTGTCAAGATTAAGCTGATTTTGCAGGTCTGGAAGCATAAAAGGAAAAAGCACGTTTGCCAAGTTCTGACAAAACCCTTGGGACTGTTAGACGAATACATGAACCAGATCTAGTGTGCTGGTTATTTATGTGAAATGTTAACAGATTCAAAAGATAGGTTGGTAATTTACCTAAGAAAGCCTTTAAAATAAATAAATACATATGTAATTTTCTCCTTTGATATAAAGATAACCAGTCTAATGAATCATACAAAATACAATGATGGGTCCGTGAGTCTGCACCTGTGACGAAGCGTATTGCTGCATGATAAACAGAGTCTAGTTTTCTTAGTAGAGTAGCAGCAGCGTGCATATAAAGATGATTATTGTCATGTATTTGTGTTATTTGTGCTCTGTTGCTCTGTGTTTTTTCCTCTCTCTACACTGAAAAAAGTGTTGCATGCAGAACTGTTGCAAACAATTTATTTTATTTATCAGCCTTTATTCTGTGAGAACAATCGGCTGGATGTACATTATCCCCTACATATTTCATAAATTTCTTACTAGGTATCTCTCGTCTTCTTTCATCCCAGGCGTTCGGACCACATGATTCTCTTCTCCTCTCCAGTCTCCGAAGCGCCGGAAGAAATAGTTGGACAGGAATCTGCTGATGGGATCTCTGATGATGTTGATGTGCACAGGCTCATCTGTTTTGAACCTATCAAAATGAGAGGAATCATATTAGAAAATGAACTGCAATACTTGGGATCCGAAGGTCACAGGTTCGAGTCCGGGTAGCAGGAATTTTGGTGGAGCGAATGAATATCCACCTGAATACCACCACTGAGGTGATTCCCTTGAGCAAGGTACCAAACCCCCAACCGCAGCCCAAGTGTGTGTTCACGGGTGTACCTCGCTTTGGATAAAAGCTGCTAAATGCATTAATTTAAATGTAATAATAATGTAAATGAAAGCTCCTTGTGTTGCTTCTAAGTGAACTAGAGCTTTGTATAGTAAATACTGCATGTGAAAATAAGACATTTAATAACATGTTTTTACTCCAAATTCACTTCATAACTTCATTCGAGAGTCCTTCTGTGAGACGATTTAGTAGTCGTATGTTTATTAGTCACACTAAATCAATTAAAGTCGTTATATCCTCTGTTTAGAATGCAATGCTATAGGCACTTCCTGGGTTTCTTGTTTGTGACATATTAGAGTTTCTGACTGAGAGCGCCCTCTAGTGTTTGGAGGAGATTTACTACTTATTACACAATCCTGTTTCCCTGACTCAAATCAGTGTCATCTGTACATTGATTAAGGATTAATTATTATTAAGTACTTATCGAAATCAACATCACCCTGTTTGGGTTTAATTTACAGTAAAAGACAGTAAAACAGCACCATGTATTAATAAAAGCATCCACTTACCTGCTAAAATTTAGAAAATGCACATGCCGGGTGTAAAGAAATGGTTGAGGAGTTGTGCTGATGTTTTGGATCAGATTTTCCTACATAAAAATCAAAGGAGGACATTTAAAAGTGTGTTAGATTAATGAAAATGAAATTATGTGTGAAATGATTATTGAATTGTGATGCACATTAAATAAAGTAAAGTAAAGACTGAATTTGTTTCCAGAGAGGTAAAATCTCTGTTCATTAGTCAAGAAGTTATGGTCACCTGATTTTGCACCTGTAAATGTGTGATTTCTTTATAAACTTCTGCTTATTAAACACCACAAGTGACTACAATATTTATCCCCAGCTAACATTTTGTGGTTCGTTGAACATTTGGGGACTTTTTAACCCAGTCTCATTAGAATTATGTACCTAGGGATGCATTTTTTGAGAACCAAGAGATATGTACCCTGGGCTACGTTTTCTTGCATTTTTTGCTTTCACAAATCCACTAACGGTATTAATAAAAATCATAAATACGTTACTGAGGCACGTTTTCTCATATATGCCATTGTTCGTAAATCCACCAGTTTCCGATCTGTACGTTTCTGCGTATCTCAATGTCCTTCTTGCATGCAACCTTTAGAGAAGCAAACTAGAAAACAAAAGACATCATAGCCGCATGCTTCCTCCCAGCCTGATCTCAGGAGGAAACACAACTATTTTATGATTTGTCAGTTTAGTGGGTAATTTGTACGAGTTTAGTCGTATGCGAATGCATGATTTTCAAAAGGAGGCGTGGCACCCAACCCAACCATCATTGGGGGATGAGCAAATAGTACTAAATTGTACGGAAGAGATTGTACGATTTCATACAAATTAGCCACTAAATCAAAAAGTTATGAATTGTCATGAGATAGCGTTGTTCTACCTCAACGTCACAAAGCTGTTCTTAGGTTTTGTTTTACCTGGATTCTGGAACCATCATACACCGGATTCGAACTCCGGTCCATTCCATGTCTAAAGTCTGACACAGTTCGTGGGGAGCTGCTCTAAACCAGTCTGCCACAAAAGCCATATGGAGGTAAGAAATGCCCCATGGCGTTCATTTTACACACAAAATGCAGCCAAATATAACCACAAGCACACATTTCTCGGTTTTCAAAAGTGAACCCCTTGACACATTTTCCCACTGAGCCCGTGTTGGAATTTTTGGCCCTCAGAATGTTTGTTTTTGGCCAGGACTATTGATTTTGGTTTACAGAATGTTATACTAACATTAATAGCAGCTAATTATAAGTTTATTCTACTGTTACATTTAGGTTATTGTAACATTATTCTAACTTTGCTTTAACTATACTGTAACGTTCCCCTAACCTCTTTACTTAGATTAAAAATAAGGTAAAGAAAGTGGTTTCTAAATGAAATAAACAGGCTGTTTACCTTCATCATGAGCACTGGATTGTGTATGATTACCTGTTCGAGTTTGGTGAGTCTGGTCTTGTTGTGAATATCAGAGGAGACGAGGGTGAACTGATGTCTGTCCGCCAACATGCGCAACAACAAAACTATAGTGCGACTTCCACACTTGCCAACCCGATTATACACAACCTGACTCGGGAACGGCAAAACCTGCAACAGAAATACTTAAATTGGTAATTCAACAAGTGTCCAGAACAAATGCACATTACAGCAGAATTACAAGCAACAATTGGGTGAACAGGGGTGACACGGTGGCTCAGTAGTTAGAACTGTCGCCTTACAACAAGAAGGTCGCTGGTTTGAGTCCCGGCTGGGTCAGTTGGCATTTCTGTGTGGAGTTTGCAAATTCTCCCCGAGTTGGTGTGGGTTTTCTCAGGGTGCTCCGGTTTCCCCCACAGTCCAAAGACATGTGGTATAGATGTACAGTGGTCCCTCGTTTATGAGTTACGTTCTAAAAATAACCTGCAATATGCAAATCCGCGAAGTAGTCAGCTTATGTTATAGATGTTTTAAGGCTGTAAAACCCCTCACTACACACTTTATACAATTTTCTCAGACAGGCATGAACATTTTCACACTTTTCTCTCTTGTTTAAACACTCTCAAAGTTCAATCTTACAAAGAAAAATAAGTCGAGTAGTATAGAACGAAACCTGTAGTTAGATGTAAACATTCATCGTTGTCAGCAAAATGTTTATAAAGCTCTTTAGCTTTTGTGCGGATAATGTTTGCATCCAGAGTAATGTTCTTTTTCCTGCAGTCACTGATCCACAAAGCTAAACCAGACTCCATCCTAAGGGGGTCGCACACTGGATGTGCCGCTCACATGACAGTTGGAATTACACACATCGGATGCACACATTTACATGTTATTTAAAATTAAATTATTCAGATGGCTTTTTGTGGCGCAGCAGAAATATGAACAGTGTCCTGAGTCATAGCTGGGCACCTCAGACAGCCACCAACTGATGGAAACCTATGTTTGCTTGGCGCTGCGTGGCATACGGTGTGCAACACCCTTTTAAACGATGGTCTTGCTGCGGACAATTACAACCCTTTTTACATCCTTTTTGAAACACACTGCGAGCGTTTGATGAGACATGGAGGAGATTGACTGACAGTGGTCTACAACCAATCAGGACACAGAACAATGTCAAATTGCACACAAAAAAATTTGCAAAACTGTGAGACCGCGAAAGGTGAACCGTGTTATAGCAAGAGACTCCTGTATACAGCTGTGTAAAACATATGCTGGATAAGTTGGCGGTTTATTCTGCTGTGGTAACCCCTGATGAATAAAGGAGGTAAGCAGAAAGAAAATGAATAAATTAATTGAGTGTTAGGATGGATTCAAAAATATCTTACCCTGGGTGCTAGAGATCCAAAGCCATCAGCGAACCTCCCTAAAAAATTAAAATAACTAATAATTAACAGGGCATAAACATGCATTTTAAGTAAAAATTACATATGTAAATAATCCTCACAGTTCCAGTGGCTTCCTTTGTGACATCGGTCCAAATGCCATTACTTCATTAGCACTGATAATCCAGCCTGATCTCACGAGGAAACTTAAGTATTTTACGTTTTGTCAGTTTAGTGGCAAATTCGTACGAGTTCAGTCGTACGAAACTGTTCGATTTTAAAAAGGAGGCGTGGCACCCAACCCCACCCCTAACCCCAACAGTCATTGGGTGATGAGCAAATCGTACTAAATTGTACGAATTAGATCGTACGAATTCATATAAGTTAGCCACTAAATCAAAAAGTTACGAATTGCCATGAGATTGCGTTGGATAATCTGACATTTATTCAAATTTAAAGGGGAACTATTATGCAGAAATCCCTTTTATAAGAGGCTTAAACACAGTCTGTGGTACAAATGTATCAATTAGATTTTTTATAATCACACTTGATAAAAACAGCCTGCAGAAACACTTGACATTCTCCCTTTGTACATGTCATTGAGGGGAAAAGTCCCGGCCATTAGTAACCATCTCTCCCTAATTGGCATAGGACGTTAGTCTTGCTTTTAAATCTTCCACTATGCTGACACAGGCATTTGTAACTCTGCCTCTTTTCAAAAGAGCACAATCTCATTTGAATTTAAAGCGACAGCCACTAAAGTCACAATCACTTTTGTACCTCAGAGAGCAGCACAAAATAAAAAGAAACGGAGGTCCTTCATGACATTTATTCTTAGCTTTAAGGCTTTGATACTGAAATGTATGACTGACATCTTTTAAATGGGTATTTCGCTTAATGTTCTCCCTCCCTTCTCTCAGTTGTCAGTTTTGCTGATCGTTGTCAACGTTTGGATGAAGAAAGCAAAGCCTCATATCATCAGTTTACATGGACTCCTGTGGAATTCACTGCTGGGTCTCATGAGCCAAGAACAACAGCAGTTTAATGGGCTCATAGTGGAGAGAGGAAACTTTAACAGCCTGCGCTTTATGACCCTTGACTGATGCCACTGATCTGAAAACAGAACTACAGTAATACACTTTGGAAACACTTCAGAACCTCAATTAGAGACATTATGAAGCTTTTGTTCACATTCATATGAGAGCAACTGATCTATTTAAATTTAATAAATAAAATTTCTATGCTTTGAATCAAATGTACAGTGGCCAAGAGAGCTTAAAGTGCTGAAATAAAAAAAAAACACATGCAAAACCAGCAAATTAAGAAAATATCCTCATTCGTTTGACAAATCCTTACAACGCAAACACATAACAAAAAAAATTCTTCATTTTTTCACAACGCGAAAATTTTACGAAAATGTGCTGCATTTTTACACAACACAACGGAAATGTGACCCTCAATTGTGACAGACCCAGCTATTTAAGTTACGGTTATTAAGGCTAATAAATAAAATAAAGACACAGAAATAGGGATATTAAAATAAACAAGCAAATAACTCACCTATAAAAGATCCACTACAACTTCACTGCGCAATAAGTGGTGTCCGTCACGTTTTAGGGTCCCCTATAAACATTTCTGTTGTGTTGCATTCTTTGTTACGTGTGTTGTGTAAAAATGCAGAACGATACAGGCTGGTCTCCTCTTTTTCTACTACCTCTCTTTCCTTTATTAAACAACAGTGGGTGTCAGACCTTAATCCATTTGGAACCAATCAGGTTTACAATAAATGGCTATACTAGGGCTTTTACTGAAACATGGGACCCATTAAGAATTTTCTTTTCTGAGCATGTCAGCATCTCTACAAACAGTCAATCTAAATCTTAGGGCCATTCAATTGCAATGCAAACATAATTAGGTACTTTATAAATACCTGAAGATTTATTTTTTGTATTATTGGGTTATCAAAGTATTTGTGTATTCTGTAGGGATGTTTTTTTTTTAAATTATTTTATTTTTATTTTGTTATTTATTTTTTTTATTTATTTATTTGCTTTTATTTATTTATTTATTAATTATTATCTTTAATATTATTCTTATTTATTTTCTTATTTTTTTCTGTTAGATAAATGTAATTTCAACTTGTTTAGAGGGTAGGAATAATATTTGTTTAAATTTCTCTGTAAAATTACTTTGTTATATCTATAAAAGTTTAATAAACAAATTTTTAAAAATGCAGCAGGTTTTATTAATTTGTTTGCGCTGTGAGAAAATGAAGCATGTTTTTTTATAAATGTGTTTTCATTGTGAGGATTTACAGCACGTGTGCTGTCAAATGGATGAAGATCTTTTCTCAGTTTGATGGAGTTTTTTGTAATTTGCATCTTTTGTAAATGTGTTTTCTTATATTGCAGCACGTTAAGCTCTTGGCCACCGTACAAAAGTCCAATATAGCAGTTCTATATAACTGATTTTGCTCTTGAAACAATGAAAGTTTTTCAAAAGTGTATATAATTGCATATATTTTAAATTCATAAAACATTTATATAAATGTATTAAATACATACACAGCAGATTATAATGCTTTAAACATGGTTTTACAGCAAAATACTAAACAAAACAAAACATGGTTATTGTAACAACAAATTCGCAAAACAACTGTATTTTTAGTAAAACGATTGTTAATAGTAATGCGGCAAAATAAATAAATTTATATACAGTTAAAAAATTATTCACCCTTATGTGAATTTTCTTTTTTAAATATTTCCCAAATGATGTTTAACAGAGCAAGGACTTTTGCAAAGTATTTCCTATAATATTATTCCTCTGGAAAAAGACTTTAGTTTTATTTCAGCTAGAATAAAAGCAGTTTTTAATAATAATAAAAAAAAAACATTTTAAGGTCAATATTATTAGCCCCCCCTAAGCAATATTTGTTTTGGATATAGTCTACAGAACAATAACTTGCCTAATTATCCTATCTTGCCATATTAGTTAAGCCTTTAAATGTCACTTTAAGCTGAATACTAGTATCTTAAAAAATATCAAGTCAAAAATTACTACTGTCATCATGGCAAAGATAAAATAAATCAGTTGTTAGAGATGAGTTAATAAAACTATGTTTAGAAATGTGTTGAAAACAATTATCTTCATTAAACAGAAATAGGCGGAATAAACATCAAACTTCAACTGTATATATTATATTTTATAAAGTATTTTAACTTTAACTTGCACTATAATAAAACCACATGATCATCGTTAGAGTTCCATTCTGAGACAAGTTTGCGGTCTTACCGATATAATAACCCACATCCAGCAGGATTTTCGGACTTCCTCCGTTGAGCTGGTATGAAACAGAGCCGAGGCAAAATAAGAGCAGCGCGGACAGGCAGCAGCTGAGATCCCTGCGCGAGACCCGGAGCAGAACCACCGCCAGCCGGTTCACCCTGCCGCTCCGCACGCGCACAAACCCGCCATAGCGCTTATGAGCAGCAGTAGTCCGGAAAGTCATCATTATATTCTCATGAAAGGGACCCAGAGAGATGCTTCCTTCACATCTGCATACACTACAGATGTTCTACTGGTGTCACATAAGCGGAACAGCGCCGTCCGTGTCTATATAATGACTCTATACTTTGAGGAGTGTTTAACATGCAGGTGAGGTGAAGGAAGGGTTCCCTCCTTAGGGTCTGTCCCTCCAGGGTTTTCAGAGATATTTTGTTGTTGTTGATATGAAGTCTTCATATAAAAAAATATTTTGTGACGGCTTTTTAAAAATGTGTGGCATATTTGCTTCAATGTGTTGCTGTAATAATACAAATCTTGTAAATTATTTATCTTTTGTTTGATCTCGCCAAATTCTGGAGGGTTTGTTAGGGATTTCTCTTTCTTTTTTCTACATAATAATTTATATATACAATAATATGGCTAAAGCAAGTAACTAAAAAATAACTAACAAATAAAATTAAGATACTTGCTAAATAAAAAGCGTGTTTGAGCCCAAGCAGCAGGCAACCTAAAGTGTTATGTCATCACATTCCAGCTGTTTTAGCAGTACAAAACAGTCTGTTTTTATGACAGTCGGTTAATATTGCAATATAGTATTTGTTATTATATTATTTTTTATGCTGTTCCTTTAGTTATACTTACAACCATACATATACATGCCATGTCCCAGCAGAAAACATCTACCATCTTTAAAATGGTAAATAATTTAAATCAAATTGCACACTGTCTGATTACAAAGGCATGTTTTGTGTACATTGTAAAAGAAAACAAAAGTAATTTTACGGTTTATTTCCAGCAGCTGGAATGCTGAAAAAGAATAGTATAATAAAAATAAAGTATAATAACGGCCATTAAATTACAGAAATTTACTGTAAAATAACGGCCATTAAATTACAGTAAAATAACGGCCATTAAATTACAGAAATTTACTGTAAAATAACGGCCATAAAATTACAGAAATTTACTGTAAAATAACAGCCATAAAATAACAGAAATTTACAGTAAAATAACGGCCATTAAATGACAGACATTTACTGTAAAATAACAGCCATTAAATTACAGAAATTTCCTTATATTACTGGTAAATTTCTGTTATTTTACAGTAAATTTCTGTAATTTAACGTCCAGCTGCTGGAAATAAACCGTAAAGTTACGGATTTTTTTAGTGTACGCAAGTTGTCACTGGGGTGGTTTCAAAAGGTACTAATTTGTACCTAAAAGGTCCATATAATTCCTCAAGGGTACATATAGTACCAAAGTACAAAAGAGTTCCTCTTAAAATTTGTAGGGACTAATATATAAGTTTGAGCTACCAATATGGACCCTCTGTCACGCTGGGAGAGAAGGAAGACAGAGATGGTTATCTTTTCACAGGTTTTATTCAAAACAGTCACTATTCACAAAGGGAATTCAAAGGGTTCATATGTGTCAATATTGTTATCGATCTCACTTCAAGTTCGCTTGTAGGAGACACAGCAGGTGAGTATACAGACACACAGTTCATCTAGTAGATGGCTGATCTTCTGGTAAACACTACACAAGTGTCAGCCTTCCTCTATTGGTGAGAAGGATCAGTCAGCATGCAATGGTCATCCGTTGATAGGTATACAAGCACACAGTTCATCAGAGTGATAGCAGATCTTCTAGTAAACATTAGATAAGAATAATCACTTCCCTTGATCAGGATGAAGGACTTGAAGACTCATAAGGAACTTTCATGGAAGAAGAGAAGACGAAGGAATGAAGATGAAGACAACCATCCAACTTCAATAGCGGCCAACGACTAAGAGGAGAAGGTGACTTTATATAGTGTCCTAGTTGATGGGGAACAGGTGCAAACCATTAGAAGGCAGGAGAGAGAGTTCACGGGATTGGATGGAGGTGGTTTGTGAAGGTGATCGCTGATTGGGTAAAGCTGCGGTCACATTTGAGTTTGAGCATGCAATATTCTGTCATGCAGCGCTGCGAAAAGAGGCGGGATTAAACAAGCTTTCTAGACATTTTTTTTAGACATTTGTTCTCACACAGTCAAGAGATGCGAATTCGCAGGTCTGAGTTCACCAAGCTTGAACTTTGCACCGCAGCAACCTGCGAAACTTGACGCATGACCCCGCGTTTCCGGTCTGACGCATTCACGTGCTTATGAATGAAGGTCTATGGGAGGAAAAGCCCAGTGTGACTGCAGCTTAAGCAGGAACAAGCCGGGGATGTGACACCTTCAAGTACAAATGTGTACCTTTTGAAAAGGTACCACCCCAGTGAAAGCTCGCGTACCTTAAGCACAGCTACAATCAGCTATGCTGGTTTAAGGTATTGTTTCAGCAGGGAGAAAATCCGTTTTTCATAAAATACCTAATCAATGCAAAAATATCCTTCTCTTATGGAGTTTTGACTTGTTTCTAATACAAATAATTAAAAATTCCAAGACAAGAAAAATATTTATTTCCACCATTTAAACTTTTGAAGATATAAGGAGGATTCATGATTAAAAATATTAGAATATAATGGAGTAAAAATATTGTCTTCTTTTCAGAATTAATAAGTTAAATTATTTTTCTAAAAACAAGCAAAATAATCTTACCTCATTGGCGGAATATTATGCTTGTTTTAGCTTAATTTTCACATACTATTTCTGAAAACAAGACACTATTTTTACTCCATTTTACTCCAATATCTTTGGTCCAGTTGTGGTGACACAAAAGCATGAGCAATCTTCACCATATCTACGCTGGAAATTTTTTTAATGACAGCAATGACTAAAAAAGCCAAATGTTTTACACTGTCATTCCAGCCTAGATATCCACCATATCATTACCACCCACCACTGCCAGTCATGTTCCCATGTTCATAAACTCCCTCTCATGGTCCCCTGTTTTGGAATTTGGTTTGTGTTTTTACGACAAAATAAGATGAATAGCACATAGCATAAAATATACTGTACATAAGAGCAATATCACACGAGTAGCAGTGTGATAGGGCTGTATACAGCCATATCGCACTGCTACTCGTGTGATATTGCGTTTATACAACAGTTTGACGGCATAATTGTGTATATAAAAACAAAATCAAACACAGAACATCTTCAAAAACCCTTATGTATGAGCAACTACTTTCTTCCACATACAAATCATAAGCTGACAGTTAAACAGCTGAGCAAGCATCTTTTAAACTTTAGATCTGTAGTGTCTGCTTTTTGCTGGCTGTATGTGGGCGGAGTAATACACTAAGGGTAAAGAGGCAGTACGGGTACTGATATTACTTAAATATATCACCGGACAGAACTGTTGTATAAAATTGCATATTGTTTGTCTTTAATGATACATGTTGATGTACACTCTACATCTGTTCAAACTATTTATTTAAAATGAGTTGAAACAACACAATTCTAGATTTTTTTGGGGGAGGGGGGGGGGGGGTCGGGCAACTTAATTGTTTCATGTTCAATCCACTTCAATTTGTAAAAATGAATGAATGAACTTAATTCCTTCATGTTGTCCCAACATAAACAGGCTGTGATGAAGTTTTACAGTGTACAATAAAATTATAATCCAAAAAAAAAAATCACATTTTTCTGACTTTATTAGTTTTAAAAAGACATTTATCTCTAAAAAAATCCATGTACAACCTTGCACAGTTCATTCACACAGCTTGCATTATCCCAAGACATAACGGAACCTTCTTCATACCCGGATCAGAATGTAGATTAAAACAGGTATGATAAATGCTACAAGCAAAACAAATCATCAATTGATGCTATATTACAGCAGGAAATAAATATGCTTGGAAAGCAGTTTGAACATTAGTCGAAATATAGCACAATGCAAACATGCTGCTTAATCTGGACTGATGACGTTTTAACAATAATAAAAACTGCTTCTGATGAAAATCAAACCAATAGGATGATGATCCACTCAATATTTCCAAAACATATGACAACAAATACGATCACACACTACTATATGTCCACTTTCAAAGACAACAGTTTGCACAAACTCCTAAAAAGCTGCTTAAAATCGGAAGTGGCACCTTTAGATTATTACCAATTAAAATGAATGACTCATTTGTGAGTGTCCACTAATAATTCAATACACAGCCACTTATGAAATTCAGTTCAGTTTCTACAGTGCTGTCTAAACGCTTTAAAGTGAGAAGATGTTTTATCTGTTGAGTCATTAAGAGTCAGTCATTTATGATTCAGGAGTCAGTTCACTGATTCTTTGCACACTCACAGTCAAAAATCCGGCTGTAATGTACTGTATCAGCTGTAAATGTCCAGGATGATGATGTCCAGACGTGTTTAAGGGATCACACAGATCTCTGATAAACCCCTCAAAGGGATCTGTGGTAAAGGAAATCAGTTGTGTTAGTGAGGAGTGTGTAATTGTCGATTAGGTCATGATCAGACAGAGAGACTCACTGCTATACGATGCTGCTTCAGAAGTTGCTGGACTCTGGTCTGGTCGATCAGAATGGCAACGTCACCCAAAGGTTTGTCCAGATCTTCAGAATATCTCTGAACCAGAGAGAATGGCACTCCGTAACGGCCATGCTGAAAAACACAAACAAATTACAACAGATGTTTATATGATAGAAGGAAATAAGAGGGAATTCTGCCCATGCATTTTATTAGTTTAGTGTAGACAGACAGATAATAAGCAGTTTTAAAGCAATGTTTGTATTAGTTTTAGTAAATTCTTTTTTTATTGTATTATTTTAATATTTTCTATTATAAGGGATATATATATATATATATATATATATATATATATATATATATATATATATATATATATATATATATATATATACATATATATATACATTAATATATATATATTAGGGCTGTCAAATGATTAAAAACATTGTGTAATTAATTACACTTTTTTATAATTAATCATGATTAATCACGAAACGCCGTATTTATTACAGAAAAAAAAACACAAGCATGTAAGTGCCATTTGAATTTCAAAACAATCAATGCCAATATCAAACAAAAATTATTTC